CTTATAAAAATTAAAAAATAAATAATAACAGCTTACTATCTGCAGATAAATGGACAAATAGAAAGGATTAACCAGATAATTAAGCAATACTTAAGACATTATATTAATTATTAACAAAATAATTAAGCAAATCTGTTACTGATGGTGTAGTTCTCATACAATAATGCCAGTTACTTAATAATTAGAGTCTCACTGTTTTATACTAATTACAGTTATTACTCCAGATTCCTGGAGATGTTATTAGAAAAGTAACTAGTTATTAATATAGCTGAAGATATTGTCGCGTTCACGGGAAATATATATACTCAGTTATTCTGTGATATTAAATTCATGAAGCTATAAAATAAGATCTACTATAATCACTGACACGGGGAGAAATCTGACCTAAAAAGAGGGAAAAAAGTATTCCTACTCTGTAAAAATATCAAGATAAAATGACTAAGCCAGAAGCTTGACCATTATAAACTAAGACTATTTATCATTGAAGATAAGAAGGGGCTAATTAATTACAAGTTAAGGCTACTGAAATCAATGAGCAAAATTTATCCAGTGTTTTATATCTCATTATTAGAACCTGCACCAAAGAACACTAGAATTACAGAAAAAATGGAGATTGATGATAATACTGAACAAGAATATGAAGTTAAAAGAATCCTGGACTACAAGAAGATTAACAACAAATCATATTACTTGGTAAAATAAGAAGAATATAATATCTTGGAAAATATATGGAAATCTATCAAGAATTTGATAGGCTATCATCAGCTTGTGGAGTAATATTATTGATAAACAGGTTAAAGTTCGCCCAGAAGGAAGGGGAACCAACTAACTAAGTCAGACTAGGATTATCTGATACAGTGGCAAGTTGAGCAGTATCATGCTTATTGGCCAGACACTCCAGCTCTTGGAGATCCTTGGTGCTTGGAGGATCCTCCTTGTCTAACTGCTTTAATATATTTGAGTTGTGATTTAACATCCGCTCACCACGATCCCTTAGAAACTGTTATTGTTTAAACAGGCGAGCCATCTTGGTAGAGATACGAGCCTGTTCAGCCAGGGCTTCAGCAAGTTTGCTTTGTATCTTTTATTAATTTTACTTTAACTTATTCCACTTCTTATTATTATAAAATCATTTTTCATATTTCTGACTGTGATGAGTGCAAGTAATATAATTTCAACTTTTTAAATCTATAATATAAGAAATACCTTTCAGAAAGCAATATTTATAAGAATTCTTAACAATATGACTGTCCTCACAAATCTTGTCAGATTAACAAATACGCTCCTTCGGCCAGTTATGATTAATATAATAGTAAGACATGTTGACCTATCCTGGAAAAAAGAAGAAACTGAAGGACCCAGCTGTTACGGACCCCTGCTAGCTGAACAACTAGTAAGGCGGGTATGTCAGGCAGAAGACCACATCCGGACGGAAGGGGACTCTTATCGAGGAGGATCCCGACCCGAACCGTCAGGCAACACGGATCACGTGACCATGGTATACGGACAAGCATGTGGTATACAACATACCATCATGGTCTATGACTACCAAGTGGGTATACGATAGACCCGATGGTATATGGAATGGTATACAGAGAACAGATATATAAGGACACTCCTTCACGTACTTAGCTAGTTCTGTTCTTCATGCTCAATAACACTATCTTTAAGTAACCATATGTTTTGGTAAAGCTTAGTGATAATACTCGTCTGTACTTACTTACGGATAGCTGCGCGGCACTATCTGGCCTTACTTCTCTTCTCTTGTTCAGATCAAGTCATCTTTAGATAGTCATCAACCTGACTATCTTTGATTCAGTTCACAAGGTACGCATCGGAACGGGAGCTAAGCTAACAGGAACAGGGAGAAGCGATCCTAGGGTTTGACACCAGCCAACACATACGGGGGGGATACACACCTTTATATTTCTTGAAAACAAGAAACCTTGAAGAAGGGGGAGTGATGTTACAGACCCCTTCTAGTCAGATTACTAGTAAAATAGACTTATCAGACAGAAAGCATCAACAAGGCAAGTCTCAGACAACCAGTAACTCTTATCGAGTAAAATCCCGGTCTGAGTAATGCCCGGAACAACTTTATATTATATGATTATCTACCATCAAATCTACTATTAAAGATATATACAAGGTATACTGGAATCTTAGATTATGATTAGATTAACCATTTAATCTACCTTGGATGGTATATAATATGGTATACAAGGGATAGGATATATAAAGACACTCTTTTATATACTTAGCTAGTGTCAAACCCTAGGATCGCTTCTCCCTGTTCCTGTTAGCTTAGCTCCCGTTCTAGTACGTACCTGTGAACTGAATCAAGGTAGTCAGGTCGATGACTATCTAAAGATGACTTAATCTGAACAAGAGAAGAGAAGTAAGGCCAGATAGTGCCGCGCAGCTATCTGTAAGTAAGTACGGACGAGTATTGTTACTAAGCTTTATCAAAACATATGGTTACTTAAAGACAGTGTTATTGAGTACGAAGAACAGAACTAACTATATACGTAAAGGAGTGTCCTTATATATCCGTCCTTTATATACCATTCTGTATACCTTCCCATATACCACAGACATATACCATATACCCGACCATATACCCTTTCGTATACCCGCAGTCACGTGACTCGTGACACGTAGCGGCTCAGTCCGGGTCCTGCCTGATAAGAGTTGCATCTCTCCGAGTGCCGCTCTTCTGCCTGATGTAACCGCCTCACTAGTCCCTTTAGCTAGCAGGGGTCCGTAACAGCTAGTTCTATTCTTTATGCTCAATACTACTATCTTTAAGTAACCATAAGTTTGGAAGCTTAGTAATAACATTCATCTATACTTACGGATAGCTGTGCAGCACTATTCAGCCTTACTTCTCTTCTCTCATTCAAGACCAGTCTGTTCTAGATAATCATTAGTCTGATACATCCTCGATTCAGTTCAAAGGTACGTATACCAGTGAAGCTAAGCTAACAGGAACAGGGAAGCGATCCTAGGGTTTGACAATATTATTACAAGAATTAGTAATATTATAATAAGATAATATATGATAAAAATCTAGAAAGAGAAAAACTATATTACTAATAAAATCAGAATAATCTTTATTACTGTAGAATTTATAATATTTTTTTAGTTAACTTCGTGAAGACCCCGGAGACTATAATATAGTAAATTTTAAATATATATTTTAGAATTAACAATTTTTTAAAAGCTAGATAGAGGATCCTGCTAAGATCTCTATACTGTTATAATAATTAATTAAATTAGCTGATCATATTATTATAACAACCTCCAGTAAAAATATTAGTATTTCTTAATTAAAGTATCATGAAGTTATTATTCTTAATATCTATATCAAGATTATAAAATTCTTTTTAATACTGTATTAAAAAGATATTATAAATATTCAGATTAATAAGATTAACTATATAAATAATTACTAGATTGTTAATCAATTATAAGATGCCAGGGTCATCCTGAGAAAGTAAATATATAATTCTAAACTTAATAATATTAGTTATATTATCTAATTTCATGCTTACTGGATAGTCTATAGTAATTATTAAGTATTTAATATTAACTTTAATAAGTTATTTATTCCAGTAGTAAATAAGATAGTATTAAAACTACTTTTAAGTCTTATTACTCTGAAAACTTATATTATAAGTAATAAAATATTATTATTATAGTCTATCTCCACGCGTTAATCTAAGATAAGTAAGTTTTTATAAAGTAGCTGACTAGCTATTATAAAGAATTCTCTAAATATATTTACAAGTTAAAACATACTTTATATAGACTTTATCAAGCTGTATTTTTATAGTATTAAATATTTATTAGCTAACTTACTGAATTTGGTTTTGAGTTACTGAAGAAAGATCTCTGTATTTATTAAAAAAATATTATTATTTTCTTAATATTTATTAATAATTCTGTAATCACAGCACTGAAAATAGAAAATCTTAATAAATTATTACTTATTTCAGTTATTCGGACTAAAAGAATTAGATGAATTAAAGATTTTTCTAAGATATAATATTAAATAAAATTATAAAATCAGAATAATTAAAATATTATAATTTATATATTAAAGAATCTCTAATTACTACAGAAATACAATACTTCTTTGTTACTTTATATTAATAATATTATTATATTGAAGACTTAACCGCGCTAATATAATAATACTAACTATTAATATTAATATTTATTAGAGTCTTATTAACTAATTATACTACTTAATGGTGAAGTCATATTCTAATCTTTAATACTTTATCTTCTACTTATAATAATAACTTCAAGTCTTTACTGAGCTAGATATAAAAGCCTTTAAAATAACATACTAATATATAAAAATAGATACTAACTTAAGTATTATTCTTAGTAGGAACTCTATTAAAGATATAAAAGTCTTTATTAACATAACTTACGCAGACTATAAGAATAGCAAGTTTATAAAAAAATATATTATATTCTACATGGGATTACTAGTATTATAAGTTTTATAAAAATAAATAATACTAATCCTCTTTTTTACTGTTACATAATTCTGTGTATATAACAGTACTATTAAAGAAATATTATATATCAAGAAATTGATAATAATATTTAATCTTATAATCTTATTTAATAGCCGGATCCCCGTGTTTACAGACTCAGCTAATTTTTTTATAATTTATATTAAAAATCCTATTCTTACTCTACTAGATAATTAGACAATAAATATTTTTTTATTACTGACATAATTACTAAAAGTATTATTAAAATATTGTATATTACAGGAATAAAGAACTGCAAATAGTTTTACTAATTTACTTAATTTAGAAACATTCTGGACCTTTCTAGTAATATTAAGAATAATACTAAATCTTGTAATCATTATGTTATCTAATAAATTTATATTAACTGTCTAATCAGAAAATAACATTAACTTTATAAAGACTGATTCAAGTAAGATCTTATTATTTAAAGAACTGTGTTAAAAGACTGCCGGTCCTTTAAAGTATAATAAGCAACTACAGTCACGTAATGCTTCTTTTTCCACACTGCTACTCTACCTATATAGAGGCTGTCAGTAGCAATGCTTTAGATAGTCATCCAATTTATTCATTCCCACTGAATCCACGTTGTATCGCTTCAGTAGCCATTCCGACAGTTACCACCGTCCAGGCTTGCTCAGCACATGGAGTCTGCGGACAGATACATAGATGCCATAGCACATAGGTTAGGAGATGGTATTGGGGGAAGGTGCTAAAGAGCCAGTGATAGGAAGTTAGGAGGTCGGATGTTTTGAGCTCGTCGGCGAGGGTAATGGTCTCGATGGCTAAGGAGAGGGTTTTGTCTGTTGGGGTGGTAGCGGTAGTGGTGGAGTCTTGGTGGTGGAGGAATACCTCGAGTCTGCCGAGGCAGATGCGGCCAAGAAGGAGAGCGCATTTTTGGATCGGGATGTGTGGGTTACAGTGTTGGAGGTATTGAGTGTGGAGGCGGGTTTGGAGCGTGGAGAGGAGAGTTTCGAGGTGGGATTTGCGAGAGGTTGGGGGGTTGGAGAGTTGCGAGGCCTGGCGCATGGCGCGGTTCATTTCGATGGTTATTAGGAACATGGTTGTTTCGGTCCAACATGCTCGTGGGGTTGGCGGTTCTTTCATGTTAGGGTATAGCTGGTGGTCGTCGATGTTGAGAGGGAGCTCGGTGTCGCTGGATGGACCTGGGTCGGGGAGAGAGAATCCGTGGTCTTCGGCTACTCGCGTGTCGTAGCCTTGGGTCGCCCACCAGAGTCGACGGCGAATTTCGCAGTCGAAAGGGGAGAGATGGAAGTGCCGTCCATCTCGGTGCAGGCCGATTGACTATGCTGCTCGGATGACGAGGCCGTTTAGCACCCAGCGGGAGCGGCCTCCGTTATGGTTGCGGCGGCAGAGCTGCATTGCGGGATTAGTTGAGAAGGTTGGGGATTGAATGGAGTCTTACCAGGTATATTGCCATTGTCTGTAAAGATGGAATAGTGGGAGAGTCCAAGAATGAGGCCATATGTAGGGACACTTCCAAGCCCCGCTGGTATCTGCTGAGCACAGAATGGCGGTCCTCGCTGAGGATGACATGGGTAGCAGACGAGGACAGGCTCGTCACTGCGGCATAGTAGATAGCAAACAGAAGTGCTTTCTGATCTGCTCGCGTCTGCTTTGGGTTGCTGATGGCGGCGAAGAAAACCGGCTCGGTGGCCGGGATGTGTAGTATCTTCAAGAGAACATCCACATTGTTCAGGTATACTTGCCACAATTGCGCCGCCTGACCGCGCGATGGATGGAGTCCAGACGCTTCCTTGCCTAAGAGAGGGTTGGAAAAGAGACCGTCGAACCCATCATCCGCCTGTGTCTGATCACTGTCGGTGGGATTATCCGGGATGTCAATGGCCGATTGTAGATCGCACTCCTGCTCAACAGTCAATCACAGCCATGACCACCGGTTAAGAACGGACATTTTCCAAGACCCGTGACAACAAAGACTCATTGATGTACCGTGCGGAGGAACCTTCCTTGACCAGCAAACCGTTTGATAGTCTCGGTCCCTCAGCTTCCTCCACTGGCTGGCGCTCCGATTTGTTCAGGTCAGTTGCATCTCTGTCAACCTCCGAAGGCCCGTTTATGCCGGCTACATCTCGCTCCAGCATCTGCAAGCGAGGCCGGGGCTTGGCAGATAACCTCTTAGAGCGACGTTTTACCCGCTCAGGACCGGGATAGCAGCATGGTACCTTGGCTCTAAGGCACATGGAGCAGGGCGTGGCTTTGTCGCAACGGAGTTTGCGCTCATGGCAGCGGATACATGACCGTTCCACATCATACCGCCGCACCAGGGCTGGCGGCTGTTCGCCGCGATGATCCATGCGATGGAAATATTGACCAGGTTTTGACAGCAAAATTGATAACCTTGTAGCGCCTCAGTGGGATTCTCCAGAAGGCGGATTTGAAAGGGAGTCGTGAATATGGCGGGGGCCTGGCGGCCGTTCGCCCGGATTCCTTCGCAGGGATTAATTAGTCTCGGAAGTTCGGAGACAGCCTGAAGTATACCCTGGCCAGTCCATGATGCATAAATAGGAACGTATTTTCCTGTAGGCTGTTCACTCCATCAACTTGAATAATACAATTTCAGTTCCAATTCCGGTAGCATGTCTCCTATCACGAAAGTTGCCTTGGTGGGGGTAAGTCAACCTGACATCGTGTCTTTTGCGTCATATAAGAGTGTATTAACCCTATCTCCATCGATAGGCCGGCGGGAACCTTGGACCAGCCATCCTCGACAAGCTCATCGAGCACTGCTTCCAAGTCACGGTCCTGAGCCGGATCGGCAGCGTCCACACTTTTCCTCCGTCCATACAGGTCCACCACGTCGATTACAGCTCGCAGGCCTCCCTCACAAATGCCCTTCGCGGGCAAGACGCTGTCGTCTCAGCCTTGTCTCCCCGCGCCCTAGACCACCAGCTCATCATCATCGATGCTGCAGTTGCTGCCGGTGTCCGACGCTTGATCCCCTCTGAGTTTGGCTCCGACACGAGCAATCCCAAATGCGCAACTCTGCCGGTATATCACTCTAAAATCGAGACCCAAAATACCCTGAAGGGTACGCCCAGCCTTACGTACACAGTCATTTGCACCGGACCATTTCTGGACTGGGGCCTGACTCGAGGCTTTATGGACATCCAGAGCAGGCGAGTTACGTTGTACGATGGCGGTGATCGCGTCTTTAGCACCACGACGCTTTCCACCATCGGTCGAGTTGTCTGCGCGGTGCTGGCACATCCTGGGAAAACGGAGAACCGTGTGATCCGCGTGCATGACATCGCCACGACGCAAAATAACCTGCTAGCAATAGCACAGAAGGCCGTCGGCCCGGACGATTGGACAGTCCATCGGTGTTCGGTGGATGACATGCACGAACAATCCTGGGCGGCTTTTAAACAGGGAAAGCGTGATATGCAGACTATGCTGGGATTCATCGTGACTGCTGCCTGGGGGAAAGGGTATGGTGGTCATTTTATCCAAACGGAGAACGAGATGCTGGGAATTCCTGAAATGACAGAAGCGGATCTTCAAGAGGTGGTAGGCCAGCTGGCTAGGAAATAGCCATGAATGGTCCCGGAACCAAGGCAAAACTTGCAAGTTCGGCGCGATCCAAGTTGCTTTTATTGGGGCAAACTCTCACAATTGGTGAGCTTCTCTGATATGGGCTTCCAGTTCATAGTTCGACAGGGTGAAGCCGTGGTAGTTGAATCAATTCTCAATTGATGCAGGTACTCCGTATTCGTGTGGGGATTATAAAGACGCGCGGTGGAAGAATTACTAGAGGACAATGGATACCCCTAAAGGCGGCTGGCCCTGAGCGTCAATGACCAATCGATGTTTAACATTCCAATTGTTTGAGTGATGATCTGTAGTTCCTCGGGGGTAACGACGTTCTATGGCCAAGGCTAATGAACAGAGGATACTTTGCTGTCATCTGACCCCAAGCATTTAGCCAAGTGAGCCAGGATCATGACTCAGCTCCCATGATGAACCTTTCCAGTGCAGCCGCGCAGTCGAGCTCCTCATTCTCACATTGGATTTCCAAGGAGCGGGTTTTGAAGCTGGAGTCAGTCAATATTTTGTCCACGCCGTCCCGGATGGCCTCCAGGGTAGGGCTATCGGTCCGTAGATTGATGCCGATTCCAGCCCATTCGACACGCATCGATACCTCGGCTTTGTCTTCTAAAATGCAACTATAATCAGAAATCTGATCCTCGAAAGCGAGTAATCTGGACTTACGACCCGTTCCAGCCATGACCATGGGAACCCCATTCATGATCCCGTGCGTGAAGCTGCCGTATCCTCCATTGGTGACAAATACGTCGACATAAGGGAGCACCGCGTCGTATAAGAGGTAATCAACGACTCTTGCATTGCTAGGCACCTCAAAGCCGTCTAACCTCGCATCCCTCACACCCAGCACGCCAATGACCATGACGTCTTCTTGATCAGCCAATGCCTGGATGGTGGGAATGATCAGCTCCTTGTAGTCAATGCGGAATGTACCCTGGGTGACGAAGATGACTTTTCTCGGGCTTGCTGTCTGCTTGTTTGCTTTCAGATCATTCCACCAACCGGGTAATGGCATTGACGGATCGATTTCCGTACGCGGGGTGCCGCCTACAAAGCGGACCTTAGGCGAAAGATCACTGCGTGGATACTCCACGCTCGAGGAGCAAGGCTGCAGCATGATGTCATGGCCTGTGGTCCAGAAGTCGAACAAAGGCTCGGTCACTTTGACAGTGGCCCCGAGCTTCGTATACACGGTGTTGGCGTAGTCGATGAGCTCGGCGTCCATGTCCTTCATGGCACTATACATAGCAGCATTTCGAGCACGACCCTCGTCACTCGAATCCGGCGGCAGGCCAGGTCCAAAAGGTGCCGTATCGATACTTGAGATAAGCAATGATCCGGTGCCGAAGATAATTGTCCTAGGAAACTTATCATAGCCATTCGGCAGAGAAGCACCTAAGATGAACGGCCAAGTGCCCATATACAAGAGCTCCTGTACGATGACAACGTCTCGGTTGGGATGTTTCTCGCGAAGTGTCTCCAGCACGGTCTGCAGCGTCTTCATTCTTGTTGCAGTCACATCGATGAAGTTTGTCTTTATGTTGAAAATGGCTCGTTCAGGGCCATCAGGAATAGCTTCCAGCGTCTGGAGGGTTTCGGCAGTGTATATGTTCTCTGTCGGGTAAAAGGTTGCGCCGGTTTTTTCAATGGCATTCTTGAAGTCGGGGCCGCTGATGAAGGAGACATCAAAGCCTTCCTTTGTCAGATGGCTGGCGTGAGGGAGAAAAGGGAGCGTGTGCCCGGAGGCTGTCGCGCAAGCAATGACAACAAGAGGTTTATTGCTGACCGTCATTGTAAAATGAAACTGTAGAATGAATAAATCACAGACAATTGAAGAGTTGTGTTAACCTCTTTCTCGAGTTGTCGATATGCTTTGAGTGGCTTCAGCAAAGCTGACTGGCGATTTGCATGGAATGAGTGATGTCTCTTGTTGAACAAGGCCCTTCTTATAGAACGATCAAGGATACTCGGCTGATGGTGAAGTGGAGCATGATGCACAGGCAATAAGCACTAGATGCCGGTGGGTTTGACGGGCCAATAGGTGCTTCCACTCGGGACTTGAGCAAACGAGCGAGCCATAGGACCTATGCAGAGGTTCCTAGTGCGAAGCTAATTCGGTTCATGTGGAAGTAGAATCCGTTGTCTGGTCACAGATGCCTTCTGAGCCTGAGGAGGCTGTGGCTGTTCAGAAGGATTCATGTCGGAGATGAATATTGAGGTGTATTCCTGTAGGATCAACGACTCGGAGCGCTTAGAGATTGGTTGCACGATAATTTTTGGGATACTTGACGAATTGAATGACTGATGTAATTGGATGAAGATGGAGGGGAGGGGAAGACACAGATGTGGATGGAGGAAGCGGAACAAAGGCGACAGACGGCCTGGCGAGATCACCTGACAAGCAAAAACTTTGGTCATTGCTGGCTGTCTCTCAAATAACGGTTGAGGTTCGAACAGATTGGTTTTCTCGGTTAGTTGTCTGTAAATTATAAAAAGTATGAAAGGTGGCGTTCAAAATATATATATCGGGTACAACAGAGTTGTCGCCTACAATAACGGTACACACACCAGAGATTACTATCAATAGGATTACAGGCAAATTTAATTTCAAAATACCAAATACCAACACGATGGGTAGGCAACATACAGTGAATACCATTTATAAGAATCTAACTTCATTTCTATCGACCACCACCCCGGTCTCAACCCACGACGGCGGCCGTCAACACGTCTATCTCGTTCATGTACAAGGGTATCGGTGAGAACCATGGGCCTCTCGTAACATAGGGGGACTCCTAATGTGCCAGATTTCAACGAAACGAATGGAGAAAAGGGGAAAGAACAGCGTAAGGAAGAGAAGAGAAAGATCATGAAACAAGGAATGATTTCGTCCCACGTCCTGCCAAAGACCGCAAGCGAGGATATCAACATTTCACAGGGCTTCAAATATTTTCGGAGAATGGATAAAAGAGACAGCAAAAGAGAAATCGTGGATCATCGTCTATCAAAAAACCAGCTCGTGCGCTTGCCGGACTCCTGCGACTGGACTCCGGCCACTGGAGCACTGCTCTCGTTCCCTCCGCCGCCGCCCCGGAGCGGCTTTGCAATTCGCGAGCCGCCAAAACTGAAACCGCCGCTGCCATCCATACTTGGAAGACCCCTCGTAGAGCCCTGTTTCGCAGCCTCAAGCCGCTCTTTGACCGCCGTGAGTTGCGCTTCGAATCTGTGTCACACAGTTAGCGGTACGTTCTGTTAGCAAGGTGGAGCACGCCGTACCGGTGATTGGCTTGGGTGAGTTTCTCCTGGCTCTCCTGGAGCAGGCTCTCCAAACTCGCGATCCGCTCGTTCCGCGCGATGAGCTTCCTCTCCGCAATCGCAACCTCCTTCTTCAGGCTGCTGTTCTGCTCCACCAGCTGCCGTTGCACATGAGTCAGCTGCTCCAGGTTGCGCTCCAGGAACGCCATCTTCTTCTGCTGCGCCCGGTTGTTCGACGACCGGAGAACGTTGTTGTACTGCTCCCGAGCATCGTCCAACGAGATCTCGAGCTCGACGACGCGTTCGCAGCGGTTCTGCAGATCGCGCATGAGCGACTTCTTCATGGCGTCAAAGTCCGCAATCTGCTGCTGCAGGTTCTTGCCTGCGGTCCCGTTGGTTGAGACACGGGACTGGGAGTCTGCAAGGGACGCGCGCAATTGGTCCAGCTCCTCATCCTTGCTTGCAATCTGGTTTCGAAGGTCCGTGACAGCCTGGATTTCGGCCTCCTTCCGGGTCACGTACACCTTCTCCAGCCGCTCCCGGATCTCATCCACGTCGCCCTCGCCCAGGTTCCGCTCCAGAAGGTTCTCATAGTCCCGCTCGAGAGTCGCCAGCTTCTGCTCAAGTTCCGCTCTACGGCTGTCCTGCAGCTCGCCTAGTTCACCCCGGTCGTTCATCGTGAGCTCGGCTTGACGGATGAACCCTTGGGTCTCCAGAAGACTCGCCCGCAGCTCCAGAAGGTCGTCTGGTGCGATCGTTTCGCCCGTTTCGCTGATCTTGTGCAAAGCGTCGACGCGCTGGATCAGATCCTGAAGCTTCCGTTCGTTGTTGGAAAACACGTCCCCGCCCAAGTCGAATCCGGCCATCATCTTCGCCATCTTCTCAGCCTTCTTCTTCTCCTTCTCATCCAGTGCGGCGCTGGTCTCCTTGGCCTTCATACGAACATCCAAGAGCTGCTGCTTAATGTCGTCCAGCTCGGTCGTCAACTCGGAGTTAGCCTCGCGGAGACTGTCCATAGTGATACCGGCCTCCTTGCTCTCGTAGGACACCTTCTCCAGTTGCATGCGAAGTTCATTCACTTCAGTGGTCAGTTTATCGTTGTCTTTACCTGAGCGCGCGGAGTTCTCCTTCATGTTCTTCAGCTCCTCGCGTGCCTCACGGAGGCCTCTCTCAATATTCGCAATGTGCGACTCCTTCTCCGCGATCTGATCCTGAAACTCATTTTCGCGTCTGAGGAACTCTTCCCTTTCATCCTTCTCGAGAACAAGGCTAGGCGTGCTGGAGCGGTCACCCAACCTCGACTCGGGGCGAGGGGTCTCGGACCGAGGGGTGTCCTGGAAACGAGAGGGCGTACCGGGTCGCGGCGCGCGAGCCTCGGCCTTGGTCATGCTCACGGCATCCCCGCGAGAAGGGGTCCAACGGTCCTTGGGAACAGCCTCGCCACTGCGCCATACGTGCACCTCAGTTTCAAGCTGCGAAATATAGGTTTCAAAGTTCGTCACTTGGCTTTGGGCCTTGCGGAGGAGTTGCTTCAGTTCCGAAGGGCTCAGCTCAGCGTTGACCTTCGCCTTGTTCTTGATCGCCTTGGCGCGCACACCGAAGCGCAAGGTGGAGATGGTTTCGGCATCGTTGTAGCTGCTGGGAGAGCAGTTAATGATCAAAGTCGTTCTCGAGTTACCTCCCAAACTCTCTTGCAGGATACGGGTGAGTTTGGAATCACGATACGGGATATGCGTCGATTTGCCGTCAGTCAGTGCGTTGATGACCATTCCAAGAGCACTCAAACTCTTGTTGATCTTCTTGGCCTCTTCGAGCGTCTGACCACTGGCGCCAGTCTTGCCAACCTTCTCACTACCTGCCAGATCGACCAAGAACAGCTGTCCACTCTTTGCAGAGCCCGTCTCCAGGTTCTTCTGGGTGACGGTGATGACGAAGATGGAGTGGGATCGGGAGGATTCCTGATTCATGTTTGTCGCCGCAACCGCTCGCGCTGCACCACCACGCCGCATGACCTCGTACACCTCCTGCACGCTCGAGACGTATACCTCAAGCAGACCCTTGACATAGACACCCCTCGACTTCTCCTCATGGACGGGAAGGTTGTCGTTATGGGGGACCAACAAATCGCGAATCCGTTCCATGTAAATTTCCATGTAACTCACCCGAACGGTGTACTCGATGTTGCTTGGACTCGTGAGGATGCTGGCGAAGATCTGTTCAACAATGCGAGGGATGATACCCTTGCCCACATCGTCGTCGATATCTGAACCCATCATGGTATACGACTTTCCCGCGCCTGTCTGACCGTAAGCGAAGACCGTTCCATTGTACCCGTTCAAGATGTCGTCGACAGTGGGTCGGACCGAGAAGTTGAAGACGTCGGTTTGCTTCGAGTCCATCGGGAACACCTGGTCGAATGTGAAGGCTCCAGAGCCATCGCGGGCCTAGTCTGGGTCAGCTCATGCAGCGAGACTGCCTGCGATCCTTCGAAAGCTCACGTTGACATAGCAGGATTGCTCATTTTCGAATTCAACAATCGGCTCTCCTCCAGAGGCCAGCTCAACTTTGTTTTGCGGTCGGAACCTCGCAACCACTGTGTGCGAACGGTCAGTTTGATGACATCCAGATACTCAACCAACGACCGGGCCGGGGGGGGGGAGGTGATGCGCACCCTTAATGGTGTTCGAGGGGCCAGATGACCTGTCAAGCGAAACAAATCAGTTCCCACCCGCTCCCACGGTGAAGCGGTGAAGCACAAAAACTCACGCCATGATCACTCTGACCCGAACAATAAACGGCTGGAGACGGGAAAGGACAGTAGGAACGCCCCGAGAGGAGGGGAGTGAATGAAGGACTTCGTTCAGACCAACAAGAGGCGAGTCTGCTGGAGGCCAGGGTCGGTGGGCGGTGTTGTTTGGGTCAGGGGCCCACGTGCACTAGACCGAAACGAACGTGGGCAATAAATGCGCGTTCGGCAGCCCCAAGATTCAGAGGTCGGGCAACAGGTGAGGGACCCAGCACCCATGGACAACGCGAGTGGTTGTGACGTGGACTCGACTGATTTCCCGGCCTAAGGTGGGGAGACGATGATGGGGGAGACAACCAGGGCGTGGGTGAGGGATTAGGTATGCAGCAAGCATTGTTTGGGAGTTGCAGCAGGTGTTTGGCAACCCCCTCCCGTTTAGAGTGTTCTTGGCGCCCGCCGAACAGTACCGTCGGTAACAACAATAATCATGCGGCATCTCTCATCCCGCCACCCAGGAATGTTTGTGCCTGACGGAATGTCCATGTGAAGCGCCCATCGGAGGGGCTTAAATGGGTTCAAATGGATATCCCGGAGCTAGGAGATAAGTAGGTGACATGCAGCAAAGATTCAACTCAGAACCCGACAAAGTTTTATGCATTATGCAAAATCACACCGTAAATGATGCAGCTATACACTGAACCGAACGAAAATCATATGAACCAGGCGCCAAAACCCCACGCTGTGCACGTCATCAAATGGTGTGAGACTCCATCAGGCCAAGCTACGAGTCCCCCCACAAACGCATGAAACGATCACAGCAGCTTGCCGTTAGCTTCCGTCGCACCGAAGACGGGCAAGTCTGCTTCATCCGAGTGCCATACCAAAACCAACCGTCTCTACGTCCATGCTATCCTAGTCCTCCCAGCTCTTCTCGACCGTCTCACGCACACGCTTGATGTACTCCTTTCGGTTGTCTTTGTAAAGGTTGGAGGCTTCTACATTCGCCGGAGATGATGTGTTGGGGTCGTTCAGCAGACTACACGCGAGGAAACACCCATTAGCATGTCTCACTTGTTCCTTTCGCCGCGTCTCCCCGACCACATGGGTGTAATACCTTTGGATACTGGTAAGGATGGCTGCCACGTCATACGTTGGGCTCCAACGGTTCTGCAAAATGTCCAGACAAAGCTCGCCCGTTCCGTAGACGTTTGGGTGGAACATCTGGCTGATAAACTTGACGCCTGGGGGCTTGTTTGGGTACTGCTCCTCAAAGTGCATGACGAGGCGGAACGTGCCATCTTCAAAGGGAGTATCAGCGGGACCGATGATGACGGCGTTCCTAAACCCGATCAGTAATAGGACTCGAAAGGCGAACTTAGGTGACCAGAGCAGCCTACCATGTCATAACATTATCCGCTACGGGAGATGCGGAAACTCCAGCAGGCGGGTCGGTTTGCATACGCTGCGTACGGCAAGTTAGCTTAGCTCACGCAACCATAATTGTGACCGATGACAAAGCATTGCGAGACCTTCCAGGTAGCATCAGATGCAAGGGTGATATGAGCATTAGAGGTGAAACGGAAAAAGAAACATGGAGCGCAAGGTTCAAGTTCTGCTCGCCGATCCACATACCTTAAAGTCGCGCATGAGACGACGACGGGCAGAGGTCGACATGGCGGCGGGGTACGGGCGATAAACGGGAGCTATTGAGATAGGGAAGAAGCACGAGGATCAGATGTTGGCAGTGATCCGCAAGCGTAGGTGGGTGGCGATTAGTTTAGAAGGGAAGGGGAAGGAGGAAGAAAGAGTCCCAGGCAAAGGCGGAGGGAAGGGAGGGGGAGGTGTGACGGAGTGGGAGAGTGAAATCCAGAGAGGATGATAGCCACTGCGGGAGGATGAGCGTTGATCCAAAGACCGGCGTGTTGGGCCGTGCCTCCTCCTGAGCCGTTAGTCAGGAATCGGACTCCCGCGGTCGCTCGCCGCCGTTATTAGGCCTGCAGAAGCTCACCGCTTCGCTCTAGCCCGATCCGGAAAAGCTTGGGGCGCCACCAATTAGGTAATCGCAACTGAGGCACGTGACTACACCGCACGTTCCACGGCCCCGAACGGGGAACTAACCTAAACGAGCACCAACCATAGAGAGCTCTGCATCGTCCGCAAATGGATCCTCGACTCCTCCCAGTGCATGCAGCAGGCCAGCAGCGCGTTGTGGGATTGTCCATGCTTGGGAGTATCCATACACAGTACATGCTACGCCCTTGACTCCGTGCGGTTATCATGAATCGACAATAACCATACAACGATTGTTATTGCAAAAATGTTGGGCCCTCTGGAACTCCCGCTCTTCCCTTCATGCTATGACTGCCTCTCGTGGTCGGCAGATGGGGAGCTTGCGATCGCCGCCGGAGAATACATCCAAATCTTAGTCCGTACCAGAACCTCCCTCCAAAAACTGAATCTAATTCGAAATAGACGCCGAAAAACACGGTTGACCAAGCTGAATACGATCCGGGCCAATCCCCCATCAACAACTGGCATTCCAGTCGCTTCCGTGTAAATGTTTTCACGAATAATGAGTGGCCGACGATCGATCCCCAAAATCGAGACAACTTCTCGCTGGGCGCCGAGCAATCCATCAGCACCGTCGTAGCTTTGGCCTGGTCCCCCCCAGGACTGTCTAAATTTAGGCGCTGTGTTCTCGCAGTCCTGACATCCAACCTACTGGTATCTCTCTATGAACCTGTCGGTTTCCAGGGCAAATGGACCCGAGTTGCCATTGTCAACCATGCCTTAGGAAATCATTTCAGGTCTTTCATTGAGGATGATGACACGAATCTGCGAAAGTCTAACATTAGATCTTTCGCGTGGTCTCCGCCGTTAAAATTGACAGCCACGGAGCATACTTCAAATCCCTACGCTGTTCTCCCTGCTGAGAGCCGATGGGGCTGGCACTTGCTTTCAGTCGCAAATGATGACAATGATGTGATCTTCTTGAGGGTTCAAAGGTCAATAGCAGAGATCGGTGTGCCATATGAGGTTGTTGTTTTATCTGTGACCCCCCTCAATGACCCAGAGGGGAATTATTCACAGCTGCAACCGTCATCGGTTTTTGCCAAAATTCTCAAGTCGAAGGTTAGAATTTTATCAATGTCATGGGGGCCATGGGTCCATGCATCGACGGAGAGCCAGAAGAACTCCGCAAGTGGACATCTGGCTGTCATTTATGGAACGACGCTTAAGATGATTCGACTGGATATAGATATGTTGTCTCACAGCCAAGGAACAAGGACGCATCTCAAACTAGAGGCTACGTCCAAAGAAAACACCCCCGTATGCGATCAGGATTTAGGCGAATACCACTTCTCAGGACCTTTAGCATGGCTTCATACGGTATGCCCCAGAATCGCTGCAACTGAACATTGACTGATCACAATCCTAGGATGACTCTCCTACTATTTATCTTGCCGCCGGTATTCTGGAAGGGCTCCTTTTGATAGAGCTGCCAAAAGAGCATCAGAAACGCGCACGGTCATCCGGCCGAGCTCGGTTGCAGGAATTGCCATTCTACGAAAGCCCAGGAACCAGACCAACGGACACCCTGAGGCACTTGGAACCGATAACCGGTAAGCAACGTTCTCTATTAGTCATTCTTTCTACTAACTTAAGAAGCCATGCTTATAACAACGGACACTGCATCTCAGACCCTAGTGCTCTATGGAGCCACAGCTGGAGGATATATGGGAGCTGTACCCTTTCGTCCCGGCAAGAACGAACATTCGATCCATCCGGTTCCATGGCAAGATCAACTTGATGATATCCGTGAACGATACGACTTTGACCGCGATCTTGGAGGCCTAGCCGTTGCGCGAGCTTGGGGTCTGACCTCGTACAACGGAATGGTCGCAGCTGGAATTACCGTGCACCCGGGGGATATGATTGAATATCGCACGGCAGCGGAGGAGCGGCTAACGATCATAATATCAACACCTGACAGGTCTCAATCCAACGGAGCTGGTTCCCAGACGGCGGATAGCCCTTCTGATCTTCAGCATAAACGGGAGGCTGTTCTTGGCTACATCCTACACTTTGAAGATAATGACGGGGGTCGACCACCGTTGTCTTCAAAGATCCTCTATGCGACGGCCTGCTGCGCAATTGTCGAATCCACTGATGCGGCTTTGGTGTACCAAGCCCACAAGGTTTTAGTGAGGTTAGCTACAACCACGGGTGCGGATCTAAACGACGAGCTTTCCAAGTGTTCGATTTCTAAGAACAGAATCGCCCCGAAGTCGGCAGACGTTCTTGATGGACCGGGTAGCCAGATTTTCGAACGATGTGATATTTGCGGTGCTGGGGTTGATTGGTACTCTAGCCAGGAAGCTCAGTGTGCGACGGGTCACGTCTTTGGTATGTTACGATGTGGCACTGAAGGAATCGCATATTGCTAACTTGGCTCTCTTTATAGTTCGCTGTGGTGTGACATCATTGGCCATACAAGACCCTGGAGCATCGACACTCTGCTCGTCATGTGGAAGAGAGTATTTGAACCCGGATGGAATCGAGTCATCTGAACCCGATCTACAGAAAACCTGCCGGACACTCTTCGATGCGTTTGATACGTGCGTCTACTGCAATGGCAAATACCAATTCTAGGAATTTGAAAAGCCGGAGGGAAATCTTCGCTGGTATCACATTTCCACTTGTAATTCTCTAACCTTTCCTTCTACCTTCATGAGGAGATGGCCACCGGCTACCCTTCATATGAGGCCTAGCAGCTTTCCAGCTACGGGATTCCACTCGCCATCCCATCGACGAGAACTTTCCTCTCGCGCACCAGCACGAAGTTTTTCAAGATTGTCTTGATCCCCAAACAGATCCTCGAGATGTTTGACAAGTTCATCGGCACTTCCAAAGCCTCTTCCGTTACGACCTTCGGTGACCAGCTCCGGCCATGCCTCGAAACGGTTCCAGCCAACAACAGGCAGGCCAGCGCCAAACATATCGACGACTTTCATGGGCAAATCAACTCCACTGCTGCTGGTGTGCAAACTAACACCCAGTGAAGCGGAGGCCAGCAGCCGCGCGTAGTCTTCTATGGTTAGCCACGCGGTGCGAATTGTCGCTTTCTTAAGTTTACCGGCCTGCTCGAGCTCGGCAATCTGTCTCAGATACATCTCACGTTGAGGTCCTTTACCCGTTATAATTGCCAGAATGGAAGGCAGGTCAGGGCAGGTCTCAGCCAAGTCCGAATACTGGCAGAGGGCTTCTATGAGAAGCGAGAAGTCCTCGTCTGCAGTCCACGAGGTTGAGCTGACCAGGACTCGGATTTTATCGGACCCAATCAGCGGCCGGACCGACTCTGTCTCCGAGAGGGAAAGCAGAAACTCCTTGCGCACGCGCTTATCTAGAATGGGCTGGAAATGATCGGCTGGCCGGTCATGTAGCGGGAGAATGGGCGCCTTCAATGCAAACTCCTCCTTCAGCACAGATGCCATGGCGTTGGTAACACAGAGATGGGCTGTCGCGTACTGGCAGAAAACTTTCTCGTACCACTTGGAGAGTCTGACTAGCGGATGAACGTCACCGAGTTTGAGGGCTAGGATGGTGTATCCAAAGTTATGCCAATCGATGAGGAGGTTCGTGTGACGCAAGATACAAACGAGGGATGCGATCGCGAGCGTCGGTATAGAAGGAGGGTTCTGCAACAACACGAAGAATTAAATTGGTGCTGTCTCAATGACACCGCGAGTCTGGCACAACCAACCTGAACCAGGAGCCATTTGGCCGGCTTTGTACGATATGCCAGGATCCACAGCAGGCAGCCGACTTGGAACAGAACTTTCAGCGGGCCGTATAGGAGGAATAGGAGCTTGTTGCTTGTCTGGAGGCAGGTGGGATGTGGAGGAAGGGTGACGATGGAGATTCGAGGGTGGGAGGAGATCTCGGGATGTACGTCCGATTCTATAACAATCGCGTTAGTGTGGTGTAACAAGAGACAGACAATTAATCTTCTGGCGCACCATGGTAACCAATCATATCTACCTGTCCACCGTTTCTAGCAACACTCAGTGCATGGTACTGCATGCGCGGACTGCGGCCGATATCCCCTAGAACGAGTATCTGGACAGTCGTCTTGGGCTCGTTGGGCGCATCCTGTCCGGAGTCGCGCTTCGACGCATACTGCGAAGGCAGCAGGAAGATCACGAGCGTGATGGCCGTGGAGATGTAGAAAGCGATACTAATGAGCGACTCGATCATGGTGTAGGATCGTATGGGTGAAACAGGTTTAAGCAGTAGGAAACAACACCATCATGGACGGATTGGAGGTATGCAGCTCAGCGCATGGCCATTGACCAGTCAATGCCAAGGGAAAGGGAGAGGTGTCGATGAGAATCCCACGAGCCTCGGGATAAAGTGCGGGATGCCAGCTGGACTCCGAACGGAGGAAACCTGGGCCGATCCCACCCCACCCGGTGCCGCGTCAAAGCACCGCAAGCGCGCGGCTCCGACTCGGATTGGTAGGATGCATGCAAGACATGGGGGAGAGTTCTGCAGGAAAAAGACGGGAGAATCTCAACCGAGGATACTTGGTAGCGTTGGAGTGGTCGATTGCGATCGAGGCCGGGCGATCCTCAGCAGCGGCGAGGACGATCACGTGGCCGGGGTTATCGCGAGGGCTGGTGACTTAGTGGCTACCGATCGCTCTCCATGGCGGCGGCGGCGCATCTCTCAGTCTGTCTGCCAGTCTGGGGGCCGTCACCACTTCTCGCCACAAGCGCCCCGTCAAAGCTCCCTCCCTCCCTCCTTGTTTTCCAGCTTCTTCTCCCTCCCTCCTGGGCGCTATGCTGCCTCGTCCCTCTCAATTGTCCGGCCGCCCATCTGTTCTGAGCTGCTAGAGCTCCACTGACCTCCTATCTCCCCGCCTCGGCTTTGTCTCGCTTCTTGCTCCCTCCGTCGCCGCTCATCTCCCGTCACGAACCACTGGGGATCATGTCGACTGGGGCTCCCGTGTCCATGGTGGATACGATTCCTCAGGTACATGGTCTCGGACATAGTCGTGGTCACGGTCATTCACGCTCATCTCGCTGGTCACAAGGGCCCATCTCCCTCTCAGCCTCCCCTTTGAATGCTGCCTCGCCGCAACAACAGCCCCCACAGCCTCTACCGAATCCACCCCCTACCAATGGTCATCCAGTCAACCCAACGGGGCACGAACACCATCACTCCCATTCTCATTCCCACTCCCATTCACACTCACACTCGCATTCGCATTCGCACTCGCACTCGTCATCCCATAATGTATGGGAGCAACACACCCACCATGGGAGTTTCGACTCGATCAATCACAGCAAGAATGATAGCGTGACGGGGATTATTGGAGCTCAGTCACTCAGAAACTCAATTGAGCTCCAATCAAGCACCATGTAAGATCTTGATTGAGCCGGTCATGATCGTTTCTAACATCTTTCAGTCAAGAAGTTCTCTCTGGCCTCCTCCTCGCCCTACCGTGGATCGCCCTATCCTGGTACCACCAACAACACGCACATTGGCAGACGGCGACATCGGTAAAAGATGATACAAAAACGCCTACGTCTGAAAGCGGAGGATTTGAGCAAATCGCCAGCAAGACCTCCATTTTGACCGCCGTTACGTTGATTCTATATGGTTGTGGACAGCTGGTTCGAGGAGGGAGTGGCTCGGGGCTTGCACTACCCAGAATAGACTCTGGCGCCGCGAGTGCCGTCTTTCTGCGTGCATCCTCCATTGCGTTACCGATATACGCGGCATTGAAAGTGGGGGGGTTCCTTATCGCATGCACCTTGCTGCTTGCCATGGGGTCTGGAATGCCGACCGTTGTCCAGGGCTATGGCCTCCACAGCAGTGCACAATCCCGCTTGAGTCAAAAGAAAGTAACGGCCATGCTTCTCGCCACCATTGTGCTTTTGAGCCTTTGGGGTATGAATGCGACGCGAGACCGTCACCCAATCTTGGGTTACGCCTCCCTGCTCGTCACTGTTTTCGTTCTCCGGCCTCCCTTTTCAGGTGTACACTCGAAGTCTGTTGATCTGGATATCTCCAATGGATCAGTTTCGCATAAATATTCAAAGCAGGGCTTCGATAAAGATGCATCTAGTGAATCTGTTTTGGTTATTCTTTCAGGAATCGTTCTGGCTCTTGTTACAGTCATTGTGTCTGGCAATGTGTCTTTCGAAGCCTCCGACTTGATGTACCAGCTGGCAGCTGCTGGAACATTTGCAGCCTGTCTGGTATTCCTCGCCCCCTTTCATCTACGCTCACCGCACAAGATTGGCTTAGCCATTGGAACTGCAGGTGCTGCGCTGGTGTGCTCACCACCACTACAAGAGAAGGTTCACCTGGCTTATGTTTCTCGGGCCATTGCAACTGCCGCCTCGTTTCTTGCTGCCAGATTCGATGATCGGCAATTGCGCCTTTCAGCACACTCTCATACCCATCATCATCATAACACTCACTCTGGGGTGGAAGCATCGGCAATAACGAAGCTTATCCTCCGCTATAGCGAGCCATATCCCCTTCTGTATAGTATTCTGAAGGAAAGCGATTCACGACGCATCTTCTACTTTATGAGGTACGTCCCTACGTTATCCTTTCTTCTGTGCTGTCACTGACCGAGTTAGTCTAAATTTTGGCTTCATGCTCGTGCAGCTATCATATGGATTCTTGACAGGGTCTCTGGGTCTGCTTAGTGACAGTATCCATATGTTCTTCGACTGCCTGGCGCTCGTGGTTGGTCTGAGTGCTGCTGTCATGAGTAAATGGCCACCGAGCTCTAGGTTTCCATACGGATACGGCAAAGTGGACACGCTTTCCGGGTTTGCCAACGGCATCTTTCTCATGTAGGTTTTGCTGACAATCGTCTGGGGTCTCTCGGCTAACAATACGTAGGATCATCAGCATCGAAATCATCTACGAAGCGGTTGAGCGACTCTCCTCTGGCAGTGAGATGCACCGCCTTGGCGAACTGCTGGCTGTCAGTTTTGCTGGTCTCCTCGTCAACCTTGTCGGAATCATGGCTTTCGACCATGGACACGCCCACGGACACGATCACAGTCACGGGCATTCGCACGGGAACGAGAACATGCACGGTATTTTCCTACACATTCTCGCCGACACGCTTGGCTCTGTGGCTGTTGTGATCTCGACCATCCTCGTGCACTACTCTGGCTGGCCAGGGTTTGATCCCATCGCGTCCTGTCTGATTGCAATCTTGATTTTTGCCTCGGCAATCCCGCTTGTCAGCAGCACTGCCAAGACGCTGTTGCTTGCGCTGCCAGCTGATATTGAATACAATGTCCGCGAAACCCTTGCTGGCGTCAGTACCTTACGGGGCGTTGTCGGGTACACCGTTCCGAAGTTCTGGCTGGATGATACGGGGAAAGACTCTGGCCATCACCACGATCATGGCCATGATTATGGCTGCGATGGTCACGATCATAGCCACAGCCACAACCACAGCCATAATCATAGCCACGATCACGATCACGATCACGACCATGACCACGGCCATAACCATAGCCATACACACAGTCACGACCATCACCACAGCCACCATGATCACGATCACCATGACACGCACACCCCCAATGTCCTCGGCGTAATCCACGTTATCGCCTCCCGCAGCTCCGATCTCGAAGACGTCCGCCAACGCACTGTGGAATACCTCCGCGAAAAAGGCATGGACATTCTCGTCCAAGTCGAGCGCGAAGGAGACGGCCGTTGCTGGTGCGGCGGCGGCGGCAACAAGAATCCTTAATCTAATCTACCCTTTCTTTACACGAACACGAAAAACTTTGGTTAAGTAGGTAGATAGATCCGACCACCTACCGGGGTCTTTTTTCTTCCCTTTTCGTTTTCTTTTCCCCGTTCTGGTCTTTACCCCCTTTATTGATTACCTAGGGTACTTGTGGGATTCCTCCTTCTTCTCTATACATATGTCTAAGTACGCTGATTCCTCTTCCGGGATGGGTTATGGTTATGTACATGTAGAGAAAGCAATGCAAATACTACAGCTGAAGTTTATTCATTCATTCATTTATTCACCAATCCTAGTCTGTGTAACCTCAATGATCATTCCTACCTCGGTAAGTAGATAGACGGAGGTATCTCAACAACATCATCCCTCATGATATTTTCAACTCCAACATTTCACCAAATATGAAATATGCAACATTGCCTGAGGTACCATCCCTATCATACGCTGCGCCCCGCTCACCGGCAATTTCCTGCTGTAGAGTTACGAATCACGTTACACCTGTGGCTCTTCACGTGCATGAAGGTACCACACGTACGATTGAGTACAGGTAGAGAGAATACGACTTGCACGAGTCACTAGCGCTGATAGTCACTACGTCGGTATATGAATTTCTCAGGGGAGGGTGTAGTGTGAATCTAAGGAGGGCCAAGTATTCTGTGGATGGGGTGGATGAGATTGATACTCATGGCAGGCAGACATTTAGGTTAATGGATCACGGGGCTGATAGGTACAAAGGGGCACGGTTGTAGTATGAACGGCGCAATAATCAGCCGACTCTCGGCCGGTGGTACCGGGTTGCACACTCGCTCCAGCGAGGTAGTGCAATGGTTACTGATGTCTCATATTCAGTCTCGAGTAAGTGTACCATGTGATGAGGACGGGGTGTATATAGGTACCCGTCGGGTGGTTTAAGGGGGCAATGGGAGGTTTCCATGACGGGGTGTCCACAAATGTCTTTGTGCCCTTGGTATACCCGTGTCGCGCGATATATAGGTCGGTCATCTCGATGCCAGGTCAGGACCCTGCCCCGTATGAAGAGGAGGTCAGAAGGAACGGGTATGCGACGTCTTTCGAGAGGCAGACTATTTTCCTGACGGGCAGTACGGGCTCGTTGGGAGGATGTATCCTGTATAAGCTGGCAACGCAGCTTCCGACGCGGAGGATCTTTGTTTTGGTCCGTGGGTCGTCGGACCTGGCCGTGCAGAAATGGAAGAAGACCATGCCAGATCATACACAGGCGATTGTGAACACGAAGAAGATACACTTCGTCATTGGGGATATCAGGAAGCCGGACTTTGGGATCGAGGCTGGTGTGTTGGAACAATTGCGTGAACAGGTCACGCTGGTTATCCATGCAGCGGCGAGAATCAAGCTGGATGCGAACATCTCTGAAGCGCTTGAGAATAACTGTCTGCCAGCGTTGGAGCTGGCTCGGATTGCTTCACGGTTCCGTCGACTCAGGCTCTTCATTCAGATCTCCACGGCGTATGCGAACAGCTTTCTGCCGGATGGCCATGTTGCTGAGCGACTGTACTCCATATCGGACGAGGATCCGGAGGAGGAACTGGCATCCATACAAGCGACTGGGTTCTCACCTCATACGGATCGATTTTCTTCATCTTATACTCAGGCAAAGAATCTCATGGAGCGTCTGACCTTCAAGCGGTACCCGACGTTGCCGGTGTTATTTGTCCGGCCGACAATCTTTGGCCCGGCCGTCCGAGATCCCTACCCGCTGTACGGGCCTGAAGACTCGACTCCCCTGACCAAGTTCTCTACTCTTTATTTCGAAGACCAGGGAGGTACGCAGGTCTGGCACGCCGCCGAGGGTTACAAAAGTGGTGCAAATATCTTGGATGAGATTCCCGTGGATTTTGTGGCCAATGCATGTCTTCTACATGCAGCTGCAGGAACGCGTGGAATTGTTCACGTTGGATCCCAACTATATGTACGGCTAACGTTCGACGAAATTCTGGCCATATGCAGGGCCCATGCCCCAGAAGAGCTTCAGAAAGAGTTACCAACAATCGTTTTCGTGGAAGACCGGAGTACTCCCCAGCATATCCTGGCAGAGCTAGTCAAGGTGGGTACACGGAACTGGCTGTTTGATTGTGGGCGATCATACTGGCTGAAGCAACTTGGAGGCCCTTTGAGCTTAGCCATCTGTCAGCATGACTCAGATAAGCTTGCCGCGGCACGGACAAAAGTGGCTTATGAGAAAGTGCTGAGGAGGACGGGCAAGCTGTAGGGAACTGTCCATAGTCTTGGAATAGTCGTCTGTGTGTGGTATTTATGGGCGATCATTTTGTTCGCGGTTCAATTTGTGATGATAGAGCCGTATGCATATATACGCTGACGGTGCGCAATATGATGACAGCGTTGCAAGCTTCGTTTATTTAAGTCGTACAGAGGCCCTCATGCAGTAACCATAACGTCAGGTTAGGTGGGCCAGTATATCAGCCCGTAGACATCTTTCAGAGGCCTATTTTCCGTTTTGGCCACTGTAAAGCGCCTTCCCATCGCACGTCACAGGGACGAAGAGCTCTTAGTAGCTCGGATACCAGAGCTCTCCCAGAGTTAGTCGCCCACCACACCTTTCCATCGAGCTCATACAGAAGGGCACCCCAGTGTATGAGAACTAAGAGTGCAAGAGGTTGACGGCATCTCAGAGCATGGACGAATTCTTTATCAACGGTTGCAACCCAGGCAAGGATGGAAGCCACATCTCGGTTATGATCGTATCTGCAGAAACAGCGGCGAAGGAGGGATACTGCATTTTTGATAACGCGGTGTTGCTCCACATTGGCACCAGCCAGCATATCGTTGTTTAACGCGGTTAGTCGATCCAGAGCAGCCTCCGTTTCACTGTCTAATATGGAAAGCTGGGTTTCCCAAAAGCCCCGTCGGGATGTGAACAGCTTATCTTGGAGCCATGGACGGCTAATGCTGAAGATGTTACTGGTCCCGTGCAGTAGTTCGAAAACAACGATAATGTTCTCGGTCATACTCTGACTATCTTCTCGTGTGGCAGCCAGTTGTGGAAGCGCTATACCAATAACTGTTGTAAGGACCGAGTGAGCAAACACAGCATCACAGTTCGCCGGAGTGAGGTTATCGATCGCATGCCGGAATGGTGCAAATGCCAGATCATGGAACTCCAAAGCCGTATCTATATAAGACAGCGCTTCTGGCGGTTCACGTTCCGATGCAATGTGCAGAGATGCAACTGCCAATACCCCGCTCATGAGGAAGTCATACTCGAGAGCCTTTCGTGGAATAACGGACTGCCACACATGGTGGTCCGTAGGCTCGTTGCAAAGGCTCTGATAGGTCTCCGTGGAGAACTTGTGCATCAACTCGAGCTCTCGTAGACTGGCGAATTTTAACGGAGATGGCCCGTTGCGGGAGAGAGGTAGACTGGCATAAGTTGCTGTTTGCGAAGGCGCTACTTTGCTGGGGGATTGCATAGGAGCAGGGATTGCTGCTGGTGGACTGGCCTCTTTTCGTGCTCCCGGGATATTGAAGTATGTGCATTTCAGCTCCCGACTAATGCAATTGGAGCATGGTGGGCCTCGTTCATCGCACTAACGCTGTCAGAAGAACGCTGTGGGCCGCACCGACATTAGATGAGTACCGTTGTGGCTCCAAGGAAGATGATCCTTCTGAAACACCTCGGGATGAAGCAAGGGATGTGATGCGTACCTTGACGCGTCTCTTCTTACACTGGTCACAACCATTGCGTGATTTGGTATGAGTCCTTCTGGGCGGCATCTCCCATCAATTTGACCCCAGGTCTTATCCTTTGCGAGCTTAGGCGCACCTATAAGTCTGGCGCATACTGGAAGCCTATTTGACAACGGTGGACTCGATCAATGCAAGGTTGGCATCGGATGAGCTGGAACGGAGAGTCGGAGATGCTGGCGAGGTCCCCACGTGCCCACGTGGGCTGACTAAGTCGCCGGAGTGGTCACGTGATGCACATTTCCTGGGCATCGACAATCTCAGACGATCCCTCTTTTTCGCTCTGGCCGGAGACATGTGCGGATCAAGCATCGGCATCCCGACAGCCATTGCAATGAGCATCGCTGTTCATGATTGCTGTTCCTCTCTTCAACCCCAACACCAAAAGGGGCGCAATGACACTGGTGGAGATGTGAGTACCCACAACGGCCACTATGGGGCCGGTTAAATTGCATGCTTACTGAGTCCTGTCCAGGCACCGCGATATCTACAGCATCAGACTCCAGCAACAACAACAGATGGGATGACGCAAATCTATTCCTCTGGGATTCTGACATGATCCGAACTATCCATGAAGCCAAGAAACATGTACCCAAGACATTCACGCTCTCCACACCAGCAACCAGCGCAATTGACGGAGAAACGCTGCCGTCGGCGATAACAACGGATACGACCGCCCAGTGGGGCGCTGCGAGAACGAGAACGAGAACGATAACGAAAGCGACCCAATCAGCATTGCCTTTGCAGGGATTTTATACAGGCCTCGCTCCACCCATCATGGCCGTCACCAAGTCCCGGCAAATCGGGGTAAAGAACGGTCGACTTTAGATTTCTTAGTTGGTCTTGTATTAATAGGTCTAATCCCCAGCACCTCGATCAAGATGACCACCCTATCTCTATCAAAGCCGACGTCGAGGCTCTCTCTCTTTGTTCTGCCTTTCCCTCTCTTTTCCTTCCTTTCCTTGCACATATTCCACATCATATAGAGTCGACATCTTAGCGATTTGCTGTCCTAATTCCTTCCATCTGTCATTCTTTTGGCCTCCTCTCCTTCACACCACCCATCCACCTACCCTCCACTCATCCCAACCAAACCCGCCACCATGAGCGCCCTCACCTGCACGCACGTCACGCCCGAATGCCCTGTCACATCCACCACATACGGATACTACCCCAACCTCGGCGGCAACATCTTCTTCACCGTCTTCTTCGGCATCTGCGGAACCTTCCAACTCGGACTAGGGATCTACTTCCGATGCTGGACCATGATGACGGCCATGGTAATCGGCGCCTTCATGGAACTAGCCGGCTACATCGGACGAATTCTCATGAACCACAACCCCTGGAACGAAGGCGCCTTCAAACTGCAAATCGTCTGTCTCGTACTCGCGCCCACCTTCATCGCCGCCGGAATCTACCTCACCCTGAAACACGTCATCCTCTCCCTCGGCCCTCAATACTCGCGTCTCAAACCCCAACTCTTCACCTGGATCTTCATCAGCTGTGACGTCGGATCCCTCATCCTCCAAGCCGCGGGCGGCGGCGTCGCCGCTGCAGCAGGCAGCGCTAACCAATCCCTCCTCAAAGTCGGCGACGATATCATGGTCGCGGGTATTGCCTTCCAGGTTGGAACGATGACTGTTTGCGGGTTACTAGCATTGGACTTTTTTGTTCGCGTGGTGAGAAAGGGACCTGGTTTATCCGGCGAGAAGTTCGATAATGAGGCTACGAATGGACGGAAGAATATTCGTTTGGTCATTGTGGCGGGTATTGTGGCTTATTTTACCGTGCTGATTAGGTGTATTTATCGGTGAGTTTACCAACCTTTCCCTCTTCTCTCTATATGTGCGTTGAGGGCATTGGTGCTGATGATGATGTGCGTGCAGTATTCCGGAAATGGCGGGTGGATGGGGAAATCCGCTCATGCAGAAGGAGAACGAATTTTTGGTCCTGGATGGGATGTAAGTCAACGTCATATTATCTGTCGATAGATGGATGGATGGGCGATAGTACTAACTGAATTCAGGATGATGGCTCTGGCCGTGAGCTTGCTTACTATCTTCTACCCAGGACTGTTCCTCCCGTCGATCCGGAAGGGGGTCAAGAACAAGGCCTGATATCGTATACATCCCTACCAACCATACATATAAATACTAGATACCCATTGCTGGAGTAGAGTTCGACATCCTAGCAGCGTTTATGATCAGATAATAGATTTCAGTTCCAGTTCATTGTTTGTTTTTTTTTTTTCAGACTACGACACCATCGCATTTCTTATAAGCCACGACCGGAACGAAATCCGCCGACAGCAATCCAACGGGATATATAACCAGGGCAAAATAACATACGACAAGCATGGATGCATGCAGGTGGCCAGAAAATAAGCATAGAAAGAACATTAGAATCGACTCCGTCCTAAACCAGTCAGAACAAAGGAACAAACTCCGCAGCGAATAAAGATGGGCGAATAGAAATAAAAAGAAAAAAGTGAAAGTGAACATGAAAATGCATCTCATCGATAGACATCAAGTGCATCCGCCAAATGGTCCAGCTGTTCAGTCTATCATGCAGCCTCACAACAAGAAGACGGGTTGAAAGTAGATATTGAGAGAAATAGCCGAGGTAGAGAGACTTGTTCACTACCGACCGCCACGAACAGAAGGATGTGGATTCACTCCTCTCCCAAGCTGTCCCGGACGCACTTGCGCACCCGCTTCTTGAACTCCTTAGGGTCCTCCCTCCATAATCTGGCAGCCTCGACGTTGGCAGGACTTTCGTCGTTGGGACTCGAAAGCATGGAGATGACGGAGAGGAGAATCGTCTCGGGTGTTTGCACGGGGGACCAGCGCTCGGCCGCGGATTCGTAGCCATATTTATCTTCCTCCGGGGGGTGGAGGATGGAAATGCAGACGTCACCGTTAGGGTAGACTAAACAACATTCACAAGACATGTAATCAGTATTATGGCCTTAGGTTTGTTTTTGAAGGGATCCGGAGGTGGACGTACTGTTAGGGTGGAACAAAGGCGTCTCGAACTTCATCTTCGGTGGCATATGGGGGTAGTCGGTTGGGAAGGTGAGACGGGCGCGAAAGAAACCTCCTATATTGATTCCAAGTAAATAGTGTTAATTATGGCTGCTCAAAAGATGGGACCAGGGGGATACGAGACTCACCACCGTACAGCTTGACATCATCGGAGATCATAAGCATGACCTCCCATTCGAAAACATTACTGTCGACCAAGCCGCAACTAATCCCCGGAATGTCCTTGTCCGACTGCATTTGCTGCAGTTGACGCGAGAGCATACGCCCGGCTGGTGTCGTTGCCATGATTGAGAGAGAAGGCGGAGAGGGGTAAGGGAGGGGAGGAGGTGAGGGGCGAAGTGACCACTGTTGGGGTAGAGAGAAGAAGAGGAGGGTGGATGGTGGGTGGTGGGCAGAGATACGGCCCTCGATATGGGGAGGAAGTCAGGCAGAGGAGAAGGAAGGGATGAGGAGAGTAGGAGGGAAATCCCCGAGGCGTAGCTGGGAGGAACAGGTAGGTAGACCGAGGGTCACGAAGAGACTGTCAGTTGATGGGGAAGAATCGCTCATGCCAGGGCGGTGAGCGAGTGGGAGGCGGGGCTGCACGATAACGCCGGCCGTGAACGAGTACCTGGCGGGATGATATTATTATTAGGGGCTAGGGATCCGCGAAGTAACCCTCCATGCAGGCAAGCTCAGGGCCGTCCAAGTCAGGCTTCACTCCTATTTTGCCTCGTGTCACACACCATACCCATCATCACAGAAGCGGGGTTTATCGGGCTACGAATTGCAACGAGTTCAAAACGGGTTCATCGTGATCAAGTTACAGGTAGCCGCCTAGGACAGACGTGCAAAACTATGCAGTAGCGCTTATATTCAACGAGTAGGGAGGTATGTATAGAGTCATACAGGAGAGCAGAGTCGTAGCCGGTTAGATCTTCAACTTGTACACACATCGGTTTCTGACTATGGTTAGGCGCTGTTTCCAGCGAAGCCGTAGGTCACTGCACCGGCCCAAATCTGGGCGATCAGCAGCGTGCTGAAAAGCACAACCACCGCAACCTCGATGGCGAAGCCCTTGGCGATGGCCTTGACAAAGCGCGTTAGGGCAGGCCGATCAAAGGTCTTCCAAGCATCCGTGATGCTCAGCTTGCCACTGCCTCCCACAATGGCAGGGGAGACCTTGCCGCCAAAGGAACGGTCGAAAGGCACAATAGACTCATCCTCTTCAGGAAGCATAGACGCAGCCACGCGGATGAAGATAGCCCGGGCCGGGATGGACACCACAAAAGAAAGTAGAGCAGGTAGGGCGACAAGAGTAGCAGCGCTCGCAATAGTCTTAGCCGGGGCATCACCGTCAGCCGGGTTCTCGGCACCTTTGAAGCCACCGCAGGCACTGGTCAGCGCAAGGGGGATGTAGTAGGAGGCAGCAGTAACGGTGTGTTCAAAAGCAACAACCGGAGCAATCTTCTTCCAGGCATCAAAGCCGGGGATCCGCTGGTAGAAACGCTTGGGAGAAGGCTCGGAAATGACAATGTGAACCCACGCCAACTGGAGGTTGGCCAAGAGAACGCTGGTGATCATGCTGACGAAAAACTGAGACAGGAAAGCATCGATCGAGAAAGGCATGATCGAGAGCACCATTACTTGCGCGAGGCCGTAAGTGGTGAGCATGCTCAGGCCGCGGAAGCGGGACAGGAAGCCGGCACGATTGCGTAGGTGCTGAATGGTGGTACGGAGTTTGCTGGTGACGGGTTGGGGCCGGGGAGCTTCAATCTCAGGGTCGGCATCGGGCTCGTTTGCATCGACGGGCTTGTTGGCATCAAAGTTGGTATCGATACGGACGTAGATATCGGGGTTGGAGTCTTCAATAGCGGCGAGGGTCGGAACCAGCATTCCGTAAGTGTACTCCACCTGAAATACGCGTCAAAGAGTGCCCTTCACATTATCATAAATTCAAATTGCAGCTTACCGAAAAGCCGATGGCAATAAATGCCAGGACCGTGAAGACGAAAAGAGCGGACAACCATCCAGCGAAATGGATGGTGGGTTGGTTCGGGGTAGGCTGCTGAGAGCTGAAGTCTGAGACAGCCTCCACACCTCGCCGAACGAGGGAAGAGATGGCCATAATGAGACAATATCCGTATGACAATCCGGAAGACTTGATGAAGTGGATGGGTATGATAAAGAAAGACGACCGGATGGATGGGATTGATGATGACGACGATGGTGAAGAGGAGAAAAGCAACGACTAATAAATGGGGAGAGGCTAGCCGGGGATCAGGCGGCAACGGGAAATCGCAGGCAGTAACTGACTTGCCGACTACTGACTAGCTCCGACTGCGGCTGAGTGGGCGCCCGCGTCACTTGCCGCCAATCAGGAGGCCTGCCGCTGTTGGTATACGAGTCGGCGCTTTGCTCGGACGCCTTGGCGGACGCTTGCGTTGCCCGACCCGACTGCCGTTCGTCGTTGATGGACCCTGGTCTTGCCCTTATCACGAACTGGTGATAGCGCAATTCCAATTAGCCCAGAACCAGGAGGCTTCGTGGAAAGAGTTTGCAGAAAAGGGGCTCGCTGTCCAAAGGCTTCGAGAGATATTATGCTTCTCTCTGCCAAAACACAATAAGTTTCAAGCCACAATGTTTCAGCTACTGATTTTGAAACCTTGGCTTTCACTGGCCAGAACCTCTTCAGCTATTGCGCTAGGCCATAGAACGATGGATTATTTATAGATGCGAGAGAACCAGGTCGACTCGAAATGTTGATCAAAAGACAAAATCTCTATGCAATGCACATTCCTAGCACTAGTACAGATAACCAATAAACTGTCTAGTCTAAGTCGAAAACAAGGATATCCAGGCTTGCAAAATGCTTTCCGCAGAAGGACGAAAGGACGAACGCCACCCTCGAAGATACCGATAGACTTACACCACCGTACCTGCAGCGCGCAGTGTATCGTTTAATCGAAGAGCTTCGTCATGAACTGGTGAGCCAGCTCGACACCCGCACTGTTGACACATTAGCAACATTACCCACAAAGGATACCGGGGATGAAATAACATACAAGGTAGCCGCATTGGCAGGAACAGCTCGTGCCAGAGCGGGACCAAATCCAGGGAAGAAAGCCTTGAAGCCACCGCTGGCGTACACGGTGCGAATTGTGCCGCCGATCGTGGGACGACCCGGTGCGCTCTGCAGACGGGACTTGATGGTATCGACGGGGAAAACAGGGATCCACATGGCAATACCGGCAGCACCACCCGCAGCCAGAACCGCCGGCATGGATAGTTGACCGGTGACATTGCCCTGCGCATCCTTGGGGGTCAAAGTGCGCTTGATATATTCATATGCTGCGAAGTATGCGGCAGATCCCGGACCATCACGAGCCAGAGTCATTGCGCTACCACGGAACACACTGCGGATACCGCCCTCCTTGTATAATTGCCGAACAACGTCCAACCCGCCCGAGTACTTGGGCTTCTGACCCGGAGGTGGAGGGTTCTGACCCTGGATCTGCAGAAGCACCTTGACGCGCTCGAAGGGGGCCGTGATCAACGTCATGGGGATGGCCGAAAAGAATCCAGCAGCAGAGATCTGGCCGATGGTGTATTGAGGGGTGTTGTTCTCCACGCGAACCTCGGAAAATTTGCTGACAAGCGTTTTACCCACATCGTAACCCTGATTCGACCGTCAGCATCGGCGCAAACGAGACAGCTGTGCCAGCTAGTATACGTACCCAGAAACTGACAGCGACTGAAGTGCAAACGGATTGTTAGTAGTTGCGACAAGATATGGTGCAGAAGAAGCTTACACATCGGCGTAACTCCCACCAGGGGAGCGGAGACACCCGCATAGAGACCCTATGCTAGTCAGCATGTGCGCCAACACAGATAAGCCTGACAACTTACGCGAACAAGGCCTTCACGGGCCACAGTCCTCTTCACGACATCGATCGCACCCGAGTAGACGCCCTTCTCCGCAGTCTGCAACCGCACTTTCACCAGATCGAAAGGGTGTCCAACGACCACTGCGCAAACACCACCAGCAGCACCAGCAGCCAGAGAGCGGATCTGAGCAACGGTCTGATTAACGGGCTTGGCTTCCGGGACGATCACATCCTTGGGGACCGTTTCAGCGACGGAAGGAGAATCAGCCATGGTGGCAGGTATGAAGTTGCAAGGAGCGGGGAGATAAAGCGGGGAGGAGGCTGGGGCAGAAGTCTTGTCCCGAGCGGTAGCAGAAGATGAAAGAGGCGACGACGTTGAGAACGAAAAGACAAAGCGAAAATAGCAGTCAGAAGTAGCACGTATTCAGATTAAAGAAAGAAATGAGAAGAAGGGAAAAGTAGCTTTGCGACGGTCACGCTCCAAATGACCAAGCAAGGGAACGATACCCCGGACCTCGGCTCGGCGCGGATCAACGGGCCTTCCGAGAAAGGCACCCCGTGGATTTCGGCCCAGCAATCCACCTGCAACCGACGGACCGGGGCTCCGTGGAGCAGTTGCGTGATCTGATATCGCTTCACTGTGCAGTTCCCTGAGATCTAACTACGACCGTTGTATCTTTCAAGCCCCTCTATTCTCAATATACTGTCTCATTTCCAGCATATGAAGCTCCACTGAACCAGAATGGCCGGCATCGGATGAACGGACACCATACTCGAATTGACTTCGACATGCGGGCAGGGCAGTCTTACTGCCTTACCCAAAGCCTTCAACCCATTACTCCGGTCATCTGTTCCCGTCCAACAACCTGCTGGATTTCAGCAACGGACGACAGGAAGTGCCAGTGTGCCACAGCTCATGCGATGTCCCACATGCACTGTCCATTGTCAGTTGACGTGTCGCTTCGTCATCGCCACTGCCACCCACCGCCAAGCTTTCACATGCATCAATCCAGACAGGCAAATACGCACAAGCCCGGACTCCGGTTCAAATCCACTCCAACCATTCCATTATATATCCAGAAATGAACCACCATTCTAACACCAGAATGCATCCCAACAATTCGATTTATACCCTCACTTCCGTAACCTACCCCACTGCCGCTCTCACAATGCCCTCCACGACATCCATCTCCGCTTCATCCCGCGGAGCATAAACAAACACCCACCCGGGCGGCACTCCCTCCAACGGGGGAAACCTCGCTCCCCAGCCTCTCTCAATCACCGCCCTCGCATCCCGCTCACTCAACCACACATGCAAACTATACTCCGTGGGATGCACATGCGCGATCTCCCGGTCCAGGATCGCTACCTCCCTGGTCACCGGGTTCAGCGTATCGACATCCGCGCGCGCATACAACCCATCCGTTGTCTTGCCTTCCGTCTTGCTGGGGCTGAGCTCAAAGAGGTCCGGATGTGCGGAGGCTAGGTCGGGGACGATGGAGTGGAGGCGGGATAGCATGGCTGGGGGAATGGGTTCGGGGCGTTGGCGTTGGGGGAGAATGCGCGGGATGATGTGTGGGCGGGGACTGCGGCGGGGAGGAAGAGGCGCGGAAGGGAGGTACGAGGGCCCGGTCTGTTTGAGAACAGACGCATCGAGGAGGTTGTTGTTCGAGAGGGCCTGTTTGATGCGGAGTTTGGTCATGCGTAAGTAACCTCTGCTGTTCGTGGTATTAGCATATAAACCAGAGGGATAGGTAGCAGGTAAGTCTCACGACCAGGTAGGTGATGATCCGCCCGTCCCAAAAGCTATCCACTCTCGGAAATCATGGATCGTCCTGATTTCTCTGTTAGCCATGATATACAATGGCGAGGTACGGAGTAGATACACCTTACCAAACAATACCCAACACAGCTGTAGCGCAGATCCCCGTAGCCACAGGGTTGGACGTCAATGTCGCGATAATCTGATTTTGGGATATCCTCGCCATCGTCTCCAATAAGGCACGACGCGTCGATCAACTCGATTAAGATCAGAAAAGGATATTTTTCTCAAGAAGAAAAGCTAGAGCACGTCTACAACCTGAAGTACACAATACAATAGACTGATCTCATATACCCGTCATGGCTCGGACTCGGAGCTCGGATTTGGTCTTTGCACCGAGGTCGGAATAGGCTGAATGAAGTGGTGAGGTTCCTGGATGACGTTATATTATGCAGGGATCGTCGGAATGTGAGCTGTCATGTGTTGTTGGGTCGACTCCGTTGATCCTTTTATACTATACATAGTGTTATATTGACATCCGGGCATAATTGGTCTATTTTTAGATATACTACAATTTGTCTGATTCTAGTAAATATCGTATTAATTGCCGAGAAGAACCTCGGCCTCAGGAAGCAACTTCGGTGCAGGACACGCCTTTCGACTTTTGTTCCTAAGGCATACAATACACAGCCTCAACCTCTCGCTCCAGCACTTCCACATTATATTCGATTCAGCCATTGCAGTCCGGAGTACTCCGCACCTGGAGATCCCTTCCGTCAAGCTTCCCCGTTACCTTCGACAGCTGTGTAGCACCCCTTCCATCCTGTACGGTGTCATCATATCCCCCGTCAGAATAACCCCTTCCCCACAGTCAGTACATTCTCGAGCCCCAGAGCGCGCCAGATATGCGGCTCCTTCTTGATCCTGCTAGCGGGCGTGACTCCATCAGCAATATGGAGGTCCGACTCTAGGAACATCCGGCAGCGTCCATAGGAATACATAGTAGAAGTTGATGCGGGGCTGCAATATTATAGAACCCGGTGTCTAGATTAACGAAGATATTCGCGTTGTAATGGGGGCGAGGTCTCCCATGATGGAGCAAATAACCTTGGAGCCAATTCTATTGAATCGATGCGTGGATGTTAGATTCAGAAGAGGAATGGATGGATGACTTAACTCCGTCGGCGCCGACAAGGATGTCTTCCTCAGTTTGGTAGACGACAGCAACGCCTTTATCATCGTGCTGGATTTTCCTACCCCATTTGCCTCATGCTCGTGCCCCTGTGTGAATTTAACATGTGTAACCAGAACATATAGGCCACCCTCTTGTACTAGAGTAACACCGGCTTTTTTTCTAAAAAACACTCCGGTGTTCAGACCGGTGTTGCTTTGACTATTGCTCAGCTCGATCCGAATTTAGTTCCATCCGGGTTTTGCCTGCAGAGGTCTGATATCACTGTGAAGTAGCCTAGTACATACGGATAAATTCATGGCTCTCACTCCCTGGAGTTGCAAGTGGATTAAGCTGAAGCTGGCTGTGTTGTTCGTTGGAGACGGAACTGTAACCTGGCCTCCGATATATACTAGGTCCTGGCCTGCGGGAAGCCCCAGCCCAAGGCATTGCAAAGCGCCTTAGTAAGCAACATGCAACGCACTTTGACCGCATTTAAAGAGCTTCGTCAAGCGCATGTAAAGGGCTACTAAAGGGCTCCGTTGAGCGCTCCTAAAGGGCTTCGTTGAGTGCATTTAAAGGGCTTTGTTGAGCGTATTTAAAGGGCTACTAAAGGCCTTCATCAAGCGCTACTAAAGGGCTCTGTTGAGCGCTTTTAAAGGGCTCAGTCAAGCAGTTAAAAATGCAGTACTTAATTCAGACCCACAGTCTGAATATAGACTGGGGGGCCTTCCCCCCCCCAGACCCCCTCTGAGACCCTTATTGGGCTGAAGCGGTGAGTACTGGCAATATAGTTTAAGTCACGTTATGAGTGAATTGAACAACCAATCAGGAAGCTGAAATTGAGCAAACTATCGGATTAATGAGAAGTCTTGGAGCTGGAAACTTCCCTAGCAGGACTGAACCTAGTATTGCTCAGTGCTAGCGCGCTTCGCAAATAAATCACCGAAGGAAGCTGAACAAACATTGAAATTGTTCACAGGATCCAATGGAAGGCTCATCTGCGTTTGCTTCAGCTACCCAGCCATCTGTCCGTATTTTACTTAGTAGAGCAATTTGAGTACGGAATCGAAAAACGGATTAATACAATATTGTAGAGACATATGGAGTCAGACAATCGACAGCTGAATACCTCAGGCCTGTAGCAAGCAAAGGCGGTGGGTTTGTGCCAGTTCAAAGACAAGTATTCCCAACAGTAGGCGGAGTATGAGTTGGGTTAGCCTGGCTGATGTGCTGTAGCGCAGATAGCAACATGTAAATAATGCGCTACTTCAGTTGTAGAAGATATATCGTCGCCTTGGCTACAATTATATCAGACCTCCTGACCACTCAGCCAACAATTCGCTGCATGCCATACTTTGGGACGTTGCGCCAGGACAGTGACGGTTGCCAAGCCGTGGGACCACCGACATCACACAGGCAAGGATGATCGGCTTGCGTGGATCGCATCATCACTACGTTACAACAAAAGATCGGCCGTCCGAGCGCCAGTCAGAAACTCATTTTATTCAATAACCCGAACGAATAAAGAGTGTAACCATTCAACAAGCTGCATTGCCTAACCTTGGTCATCCATGTACTCCATCCATGCTGCTGCTCCACAACCAGGTCCTGGGCAACGCGCAAATTATCTACTAGCCATTATGGTATGACCCATCTTATTAACATATACAAGCTGCAATCGAAACGTAGAAGTCGTAAACCATCATAGTGAAACAATCCAAGTCAGGTCTCGACAGGCCCGCTTGGCGCCTTGGAACCTCCAGGCATCGCATCATTCAGGCGTCGTCAATCATTTAGAGAAGGAACATAGCGGCCAGACCAAGAACACCGACGGCTCCACTGCCGGCAACCGCAAGCTTGGGAGCAGCGCCCGAAGAGGTCTGCGAGGACGAGGGAGCAGTTCCGGTGGCGGTGGAGTCGCCAGAGCCGTTGGAAGAGCTGCCAGTCTGGGATCCGGATCCACTTCCAGAGCTAGAGCTGGAGGAAGAAGAATCGGAAGAAGAGGAGCTAGAGATAGTGCTGGTGATAGTGCTCAGGGTAGTCGCACCAGAGGTGGTGGCACCGGTGGTCTAGGAATCGTTAGTACAAGCACTTGGGACCCAGGAGAATAGTCATCATACCGCTCCAGTGGTAGCGCCAGAAGTGGTAGCTCCAGTCGTAGCACCGCTGGTAGCACCGCTAGTAGCACCAGTAGTGGCTCCAGAGGCAGAGCTGGTCGAGCCAGTGTTCGAGGCGGAGGTGCCACTGCCAGTAGCGGACGAAGCATCACTGCCGCTGGTCGACGCAGCAGAGCCAGTGGTGGAACCAGCACCGGCAGCGCCAGTGTTAGTGCTAGAAGCGCCGGTAGCGGAAGCGGAGTTGGTGCTGCCTGTTATATAGTTAGCATCGGTCTTAGCATCTCCAACCGTGTCAGCAGAGCAACGTACCAGTGGAGGTGGGACAAGAAGCCAGAGCAGACGAAACAACAGCGCTGGCGTCGTCATTGGGGCAGGCCTGGGCGGTGCAGTCGCGAATACCGTAGCTGTAGTCGGCCTTGCTGCACAGGCAAGACAGATCGCCGCTGGTGCAACCCAGTTCAGACGCCTTGTTGTTCATGTTGCTGACGCACATTTGCTAGAACGCGCTGCTGTCAGCCAAACCTCGTCAACAATCCTATCGACTGGGTAACATACGGCGCAGTCAGTGACGGAAACATCAGCGCTGACCATGCTGGCAGCGGCCAGAAGGGCGAGGGAAAGCGAGGTCTTCATTGTGATGGAGTAGTTGGAGTAGTTGAATAAACGCGCAAGAGCAGAAATCGAAGGGCGACGCCGCGACAGAGGGTATCAATTGAAGCGAAATAGACGCGAAAGGCAGATGATGGTAGTAGACTCTGGAGAGGAGAAGAGAAGAAGATCAAGAGGGACGAAGAGGGACCGGCGAGATTTAAAAAGAAGGCAGGAAAGAGCAGGAAAGAGCAGGCGAGCGCAAATCCCGGGCCGGCGTGCCTTCCTCGTTGGGTTCTCGTCGGTGTTCCCGTCGCTGGCTCCTCTTTTTTTTCTTTTTCTTTTTTCTTTTCCTTTTCCTTTTTCCATTTCAACTTTTTTCTCTGCGTGTCTCTCATTTGCTTCTGGGGGCGATCATCCAGGCTCCCACTAAACACTACCTACCTACTAGCAAACACCCACCAGCTAACGTGGCTCAGGACACCGTCACGGGCCAATTCATGCAGTCATGGCTGCTCCACTCTAGCCTTAATCTTGGACTGGAGGAAGGCCCCTCGTCTATCTACCCGACCCAGACGCCGTGGCTCACGGCGATCCACCTCATCCCCTGCGTGCCTCCCATAGGCTGATCGCGAAGTCCTCCAGAATGGCCCAGTGGCTGAGAACCGAGGGAATTGAGATGCGCGCGGTGGTTGATCCCACTTTTACTCAACCATCCATCTTGAACCCTTAGTCGCATGGCCTTTTTCTCACTAACCATGGGACTGGAAGCTAAGGAGAAAGCTTTAGTCTCGCTTACACTAGTCAGTGCTGCTTTTTACTTCATCCCGTATTCCATGCTTGTTCCCGGTGATGGGCTGACCCTGAGAGCCTAGGTCGAACGATGGACAATGCTGAGGCCAAAGCTCAGTCGCACCACCTACGTCAAGGAGGAGGGGATCCTGGATGCCCAAGCGGCCAAGACGTGAAGACCGGGAATACAAACAAGACCAGCAAGCGGGCAGGGTCTTAGGGTCCTTGACCGACAGGATGCAGGGGATCGACGCGATGGAGCCGATCCTCACGGCCCAAGATCGTGATTTGTGCTTGGGGCTGGCGCTAAAATCAGCCCACCGCCGGTGTGGCTCGAGATGGCGACGAGCCACATCTGGATGCCTCAGCGTCCAGGCTGGACCACTCACGGTCGGTCGGGTTCTCTAGCGTCGAGTCGGAAGACGACCGTCGCGATTCGCGCAACTGGTGGTGGTACCACAGCAACGCGGTAGCCTGGGCCGATGTGGGGAGAGCCCAGGAGTTTTCCGCCACCCGCTAATTTCGATCTATTGATTTAGCCAGCTCCCACTCGTCGAGCAACCATGGGCGACTGCCAGGCGGAAAAAGAGTTCCAGGAGTACGGCCGAAAGGAAGGCTGGGCTGTCCAGCCACTGTGATTTCCGCGGGTTACATTGGCACGGCACGTACGGAGCAAGGAGGGGTATCTGCATCTTCAAAACACAACTACTACAAAGAAGAGAATTGAGGAGGATTCTGAACAGCGACCGACCATTTGGAGGATCAAGCCTGTCCACAACAATAATAATCGTCAAGGCAAAGACAGGATGCCGACCAGATTTACTCCGCTCCGTGGAGGCGACGACTTAGCCAGTCTGGGTAAGAGTAATTGATTGTTTAGCCTGTGGCGGTGCGACAGCGCATCCTTCTTTGTTTTCCTGCCCGGAATTCGCCCGAGAACCCCGACTGCTGGTCTCTTACGTCATGGGTCCCTGGCCTGCTGTCCATCACCGGCAGGCACCGAATCCTCGCAGGGCTGTTACTTGCCTCAACGTCACTTGGCTCATACCTTGATGTTAGGAGTAGCTCCCCCCAGCTTTCCATGCGGCAGCTCCCATGATGCAATGAAGGCGAAATTCATTTACAGGGTTCATAGAATCTTGGCAGAAGCTTTGGAATGGTGTCAGTCGCCTGCCAAGACAGCCAGTGCAGTTGCCCCAGTGCAGTGCATGTAGGTGCATCCTCTGAAATCGTTTCGACTCATACGGAGTACATAATTGCAGATGCAATGTGATGTTCCAGAGCTTGTGCCTTGATTCAAGAGATGAAAGGATGTTCACTGCTTGCATAGCTGTTCATTGTCTATCATCATCATCATCACTATCATCATCATCAGGCAAGGAGTTGCACTCAAAACAGCATACACAGTATAGTGGGCTCCATTAGGCTAATAGAATATGACTTGACTGGACTTCACGCACTCAAAACAAGGATAATCTGGGATGACACACTACACTTCATGATGACAGTGTTTACTATAGCAGGTTCGCATTACTAACATAATAGATATTGATCAGGCCACTGCACCGGTAGCTTATTACATATTAAAAACGACAAGCAACACTGATCTGCGGACCACTGGACTGACCCACCGGGAATCATCGTCAAGAGCATGCCTCCAGGCCCTGATAGAACGTGGCGGCTTCATCTCCGGCAATGCGACCGAAGACGACACATTCCAGGAGTGACGATCCTCCCAACCTATTCTGGCCATGGAGTCCTCCGGTGATCTCACCTGCTGCCCAGAGGCCTGGAATGGGCTGGCCCTGGCCATCGAGCACCTGGCTGCGCTCGTTTATCACCACGCCTCCCATGGTGAAGTGCACGACCGGCGTCACCTTGCCCACATATACCACTGACTCCGGCTTCACCTCTGTCAGCGTCCAGTTTCCAAACGACTCCCGTCCAAATTCATCCTTTTTCTTCCCCGACACCACATCGACATACTCCCGCAGCGTCCCCTCCAGCGCCGGCATCTCCTCCCCGAGCTCACCCACCGTCGTCTTGCGGATCAGCCCCTTCCACATATAAAAGCCCAGATGCGACTCCAACGCGGCGGCGGCCCCCTCATCCAGCACCAGCTTCACATCCCACTGCCTCGCCTTGGTGGGCAACCTCTCCGCCTGTTCCATCACCTCCCCCGTCACCTTCTCCCTCGTCTCCAACTCATTGACGAACCGTCTCCCATCACCCAGGACCAGAACACCCCCCTCTCCCCGCAGCGCCTCCGCCGCCAAGATCTTCACCATCGCCTCCCCATCCCCACCTTCCAGAAACCCCGTCGGATGTACCTGCACCTGCTCCATATCCACCACCGCGGCCCCAATCTCCTGCAGGAGAGGTTGTGTCCCTTCACGCTCCTCATTTGTCGACGGAATTCCCGCCAGATCCGGGCGATACTGCGCCAACAATCCGCGCGCATCACCCGCAAACCCTCCACTCGCAACCACCACCGGCCCATACGCCCTCTCCAGTACCGTCTCATTCCCCTCCTTGGCAACCGTATACTCCACCCCCGTCACTTTCCCCCCACCCTCATCCCTTAAAATCCTCGTAACTCTCCTCCCCGTCTCCATCTTCACCAATTCATCCCCACCCACCTTCCCCAACAACGTACTCACAATATCAAACCCGGGCGTCTTCTTCCCAGCTCCCCGATGCGTCCTCGCAACACTATGTCCCCCCAACCTCGTCACCCGACTCAAGTCAACCCCCATCTCATCCGTAAGCCAATAAATCCCTTCCGCGGACCGTTCCACAAGCGTCTGAACCAACTTCTCCCGCCGAGCCTTCTCCGCCCCCGTAGCCGAAACATATGGCCCACCAGCCGAACTAACCGTATCGGCCTGAAAACTAGCAATACTGTCAAGGTTAGGGAGGGGTTGAAACCGCGTCGGAGCACCGCTGATGCCACTGGAGGCTTTGATGCTGTTTCCGCCGGGTTTGGGGAATCGTTCGAGCAGGAGGACGGGGATTCGGTGGGTGAGGAGTTGAGTGGTGGTTGTTAGGCCGGCGAGGCCGGTGCCGATGATGATTATGGTGGAGGGGGTCATGGTGTATTTCTTGTACTTGTACAGATGATAGAGATGTGATGATGATGGTGATGGAAGATGGTGGTTTAGTATACTTGTTGAGATGAGTGTGAGATGAGGGGGAAGGACGGGATCATACGATCTGACAGTGGAAAAGATGGTATGTCCCGTGGTTGTACGATCAGATCAGGCCAGCAGCCAGCTCATCATGTAGCCAATTAGCGGTCGGAGTTTCCTCTGAGTGGTGAATATGTAGTAGGGTGAGAAAATTAGTATAGAAGGATATGTTTAATTTGGTTCCGTGAGAAAGATTCTGGACTTGTCCTTTGCTAGGTACTTACTTTCGCATAATTAGTGGAGGTGATAGTAAGTTGGATTGGATGCGTACTGGCACTAGGACTAATAGGGGAAAATTCCGGGCACCAATGATATTTCAGGTTTCTCTGTTATGATTCTCAGGTTGGCATCCCATCCATCCCGATTTAGTGTTCATGGCTGTGGTCCACATGCTCTAGAATGACCCGGTCGGTCACGAGGTTCTTGATTGAGTATCGGTATATTATTTAAAGCGCTACGAGGGATGTCTTCAAATGTTTTGACTGAAAGAAAAGATCCGAAGACAAGATAGGTACTGTGGGTACTAGGTAGGGGATATGGCAATTTCGCGTTAGACTAGTACCTAATAAGAGAGAATAATAACAATCTGGTTTCTGCTATGTCGACTGAAAGACAAACGAAAGTGTATTTTCTGAGCTGGGCTAGATCATCCAAGGGATCCCTGGAAATCCATGTCATATGAGAGCTGAAGAAATAGCCGTGTGATGTTCCTCATAATCTTACTCAGGGTAGGCCGCGCGGAAGGCCTCCAGGGCATCTTCCATATATGCAGCATTGTTGGGATCTCGACGGGCAAGGACCGCGTGCCATTCGGCGAGGTTTGAAGACATAAAGGATGGAAGACCGACAAATGGATTGTCCTCGCCCGCTTCCTCGGTCCGCAACACACTAATCGCCTCGCTGGCATGGGGAATTGCGTTCTGATTTGCCACCAGCCAGTCATGCACGCCGTGGACAGCACTATCCAGAGCTCCCACAACCCAGGCATGCCTGGGACTGGCGGCTTCTCCAATAATCACCAAGTCTCCCGAGGGCTGGATAATATGGGGCCACATGCTGGAGAACTGCTGCGGGCGGAAGAAGGCGAAGGATCCCATTGCGTTGGGATCGTGGCCCCAGTCGAAGGCGTGGTGATCTACATACAATCTCTTGATAAGGTTGTAGAGGTTCTCCTCGCTGTCAGGGGTAGTACTGTGAAGACAGGCCAAATCACGGACGATCTGCTCCTTGAGGTCTTCCTCTTTGGCCTTGTCGCCGTGGATTAGGGAGGATATGCGCTGGGCATCCTGTTGCCAAGTGTACGAGCATAGGAGAGCCGCAGGCTCATTCCTGCCGAGATTGTAATTGTAGGATGGATAAACGCACGTCCTGATCATTAGATCGGAATGGCCCAGTCCACCCATTGTGATATTATGTTCGCCCAGGTCATGGATCCACCAGGCACGCTCGAACGTCATTCCCACGTTGGCGGATTCTCCATACCCCAAAGACCGGATGGCCTGTTTGGTACCGTAATTCAGATTGGCGTCCTTGGTCTCCATGCGTTGCGGACAGCCCAGGGGCACCGAGCTAAAAACCCCGGAGTACGTCTTTGTTTCCTTTTGTTTTTTTATTTTTTGAATCGAGGTGTTCAATGTCCAGCTCCATATTCATGGAAGTTTGGCCAACTGCACGAATCGCGTTCACGCGACGCTCAAACCGTGGCGATATCTCCAAAGCTTCCTGCATCCTCTTGGCAATTATTTGACTACTACCACGGACACACCACCACGACGTATTGTCGTCATAGTGGAAATCCAGTGACTCAAGGACTGTTTCACTATGCGCCTGGTCATACCAGCTCGTGCCTCTTCCGCTCGTTAGCATCCTGATAAAGCTAAGCAGATTTTTCTTACCCGTTAAATGTTTCCATCCATTCAATGGTCTCGAAATTGTACGGCGGGGGCGGAATGTCAAGCCTCCTCTGTTCGGCATTGACTTGTGGAGGTGGAGTGCTGGACAACATGAGACTGATAAACTCTGATATACGGGTCTAGCTTACCGTCTCAGGAAATCCCGAGTACTCATGGAGTCATAGTGCATGAGTAATTGCCACCCTTGATCGTCTTCTCTCTTCAACGCCTCTCTGATATTATGAATAGCTTCATTCATCACAACATCCGGGGTAAAGTTCAACAATCTGTTCATTATCAGCTTCCCACCCAATGTCACGTAGCATACTGGGGAGATAACTTACCGTACGTCAATCTTTCCATCTGTGTTCAGGTTGAAGGGGCCTGCGTGTCTGGCCTGAACTTGTATCCCTTGGAGATTCCCCCATTCGGTAATGCTATTGAACCGCCATGGCTCGTCACCAGCGTCATTCTGCATATAATACGGGATGAGCATTCCATTCTGCGCTGCGGCGATGTCCTCTGTTCTTTCCATTCGCAGGCGATTGAAGAGTTTGAAGACACTAAATGTTATTAGAACACGTACTTGGATGGAAGAATACTCCCACATGAAGAACACTTACCGACTCATGACGGGGTTGTCCGGGAACCTCATCGCTCCCACATCATAATAATCAAGTCTGTCGGCCGAACCAAAATGATGAGTGTACAGCCGACCCCCAACCCTGTTTTCCCTCGCTGCCTCGATGATCTCGTAAGACACATCCAGTGCCGCCTTTCTTCTAAGATAGTCGAATATCATTCCAGTGAAAAGACCCGCAGCTCCAGCCCCAATGATTGCTGCCGTGATCTTCTCTGACGGACCTCGCAGTTCGGGGGAGGTAATTGGAAAAGGTAAGGGGGGGAGGTCACCATCCCCCTCAAGCTCGCGCCTAGTCTTCTCATCGAGTCCGACTGTCGGGCTTTCACGAAAAAGTTTCTTCAACTCATTCTTGACGCCCTTGACGGCCACCTTGCGTGCGAAGTTATCTAACGATGGCCTGCAATTTTTCCTGGTCTGCAGGCGTGGTGTGGGTTTTCTTGGCCGTAGACATGGTGTAGATTCTCTCGATAAAGGGGTTCAATGATCGTGAAGATTGAAGAATGAGACTCTGGCAATCTCTAGTCAGAGCTGTGCGGGATTCAAACGAGCCTGTTCATCGTGTCTCTGACATCTATATATATCCAATTTTGAGAGAGGTTAGACTCAGAGAGGGGACTTGACTCACACCCCGCACCTCATCATGAATGGCACTTGATAACAGAACCCGATTCATGGTGCTGGTAAATGCGTGTCTCCATCCAATACGATGCGTACACGCTCAGAAGGTCCAGGCAAATAGCTCGCTCTGGACTTCTCTTCCTGCCTATCACCAACGTTCCGATCATCCCGACCCCCAATGTCGGAGTCAGCTTCAATCACATCGCATCGGAACATGGCCTAGTGTCCGCGACATGCAGCTAAACTGCAGACCGGGCGCCGAGTCATGGATGTGAGGGGCCAGGTCAATAGGAAGCGGGGTCCCATGGAATGTTTTGAGTATCGTGCATGAGACACTGTAGGTGATATAGGAGAAGGCAAGTTGCATGATATGGCATGTGGTGGGTGGAGGGGCAGCTGATCCATTTCGCTCTTTCATGTTCTCTGGAACCAGGTCGATTCCTATTCGTGACTAACTATCAGCGGTAGGCTGTGTAAAGGAAGCTGATCGACATACCCAGTAGCTCTGCAGCCAGCCACGTCTCCACACCCAGGAATCTCTGACAAAGTGCGCTGGTAACAGGCCACATAACACAATGCCGAGAGTGGGACAGAACTGAGGCGGGAGAAGAAGTGTGTGGAGAAAGCTTCCGGAAGGTTGTGCGTTCGGGCCTTCCCGCCACGTCATGCCCAACATCTACTGACTTCCCATTATCACTCCCATCTCGGCTGTTATGCAAAAGCATCATGCGAATCCCAACGTGGACTAATCATTGGGAAAGACGGTGCTCAGCACGGACAGTGAAGATACCCGTAGACGGCGATGCACGAACGGGGGACCTGGTTGGTCGATAGTGCATCTCCAAAGGTATCTAGTAGGCCCACGAAGCCATATGCTAAGTAGACAGCTCAATCCAGTGCATTGCATCGGAATTAATTACCGCATAGTACGGACTATCCGGGTCGAGCATCGAGAAGTATGTAAGCCAAGGCACATTGGCTGTCAGACCACCCCCCAAGTGGTTGGAAACATGTCCTTTTTGACCGAATGGCTACTCGACCTGGCCAATGGCCGCGATTTCTACAAGGCTCTAGGTTTTGTCGGCAGTGGCACTCTCATAAAGTGACTATTTCTGGTTGGGATGTTGCGTTTCATAACTATGTTTAATGGATCCTTCTTTTATAGTTCAATACTGCGATTTACCTGTTACCTGGCTTAGATGGGACTATTAGGGGAATTAATTGAAGACTTTAAGCTATTCTATTTTCAAGTAAACCACAAGAAATCGTAAGATATGCGATCAGACAGAGTAGTTGTCATGGGTGGTGAGTGTATATTGCAGAGTCCGCATGGATCACTGGCCGGCCCCGCTTCGTCCAACAGTGGGAAAGGATAGAAGCCATTTCCGTTGAGTCCTAAGGCTGGAATATCCTGGAGCCTGGATAAGCAGTATTTGGACAGTGCTTAAGTGTCACATTGCTTTGAATGACCCTGTAGATAGACTGTAATGGAGTTTCCTCGGAACTTGCACTCAGAGCACAGTGACGCAACCCCTCCCTCCATAATGAACAATTCATACTAGAACTAATACATAATCATCAAGTACAAGATCTTGTGCTGAGTAAATAGTACCATACCCCACAATTTACACCTTCAGTCCTTCCATCAAAATCAAAGACGACTATCCACCCCAAATGACCCTTCTTGCTGTCTTCATCATTTAGAACAATATATTGTTCTACCACTGGTCTATGATCTTTAGAATGTCATCTATCGCCAATCGCACACGCTCGATAATGCGTTGGCGGTTAAACGGTTCATCAGTCACGTTGGGACAATCCAATTGCGCGGTGATCATACTTCATCGTATGATGCCCACCCATATCAGGGATAGACCTTAATAAAAATAATTAAGTTCCCTTAGGTAAAGAACACCCGAATGCGAAGCATGTCGTGTATTGTGTTCTCGTCCAGTAGATAGAGAAGCCCAAATAGAGCAGGGCAAGATGACATTCTCCAGTATCACCAAGCGAGACATCCCACCCGCCCATCGGTTGTATCGTGTTGTCCCTTTGTTAGATCTTTAAATCCCCACGGTAAGTCGTCTTCTTTGCGACATCGGGTATATCAAGTCGAGGGTTTAATATGTTCAATAAGATGATATTCTTATTGTCAAGATTTGGCAAGTGGAGAGGTCTTTCAGACGTCCTACCAGAAATGCGAATGTAGCAGCAAATAGGTGCCCGATCTTCACACCGCTGGTGTCTGCTAGACGTAAGAAATCATCACAGGTTGTCTGTAGGGTATCACTGTCTTCCTCTGTGAGATCAACATGCTCGACGGGACTAGCGGGGTTACGCGAGGTGTGTAAGACCCGCAGCGGCGAGTTCATATTGCAACAGGATTTTCGAGATACCGTTAGCGTACATGTTGGAAATATAGTCATGGGCCTGAGCCATGACGGCAATCTGGTACCATTTCAAGAGCCTGGGTAACGCTTGGAGATGCGAAGACCGGGTCCCATATTGTCCGTGAAGGATCACCTCCTTGAGGCTTAACGTGCCACCATTCGGCCCGATCAGCTTATAGAACGCACCACTGAGTTCGGGGCGCATCTCAACCAGATGATAATTACTCAGGATCGGCTACTCCTGCTTGCCCTTTGCATTGAGAATAAATCGTGTTGGCTGGTGGACTTCGTTTCGATATATAGTATGGATGACTCCTGTTCCTTGGGAGTATTTTGCGCGCAGTTTGGGATCTTCTTGAGTCTCTTTCCGATGTTGATCGGATAGCTCATGGTTAGGCTTCGGTGTGTAGGTGCCATTTGCCGTGTCGGTTGAATTCAGCCGGTAAGGCGTACCTGGTGAGGGTTGCCTGCAAGTATGATGTATGTTGAGCATACCGATATCGTTGCTGTTGGCTTGGTCGGATATATCGGGTGCTGGATGAGTTATGCATCCTGCACACGATTCAAGACCTTTTTGGGTCTCCGATGTTGATCGGACCGTTTGTAGTTAGGCTTCGGCATGTAGTTGCCATTTGCTGTATCAATTGAACGCAGCCAGTCAGGCGTATCTAATAAGGATTGCCTGTAAGGTATGACATATGTTGAGCATACCGATACCGCTGCTGTTGGCTTGATCGGCTATACCTGGTGTTGGATGGGTTCTGTATTTTGCCCCCGATTCAAGTTCTTGAGTGTTTCTGATGTTCCTCGGATCGTTCGTGGGTTGTCTTGGGTGAGTAGTTACTCATTTCATTCTGCTGAACACAGCTGTGGAGGATTGCCTGTAAGGTACGACGTGCGTCGAGCAGACAAGATGTCTTTGTTGTCGGCTAGATGGGCTATATTGACCATACGTCTCTGTGACTTCGACAGTACCTCCCACCTGCCATGTTGGGCATGTGAGTACCACCACTGTGTGTGCGGTCCCGCAAGTTGTATTTGGATATCGGTAGAGTTTGGCTAGCAGTTCCTCTGCTGGTTTAGTGGTTATCCAGACCCATTAAGTTGATATGTGTTTCGGGATTCTGTACGAGGTCGCCTGTTGCGCCACGTATGTGTGTATCGCATCGCACCACATATCCTAGAGTCCAAAAGGAGCTATAACAGTTGTAGAAATAGAGCATCGTCAGAGAATTCCTCAGGACTACGCCCTGATCAGGACGGCCACTGTCGAGGATTGCTCATTGGCATGATTGCCCTGTAGTGGAGACCTTTTTGCTAGATCATCCAAGGGCCGCTGTGACCTGCGAATCTTACAGCAGTGATGTGCATCTGGCTGTCGAGTTCCGGATGTTAAGCCCCGTCCTTAGGGATTCTCCGTCAACTGTCCTCATTCCGAAAGGATCTATCCGCCCACATGTCTTCGTCTGACCCTGCAGACCGGCCAATGCGTCGATACACATGTGGTTCAGACATCGTGACCTACGCCGCTGCCGTAATCGCTGCCCTCTGCGTCTGGGGGAACTAAGCAGCCAGTTGATAGGGCTTACCTAACTGGCGCGATGACTCGACGACACATCTCGGCACACTGTCCAGGCCGTCTGAGCGAGCCCAGGGATAGCTCGGATCCTCTTCCGGATCGGTGTCATAATTCCTGCAACGTCTATGAAACGCTCGAGGACGTCCATTGTGTTGTCAACGAGGGCAATCGGTTAATTGGAATGCTCCATTTCGAAGTAGAAAAATGGTGGGACCGATAATTGCGAAAGGTGGCCGGTGGTGTGGCTATTCTTATATAGCTGTTCGCCACTCATTTCTCCTGGGGCCGCGACGGTTCTGAGAGGCCCTGGTAACATGTATTATAGTGGCCAATGTTACAGAATAACCACTCAGGGGCGCTGATCTAGATGAGCTCGGAGTATTTTATTTCTCCAGAAGGCGGGTCTGGGGAGAGTGAGAAGTTCGATTTCTCGCGGCCACCGCTTCATGTATTTGTTGTGCATTTTGGTTCGGAAGTTTGATGAGAGGAGTTGGGATACATGAAGCAACATAGCTGCCTGGAATCCTTGACAACCGTTTCCGCTGGAAGAGGACTTTGCCACAATGTTGAACTGTTTGCTGGTTAGAGATGCTTGATAGACTCGGTTGGCTTTTTATCGAGCTGTTGGAGAATAAATCACGCCACTGACTGCGATGAATATGGTGGGTTGCCTTTTTTAGCACAACAAGCTCGGGGCTCCCGGTAGTCTCGAGGTTGCCAAGGACCTGATATGAAATTGAGACTCTTGATGGATAAAAGTCGTAAGTGTCGGTTCTATACCTCGTTTTCAGTAGCGACCGTGGTGCATTCAACCTTTTTCGCAAGATCGTTGGCGTTATGGAGTAGACCAGGTCTACTCCGGTTCGCCAAAATCAGCAACAATGGTTCAGGAACCATGCTGGCTCGACGGAATGTTGTGTCCGAATGATTCGGACAGACGGCGGGAATTTTAGAAATGTCATGGACTTCATCTAAAAGGGTTTCACCCATATGCTTCCGGCTTTCTCAATAAAGCCTGTGTGGTCATACCATGGACCTTCTTCATATGCTTGCCGATTGTGCTTATCGGTTGTATCGTTGGATATTCAGCGGGATCGTTTGCGACATTCCCTAAGTTGACGAGGATTCCAGAAGCTTGCGTTAGACGAGTCGTCCACAGTGTACGACCAGTCCAGGGCTGTGCTGGAACGTTTCCTTGATTTGTCTGGGTATCCTTCCCTTCAGATGTAAAGAGGGTCGATCTCCACAAGAAGTGCAGTATCAGCCATATCAGTGCAAGTATGAGGACGGTGACATCCCAAGCAATGTCGTCTCTGAATGCCTCGGGATATGGAAATTGTCCCTCAGTGAGAGAGATGAGTGTAGCCAGATTGCTTCGGCAGTAACAAGAGAACTGCCCCCAGCTTCGTAAGAGCACTGCTGGCCAACAATAACACTCATTAAAAAGCATCAAGTATGGAAAGAAAAACGTTCTAGCGACGATACGAATTGTGCAGCACCATTTAAGGGAAATCTGCCTGAACAGAGATCATTCTCTTCTTGCCAATTCGTTTCTCAGAGACGACCTTTGTTCGAATAACTCTCTGCATTGTCTGTATCAGCCCTTGTATGAAAGGACACCGTAACCGCAGACAGCAAATCTGTAGGAAACGAGACCGGGGACATGTGTTGACCAGAGTCAAGCTGGCAAGAGTATGGACTCTGCTTTTCGGTACCGATACTATTGAAACAGCCGTCATCAAAGGAAGGCATGACGTATAAACAGATAGACGTTGACTACTACTTCCGCCAACTTGTTTGAGGCTTCATAGTATGATGATGCACCCGTCACCAACCCCTCGTACTTCATTTCCGCAATCCGCTTAATGCATACTGGCTGCCATATTTTCAAAGCGGTACCCCGAAACATCCCATTGACTTGGATATTTTCCTATCTGATATGGAGCTTTTGACACGCTTCATCTTCGTTATCAATTAGATAATTCTCACCATCCAACCACCTCACTGGTATGGGTAGCCGTTCGAAGTCTTCGACGGTCGGCTGTATGAGATTTTCCATATCACCCTTGACCTGAAAAGGTTATCTGCCGCTCGATATGTGTCAAACACACCAAGGGACACGGCCTTTGATGGCCAGCCAATGACAGTGATCATTCCCATGCAAGGTAGAAGTCTTTGCTTTTGAGGAAGAACACGATGACTGCCCTGTTGAAAATCCTTTGGTCTCGAGGACGTACGCTCAGACCGGCTATTCTTGTCCAAATCGAGCCATATCTGAATGCGCCTTGCTTGCATGACCCTTGCATCTTGCCTCTTTTGAGCTAGGCCTGATCTCGTCCTGTCTGGCCAATGGAACGACTGGAAATCATAACGGATTCCAGACGAGTAGAACGATGGCAGCAAGAACCCCATTGAAGGGAAGCAGGAAGACGATAACCATCGTTCACACGCTGAGGCATGTCTGGGTCGGCCAGTGCTGAAATGCCATTTCCTCCACTATGTGAAAGAGCAGGCGTAACTTCTACCCTCATTGGATGTGAGTCCCGTCTTTGGTAGACGCGCCCAAACCTGAGGCGAAAGCCGGATGGAATCGTACGGGGTATCCGACAGTGCCGACGACAACTTGCTCAACCATCGAGTCGAGACTTCTTGAAACGTCTTGGACAATATGCTCGAGGGATGCTTGATTTTCCCTGTGAAATTTGCGATTTTTAACGACTTCCAGCATGGTGACGAGCCAGAGGCCTTCAAGGATTGTCCAGGTGTCGTAAATAGCCACAGTGGTGGAGAATCCTAGCACTCCCAGTGGGTTTTCTTGGAGATAATAAAGTATGAAGAAGATTGTGTGAGCATGGCCGACAGAATTTTTATTGTGAGGACCCGCTTTGCAATACACAACAGTTCAGTATGGTGCACCGTGTTGCTTGTTTCTAGGGCGATCTCAGAATCACCGATACTTAGTTGTCAAGTTAAGCTGACAAAGCTTTGCATAAGCCGGTTCGTGCAGCGGTGCACAACTTGCAAGCAAGGATTGCGATGTGTTAATTCCTCTTCAGTAAGCTTATCGCTTGGAGATTGCAATCCCATATCTGGATATAGATGCTGAACTGGAAGCTTTAAATCGCTTGCTGCTGTTGTTGTATTGCGATTGTCCCAGTTCCGGTAATTCTGGATCTGCGTGAACTACTTAGACCATGTAAAAACGTGTTTCTGGTTATACTGAAAAGTTCAGCGCATCCGTCACTGTCGGCAGTTTGACGTGTGGAAAATAGAAGGGTGCATGTAGACGTTTCGCGAGGTTTTGCAACATGGTGGCAGATCTGGACCGTGGATCAAAGAGACATCACCAGAGCTTCTGTAAATCGACCATAGGGATTGGCATTAAAATGCGCACCACGGTCTCACAAAACAAGACGAATTCTTTCTATATCCATAAAGCAACAAGTCACCGGAGTCAAGCCGTATATGCTCGACCAGAATGCGTGCAATTCGTTGAGGTGGCGCTTTGTAAAAGATTACTTTTATCTCACATGGAGGGAGACAAAATCTGAGCTCCTGGCTTAGTGCTTTGCACCTTAGCGTCCAGAGCATTGCCGTATAGGGAGGATAGACAGGATCCTCGATGACTCAATGGTATTTGAAACCAAATAAAGAGAAAAATGAAAGATATATGATGGCCTGAGAGCTGCGGCACTTCAAGAAGATGTTATGAACGGAGGGCCACCATTCGTAGAGCCAATCCACTCTTGTGCAGTTTACATTCCCATTACTTGACGCAGATTTGAAAGAAGTGACCAGGTGAAAATGTCAACAAGGGTATGAGACTAAAGAACATTCTGACAGTAAGAATGATGAGATATGAGGCGGATAGAAAAAGGTGGATTAAGAAAAAAGTGTCAGAGCCGGGGCGGCCTGGTTCATATAAGACGTCGGTCGTGAATATAGTCATGGGCGAATGCTTAAGAGTGACGGATGGGATAACAGATGGGGTGATAGATGGGGTGCTCGTCACTGCAGGTGGCGAATGACTAGCGCCTGGCCAATTTGACTCGTCACTGGTGGTCATTTGGATGATCATAATCTGATAATTAGTTGCTGCTGATGAATTGTTTCCTTCACAATTCAGAGTGTATGATAAGCCATCTTCAGGTACTTCATGAATAAGGTACTAGCTAAACTAGTGAAAATCATTAACCAGATCAAAGAAAAGATGTTTGTAGAGCGCTGGTGATATTTTTGTAACATGCCTTGGAATGAGGATGTGCATGTTCGAATCACAGCAGTCTCGTCTTCACTGTGGGAAAGCCAGTCACAGAAATTCGTGAATCACCACCATGCATTCGCCAAGTAACATTGACAGTCAAGACCTGGTAATGGGTGAAGTTTACTGCATGAGAAACAATTGGATTAACCCTCTATGGAGTATTCAACAAACCAGATCATATGGTGTTGGATTAAAGCCTCACAGCGGATACTAGAAGGGGTATGCAGTAGCACTATGCATTATGCAAAAATGTCGGACAATCATCCCTTCCCAGCATATCTCCGGGGCCTACCAGTCGTAGACGAGCTCTGATTTGCTATGTCAAAAAGTAGTCGCTGCCTCTCGACCGTTGAAGTGGACCAGCATCAGCGCTAACAGCCATGGCAGCCGTTAGTCGGAGTCCATCGGCATCGGTTGCCGTCCGGGACGCGAAGAGTGTGTAACCCAATCACTAGTCCGGTCTTGCCCCGTCCCAAGATAAAACCCCCGATCATTCTTGTCCTCCGGCCGACTTGGACCTCCCCTCTGACCAACACGTGGCCTTCATCACCACAACCGTCAATCCATCGGTCGCAACCATCCGCAATGATGCAACCCGAGCCCGACATCCCGATCGAGGTAGACGCCGAAGATGAAATCAGCACCGGAATACAATCCTCGACCACGTCGCTGAGTTCCAGTGTGCTGAAATACGAATTCAAACATGGCCGTCGTTATCATGCCCACCACATGGGGAACTACCCATTCCCGAACGACCAACCCGAGCAGGATCGACTCGATATGATCCATCACATCTTCTACAGGCTGGTGAACGATCGACTCTTTCTGGCTCCGATGAACCCTGATGGAAAGCGGATTCTCGATATCGGCACTGGAACGGGAATCTGGGCCATTCAAATGGGCGATGACTATCCAGGCGTTGAAAAGATCGTGGGAACCGACATCAGTCCTATCCAGCCATCTTGGGTTCCACCAAATGTAAAGTTCGTCGTTGATGATGTGGAGAAGGATTGGGTGGAGTCGGAGCCGTATGACTACATCCACTGTCGGTACATGGCAGGGTCGATTCGAGACTGGCCACGGCTGATCCAGCAATGCTATAACAACCTCAAACCGGGGGGATGGTTGGAGCTACAGGAGTCCATTAACACCCTCTATTCGGAAGATGAGAGCCTCAAACCTGATAGTTATATGGTCAAGATGATGGATGGGCTTAAAGAGGCCTGCGAGAAGATCGGGCAGACGATGGATCCCGCACCTTCGTTTGAAACGTGGGCAAATGATGCAGGATTTAGCACGGTGCATAAGCTTAAATTTAAGCTTCCAATCGGGCCCTGGCCGAAGGATGCACGGTTGAAGGAGTGTGGCAGCTTCATGCGGGTGAATTTTGTCGAGGGCGTCGAGGCATTTACTGCTGCGTTGTTTACCGAGGTTCTGGGATGGAATCATGAAGAGGTAATGGAACTGAATGCTGGAGTCCGCCGCGAGTCAATGCAAAAGGACATCCATCCCATTTTTGATGTGTTGGTCATCGCAGCGCAGAAACCATTGTGAAATTTTGAGCATTTGGTATGATGCTTGGGTATCTGAGTCATGGTTATTTGTAATTTCATGCAGTAAACCATTTTTTCAACACTGGCGCCTGAGTTATAGTAGGGAAAGAGTAATCCCAGGTCCAAAGAGTGATGGCTGGGTACAGAGAGCCCTATTCCGATAGACAGTTTTCTTCCCGATCTGGATGGCCGGTGGACATGTCGGGTCGATTTCCGGATTTGGATGCGGTTGATGGCGGGTCGGCGGGTTTCCACTTTGAGTAAGTTTCCGCTCCAAGTATATAGCAGCGTGCCTGGACGATAGGAAACGATTAGCCACAATTGTCAGATCTCTGATTCACAGCATCCCACAATGTCACATGAAAGTAACATACCTGGGGGGAGTGCATCACATGTGTTTGCAGGGGTCCTACTGGACTTCGACGGCACCATTATTGATTCGACAGAGGGTAAGCCCCTAAATCCCTTGTATGACAGCCAATCGCCTAACAGTTGAGCAGCTATTGTGGAGAATTGGAAGAGGTGTGCTCATAAACCAAAAACTAAGGGAGAACTGCATACTGACGGAATACAGAGTCGGCCTTGAATTGGGAATCGACCACCAGGAGATCCTTCGCACATCACACGGAAGACGCAGCATCGATGTTCTGCAACAGCTAGATCCCACAAAGGCGAACTGGGAATGTATGCTCACCTTCTCAATCATTTGTCAGTTCACAACTGACGTCTAATTCCCGCAGATGTCAGCGCCATGGAAGCCAGAGTTCCCTTTCTTTGCAAATCACCTGCTGTCGAAATCCCCGGGGCCCGCAGGCTACTCGAATCGTTAGACAGACACCAGATCCCCAATGCCATCGTGACATCCGGCACAAGAGCACTGTTAGACGGATGGTTAAAGGTTCTTCAGCTCCCACAACCACAGGAGGCCACTGTTGCAGAGGATGTCAAGCTCGGAAAGCCTGATCCAGAGGGGTATTCCAAGGCACGGGCCAAGCTTTTGCTTTCGCAGATTGATGGAGGATGCACAGATGTTTTGGTCATGGAAGATGCCCCTGCAGGTATACGGGCGGGGAAAGCGGCCGAGTGTAAGGTTTTGGCTGTTGCGACGACACATGGTGTGGAAGAATTGAAGGCTGCTGGGGCGGACTGGGTGGTCAAAGATCATCGGTCGGTGGAGGTAGAGGTGGGCCCTGACAGGGGGTACCGGTTTGTTTTTCATCAGTTGCTATAGAATCGCGGATAAAAAGATATGATATTATAGAAACCGCATCTCAGGTGATGATTGAGGTGAAGGCGGAAGGTAGACTACATCATGATTCGATCACCTGACTACCCAGCGATTCATGGCTATTCAGTGCAAAGGGTTTGAGAGTGAACCTGTACAAAGTGGATATTCCGTGCGGTATTTATACCAGTTGGAGAGGTTGTCTGCCAGATCGCGTTCGAAGTAGAACATGAATAGTACCACGAGGGCTGCCTTTACGCCCAAGGTCTGTCTACAGCCTGCTAGTTCACCCTATCCCAGGAAATAAACAGATCAAAACTATCCTGCGGAAGATACTGGCAATGGGGACATTCCTTGTCCCTGGGTCAGCCGTATGGCTACCATGACACTTATTTATTTCTGCCGGATGTCCATATCGGAATAGGAACAGGAGCTGTCAATACCGCTGCTGAAAACCATGTGTCGTTGAGGTTCATCATTTGGGAACAAGTGAGTCCGATCCTCAAGTCATTTAGTCTATCTCGTCATAAATAGCAGGGGTATGTGGAATATATAGATATCAAACCGGTCATCAGCAGATCTAATCGTCAAACTCCTCCAGATCATCCATGTCATTGCCTCCATCATCATCCAGACCCTCGAACACCATGAATTTCTCATTCTTGGCATCAGTTTCCTCCGGAACAACGTTGGCATCCTGAACTTCGCAGTCCTTGAGCACGGATTCACGGCCAATCCTCGCTCGTCGGCCAATCAGACAGCCTGTTAATTGAGCCCTGGACTCAACAACAGCCCCTTCCATCAGGACGCAGCGAGTGAGCCGTGCGCCGCTGGATATATGGCAGTTGGGACCAATGACGCTCTCTTTGATGACACAGGTCGGTTCCACGGTAACATTCTCGGCGAGGAGACAATCACTCTTTGTAACAGTGCAGCGTTGAGCCACCCCCTCCGGATAGGCAATCTTCTGGTTATGGGAGAAAGGCGATGCTGCCTGACGGCCAACCTCCTCAATGGATTCTAGCTTGGCCAGCCGAAGTGATGTCGAAAGCAGTATCGCGGAGCTATCGACCCGCCGAATAAACGGCGTTGATCCTCGTTGTACATAGGCGAGTATCTGGGGATGTTCATTCGATTTCGAAGTCCGGGTGCCAGTCTTAGTAGAACTGATCTGTTCGAGATCGATTTCTTCCTCCAACAATTCGCCATCATGACTCCGATTCTCATGTTCACTGTGATCATGGAAAATTTCGTTCATTCCTAACTTGTCTCCTAGACTCTTTTGCCATCCCGCTTTGGCCCAGTAGCCAATGAGATCCTCACTTACTGACTCCAACTTTTCCTGATGACGCGCTAGATCCTTAACCCAATACGGGAAGACATAGAGATGTGCATCCCGATAGCTTGTCAACATCTTGACCTGCGAGTGCTTATCGACTAATGAATGGCGAACAAGGAAGCCTTTGTCCTGCTCCATTCTCTCCTTCACGGTATCCATAGGCATTGACATGACCAGTTTCGATAGGCCAAACCGCAAGGCTGCTGGCCCATCAACCAAATGTGATACTGCCGGCGCCTCATCCTCATCGAGCGGTGCGATGGCTACAAAGTCGCTAGCTTCGCCTTTAACGCTCTCCTCTCGGCCTCGTGTCTGATAGTACACGGCAAGCCCGCCGCGACGACCCCCTTGCTCCCCTCCAGAGCCCGAGTTATTACCTCCCAGAGCGCTCTGGGTCACCATCCATGCCTCGAGAATAGATTCACCAGGTATGTCACAGATAATGTCGCAGGGAAGAAGGAGGAAGTCGGTTCTGATACAGTCTTGGACTTCGGGTAGACGGAGCAGCTCGGCAGTTCCCGTGGTCATCTCGAGATTTTTCGGGGCTACCACTGATACCGACGGCGAGGGGAGTGATGTAAGATGCGGATTTTGCTTGAGGGCGGCCTGCAGTGGAGCAAGGGAGGACGGGGGCGTGATCAAGGTGATATCTAGAATGACCATCGAGATGCGTTAGTTAACTATAGTTTCCATAGGGTGTGATTAAAGACACCGATTTCATATTCATACCAGTGATTCCTGACCGCTTGCAAAAGTCGATTGGGTAGAATACCATGGGCCGATTTGCGATAGGAACAAGGCTCTTTGGGTACTCTTCGGGGTTGGATGTGAAGGTGTTGAGAGAGACGCCAGGGCCACACAGGATGAGGGCCTGGAAACCCGTCGCGGGCACGGGGGCAGACGATGGCATGGTACTTGAGGTCAAATTTCTTCGAGGAAGCTCAAATCACAGGCTGCGATCTGCGATGATCGATCACTCGGGTGAACCCCGCGACGCGGTGCTGGGATGGAGGGTTGTTGGGCAGTGCGCGATGGGGTGCTCTGAGAAAGCTTTCCGACAGCTTCGCGGTATGGGGGCAGTACGCAGACCACTCAGATGACACGCTGCGACCAGCCAAAGATAACAAGGTTCCTGGCGACAGTCCCAGTGGTCTTGGACTGCCATGATGGATGGCTTGGATGTGATTTCCCCCTCACGTGCTGATAGCGGGATGAGTCAGTCCTATCGAACAGGATCGGAAGGACGGCACATGACTTGCGCCCGTTCTCCGGTCCCGTCCGGTGTTGGCCGCAGTTCCGCACAAGCTTCGTTCTCACTTCTAGTCAAGTCTCAGCCAACTAATTGGGTGGGGCGGTCTCGACCCTGCTCAAGCTTCAAGATCAACAGTCGACCGCTTTGATTCAGATCAACGTGGTTCGCAATTACTTCCTCCGTACCATGGCTGGATAGAACGTGTCATATGCTGCGACTTGCGAGGCCTTTGGTTCTTCTCTCCAACAAAGATCGTTATCTGCCACATAACACGTCATCTCAAGTCATGCGCGACATCTGCAACGCTACGAAGCGCGGTGTGATCATTGATTATATCATGACCGTAGATTCGAGCTTGTTCCAACTTCCTTCGCCCATCATCATCGCCGACGGGTGGGGAATTCCCGCTCCGACCCCGATCAGGGTCTCAAGCCGCCTTATCTCCGTCGACCGTCCGTCCCCATCCCATGTGGACGGACGGTCGACGGAGGGGACAATCCTGGTGGGTGAGACTGGGTGAGAGTCGTCCTCTGACAAACCACGGCAAAAAGCCCCACTAGGCAGAGACCAAGACGATGTGTCGACTCACACTCATGCAAAACAGAGAGACACTAGCTCTGACCTGGGCACGGAGACGGCCCCATTTTCCCGTGGTCGATATCCCCGACAAAGATTCTGACTGGTGAAAACGGAGGTCATAAGCGCCGATTCCCGTGTCTTCGCCATTCACCTGGTTAAGTCCGAGTCGTTTGCTCGATATCCCCGACACGCCTGCATAGTATTTATCTCCCTGGGGCTGCTGCCCATCGATGGCAATGTTTCGTTCTCCAATACCGAGGTCAGAGGGTCTTCACCATGAATTCCGCCAAACATAGTCAAACAACACTACCTGCGCAATCAGTCAGCGTCACCGAGAAGAGTACAGCGGAAGATGTGCAATTACCGAGAGGTGGACCCCCCGAGGAAATCCCCGATTCAAAGCCCGATGAGCCAAAATGGATCAAGGGTATTACCTTGGTGATGGTGATGACTGCGGTCACGCTGGTGGTGTTTCTAATGTTGCTGGATGTATCGATTGTCTCCACGGTAAGCTGTCTGTCATACAGTTTTGAATGCTCCTGCCAGGGCTTTCTCGTACTGACTCCTCAGGCAATTCCTCATATCACTAGCGAATTCCATTCTCTCGATGATGTCGCCTGGTACGGTAGCGCGTATACGATATCCAGCGCCTCCTTACAGCCGCTCACCGGCAAGTTCTACAGCAACTTCCAGCAAAAGTGGACTTTCCTCGGCTTCTTCGGCGTGTTCGAGCTGGGATCCCTGATATGCGGCGTTGCTACCTCATCAAAAATGCTGATCGTTGGGCGTGCAGTAGCTGGAATGGGATCTTCCGGCATGGTCAACGGTGCGCTTAACATTATTGCTAGTTCTCTTCCGATGCATCGGAGACCGACATTCATGGGCATCATGATGGGATGTGAGTAGATCGCTTTCAGCACCATTTAACGCATACTAATAGTCGCAGTTTCTCAACTTGGGCTGGTACTTGGGCCGCTAATCGGTGGTGCATTTACGACGTATTCGACTTGGCGATGGTGTAGGTAGTCACTGAACTCCTATGTAATGATTATACTAACCAGACTAGGCTTCTACATCAACCTACCGATAGGAGGCCTTGTCGCCATTCTACTTGTCTTTACCAGCATCCCCGAGCCAGCTGGCAAGCCAAAGGTTGGTGAGGTCTTCCGGTCGGTCCTGTTGAAGAAGTTCGATCTATTCGGATTTGTTCTATTTGCGCCAGCTGCCATTCAGTTGCTGCTGGCCCTGCAATGGGGCGGAAGCAAATTCGCCTGGAAGAGCTCAACCATCATCGGGCTATTCTGCGGTTCTGCTGCGACCTTTTTTGTTTTTGGCCTCTGGGAGCGGCGTATGGGCGCTGAAGCCATGATCCCGGGACAGATGGTGAAACAACGAATCATTTGGTCTAGCTGCATGGCGATGAGCATGATGTTTGGGATGACCATGATTCTGGCATATTACTTGCCCATCTACTTCCAGTCTGTGCGAGGCAAATCCGCCCTCACGAGTGGTGTTGACTTGCTTCCCCAAATCTTATGCCAGCTGGTGATGGCAGTGGCATCTGGCATTCTTAGTAAGTGACGACATGCCTGCTCCAATCCTTCACCCGGCTAACAACCTCTAGCTGGCAAATTAGGATACTACCTACCGTGGGCTATTTTTGGTGCAATCTTGACCCCCATCGGTTGTGGTCTCCTTGCGACACTGTCCCCGACCACGGCGGTCCGCGACTGGGCGGGATATGAAGCCCTTATCGGATTCGGTCGCGGCGCTGCGACTCAGGTGGTACGTACATATCTAGTCCGACCTTTCTATTCACACACTCACCTCGTATCTGCAGCCCATGATTGCCATTCAAAATGCCGTATCACCGAACCAGATCTCCACGGCCATGGCCATTCTGACCTTCAGTCAGACATTTGGCGGCTCGATCTTCCTAGCCGTAGCCGAAGTTATTTTCACAGCAGGACTGCGGAAGAAAATCCCGGAATACGCACCCAGCGTTAGTCCCGAGACGGTGATCTCCGCGGGCGCGACTGGGTTCCGGGAAGTCGTCCCAGCCAAGGACCTTCTTTCGGTGCTAGTCGCATATTCAAAAGCTATCGACGAGGTTTTCTATCTCGGTGCTGCCCTATGTGTCGCTCAGTTCATCTTTTCGTGGGGCATGGGCTGGAAGAACATCAAAAAGGGGAAGCAGGAGAAAAAGTCTACCGAGAACATCAAGGAAGAGGTTTGATTTTAAGATCGCACGGTTCCATATCTAATAGAGTAAAACTCGACTTCGCGACTGTATTTCCTACTTACTAATTATCTCATCTCCCCATCTATCGGCGTCACCTTCTTTTTCTTTTTCTTCCAAACGGTCATTGCATAGCGCTCACGAAATTTCCTATCGCAATACTATTCACAATACTATTGTTATCAAGAGAATCGGTGATGATCCCCTCCCTTCACCATGAAAAACACAGACTACTACACGTAGTCGCCTTAGGTACTATTAGTATCTATGCTGATTGAAGAAACCCCAAACCATGACTATACTTATACGGCTATCATCATAGTAGCATATTATATATGCTGTAGCCCATCTAGGTCCCTTAGTACGAGACTGCAGTGTGGTGCCGGCTACTATGTCTATGGCTGTGGATGTTAGGTTGTAAATGATTTCCTTGAAATGAGGAATTTGGGAGATCGAAAAAAGAAAAGAAAAAAGACGGAGAACTGTGGTTTTATTGGGGAATTGAGGAGCCAGGGGTTTTGAGGCACACCCTGTTACTCGGAAGATAGGATTTTCTAAACCAAAAAAGTTTACTTATCTAGTATGAAATGCATCAGGAACGGAGGGCAAGGTACATTGGAGACTAGAGGAAGATGTGCGACGACTTTAATATTACCAGCTGGGAAAGTTACATACAGGAGTGAAAGGATCAGGTGTCCTACATACGTTCAACAACAGAGTGGACGTAAGTACTGCCTAATAATGCTGGGCTTTGAGTGTGAGGGCCAGGGGAATGGGACCTAGTTCGGCCATTGCTCTCGGGTTGTTAGTGTCCCAAGGGCCGAACTGATGCATCACGAGGAAGGGGTTGTTGTCGATTCCTCCGGTCTGTAGATAGGCGATGTAATCATCATCGTACTTAGCCAAGGAGATGTATATCTCTTGTCTATTCTTGGAGATCATAAGGTGATTATTATCTGCACGGTTAGCGCTGGGCAGATCCACTTCCGAGATCTGGACATGTTTACGTACGGTTTAGCCCGACGTTGGATGATCGGGGATTTGTAGTCTGCCAGTAAGCTGGCAACAATCTGGTGACTCTCTTGTATGCGAATCTGGGCCTCTTTCTTCTGCCTCAACACTGGCTTGACCTCTATGATGGCCTTGATGTCTCCACTGCGGTCTGCAAGGTAGCCATCTGTCCTTGCCTGGAACTTCACATCTGTGAACTCCGCGGTGAAGACATGCGCGAGACAGAGTCAGGATCGTTATCAAATTTGGGAGTTTCAAATTCAGAATCGGGTTTGCTGGGAGGCGTCTTGGTGAAGTCCGGTGGGGGGATTGGAAGCTGGGGTGCCTGCCCCCTGGAGCGAGTGTTGTGGATTTTAGGGGTAAAAAGAACACCACCGCCACTGAAGTCCTCTTGCTCAACTCGAGATACTTGCAGTTGATAATGGCGGGCTAATGCAAATGTCCGTTCAGGGATCTGAGTAGTGAAGCTGGTGCAGTATCTCCTCCACGACGACAGATTCTCCAAGTTGACTTTGGCGGTTGGAAGCCACTGAGTTAAGTCGAAGTACTTTAGAAATTCGGGGCCGGGATGGGTATTCCAAAGGACCCGGAGGAGTAAGAACTAGTCTATCTCGGCACGAGAGGCCGACTTCAGCTGGGTATCATGGATGGTTCGGTTGCCGAGACCCAGAAGATCGACCTGAAGCTGCCACTCTTCAACGGACCGGGGAATGGCTGTTCGTGTATCGCTCATTGTTTAGAGAGAGAAGGGAGCGAAATCAGCGCCTGAAGACATACGATATCCTAGAGCAAATGAAGCTGGGTGGAAGAGAGAATGGGGGTAGGTACAGTAACACTTATGAGTGCTGTGCCAGGAAGGTGCGGCCTTTTATGTATATTTGGCACCACCATAAGTTGCCGCTCTAACTCGGAAGGTCCAATGTATAGGGGAGAAAGATGATAAAAATATCTCGATTGATTGGAAAGGAAAGCAGGCGCTTTAGTAGACGCCAGCAGCAACCTAGTACTAGTACTCCGCATCAAGGCGCACATAGAGAGTCGTCATCGTTGTAGTGGCGGTCCGTGAGTGAGATTGGCCTCATCCAGGCGCTTTCTCGGCCATTAGGAAGGCAATTCACCCATCCTACTTCGTAGTGTGATTGAAAGAGGGGAAAGTGATGGCCAATGGAAAGGGTGAATCAATCGATGATGGCGGAGGGAGTGACGCGATCCATGATTGGCGGCTACCAGGCCGGGTCTCTGATTGGCTACAGACCCGTCACGAGGGGAACCACCCAAAATAAGCCCGCCGGCAGGGGCGGTGGGAAAGACAAGCTTCCATTCCTTCGTCGGAAGGATAGTATAGCTGGGGGTCACCCAGCCTTCTTCTCTCTCTGCCCCAGTTTAGTTTCTTCCCCTCTTTTTCTTCTACCTTGTTCTCCACCCCCAGACGCAGCCATGAACCACATCATAGAGCCCAAAGAACGCTACAACCTTCGCAAAGCACTCACTCTCATGGAACGGGAGATCAAAGTCTTGAAGGAGACAGAGACACATACCCTCGACCAAAGCATATTGAAACAGTACAAAATCCGGACTCTGCCTTTGAGTCTCCGAGTCGATGGCCCACTCTCACCAAAATTCTTCACACCTCTTGTCTCAGACAACATCCCAGAGCCTACAGCAGAATACGTCGACCACGAGTACTATACCGAGCCTACTCTATGGTCCAGCGAATGGGGGCGGTCGATATACATGTACCTGGATGCATATACTCGCAAGTTGGCGCTTCAGTTTCCAGAAATTTGGCGCGTGTGGTCCTGCAAGAAGTACGTTTGCTACCATTCAGATCTTGTCATTTCATGCTCATCATGCCTCCAGCATCGGAGATTACAACTTCGGAGATCTCTACCGGACATTCGAGCCCGTCTTTGGCACGTTGTTTATTTGGCATGTTGCGAAGGCATCCAAGCCGCATATCAAATGCATCATGCACAATGACCTCGATGTCGATGATGATCACTTACTTCGCGGAAAGGTGTTGACTGTTATTCGCATCATGTTGGGTCAACTAAAGCAGAAAGTATTTGTAACCCAAATGATTGCACCGGTGAGAATCCCCTTTCTACATTTTGTCGACATATGCTGATTCTATGGACAGGTCCTACTGTTTTCCTTGAACCGACGGCATCCACGCGTGATTGAGGCCTACTTTGATGGTCATGAGCTGGTGGTATGTCGTACGAAGGCTTATGACTTCACCTCGATGAATGCCGCTGGGTTCAAGACCTTGGCACAATGGTGGGTGGGTGATGCTGTTGGTGATACCTCGACGAGAGGGATCCGGACTTGAATATCATGGTGTTGGGGTTTCACTGTGGCACATCGAGTTGTGCTTCTTATCCAGGCGTGTATAGGTGTTGGTTCTAGTGTTTAGTATTTCATTTCCAACGACAAGTACCATGTTCGTTTCCCTTCTAGATTCAATATCATGCAAATCAATAACAGTAAAACAAAAACCCACGCACACACACACACAATCTACTCAAAATCCACTACCACCTTGCCAAAATGCCTCCCCGTCTCAAAATACCTAAACGCCTCCTTCAACTCCCCCAACCCAAACACCCTCTCATCCACCACCGGCCTCAACCCATTTACCTCAATCGCCAAATTCATCTCCTCATGCAACTGCCTACTCCCAACCAACACCCTCCTAATCGTCGAAACACTCGTCGTATGCGATCCCTCCCCATCACCACTAAACCCATTCCCCGCCCTCCGTCCAATCACCGCAATCTGCCCATCAATCGCCACAGCCTTGACCGACTCCCCCATCGTCTTCGCCCCCCCAATCTCAACCACAAAATCCGCCCCTCTCCCCCTCCTCGACAACCCCTTCGCCGTACCCCCCCACCCCTCATCCTCAACATAATTAATCACATAATCCGCACCGATCTCCCCCTTCAACCGTTCCGCTTTCTCTCCACTACTAGTCGTCGAAATCACCTCCGCACCACCTATCTTCGCGAACTGCGCCGCGAATATACTCACCCCGCCGGTTCCCTGCGTCAGCACGGTCTCGCCGGGTTTCAGGGCCCGGGGTCCACCGTATAGCGCGTTCCAGGCTGTCACGCCGGCGCAGGGGAGGGTTGCGGCTTCACGGAAGGTGAGGTGCGAGGGGATCTCTACGCAGGATTGTTCGTTGTAGATGGCGTATTCTTGGAAGATGCCGTCGTGTTTGGCCCCGAGGGAGGAGGAGAAGTTTGTTTCGTGGAACGGGCCGTAGAGGTGTGTGAGGTGGAAGATGGGTGAGACTCGCGTGCCGGGCTTGAAGCGGGTTACCTTTGGGCCGGTGGTGTGGATGGTTCCTGCTGCGTCGGAGCTGGGGTGGAGATGGGTTAGGGGTTGTTGGTGAGTGAGGGGGTTTGTGGGGAGGGGGGGATGTAGGTACCCGGGGACGATGCCGTCCCGGACGCTCCAGACGTAGGTTCCCTTATTTGTCTGTGTCAGTGGGTTCTTGGGGTTAGGATGAGATGAGGTTACTCACGGTGGTTATCATAATATCTCTATAGTTCAGCGACGCGGCGTGGAACTTGACCAGGACTTCATAGTCGCCTGGCACTGGGATGGGGACTTCCCTGAGGTGCAGGGATTCGGCGCCATTGGTGCCTTGGACATACCATTGCTTCATCATTTCTGGCATGATTTGTATTGTTGAATAGATGTAGAGATACAGAGAGAGAATTATAGATGAACAGTTGAGCAATGAGCAATGATGGTGAAAGAGATAGGGGCAAGGATACTTATAGTATAGTTATATAGCCGTGGATCCGATAGCTTCGCCACGAGCACGTTTATTGATCCTGCCTGAGCTACACCGACAATCTGCTTTGAAATCAAGTCCTACATCGATGCAAGCATAACTAGGTTTCCTTGTCTAGATGGGCAAATCGGTGCTATCAAGATTCAAGGAATGACGTACGATCGGGTAGCCGCGTCTGCCCGCTGTCGGCCCGGAGGTTATACGCGGGTTGATTGGCTTGGTTGATGGTTTGTTTCGGGCGACGGCGCCGAGCCCCGAGTGCCTCATACTATGTACTATCTATGACAGGAGGCTGCCTATTGGCATGGCCTGAAATTAGGACTGGAGCTAGATTGAGTTAGTCGTTTTTTGTAGCTAAATGCACTAGCGCTAGTGGCACACTTTTATATGAGGTATTAAGGTCATTCGTGAGAGGAATGCGCGGATAGGGGAGTCTCGGACAGGGATATGGTGGGGAGGCCATTGACTGGACTTGGATTGGGCGGCTTGCATGCGAGATTGCATCAGGTTAATTTCAATGCGTTGCTTCCAGTCATCATGGAGAACTTGTATCGAAGATGAATTGTGGAACAGTAGCGGGCAGGGAGCAGATAAGCCAGTATTAAGTTGAATATCGTTGTCGATTATATACTATTGTACAGCCAGTCAAGGAAGCCTCACCAGCCCAATCTTCTCATTCTCAGACTTGCTCCTCTGACTCCACTCTGGCGCTTCGTCGTCTCCCGCGTCCTCCTGTGCATCACCCTCTGCCTTGGTCTGATGCACTGTCCGTGGGTCGTGTTCTGCTGGGGAGTAGATCGTAACTACCTCGAGCGGCGTGTCTCCCACGTTCAAGAACTGGTGTTGGGTGCCAGCTGGTACTATCACGACATCATTCTGTTTGACCACTTGCTCCTTTCCAGCAACAATCGCTTTGCCGGTGCCGTGGGTAAAGATCAGAACTTGGTCCACGGTGTGAATCTAGCAATCTCGTTTAGCTTAAGTTTTGATGAACATCGAAAGAAAGCTGACCTCGTCACCAATTTCACCATTAACGGGAATTTCCATCGCCACAAATTGCGAGTATAGTCCTGTGTGTAGAACTTTGCGGAAGACGCCGAAAGATCGATTCGGTGACATCACCCCCGGCATGTACACCATCTCATTCTTGGGTGGTTGAGTAGTCATGTTGCCCTTATACTTTGGGATCTGGTCCGAATAACCTCGATAGAAGACACCCACAAGGTTAAATGTTGATGGATTGCGATTCCTCAAGAAAGACCCTTTTGAGTGCTGCACAAGTTGTCTTCCCAGACACCTTGACAATCCGTTCATTTTATCTGTGTTCGTTCAGCCTGCAATATGTCATCGGGCGCGGCGCGTATTGTTATTTATAAATCGGCAGGTCTGGACAGCCAGGTGGTGACGTAAGGAATGCCATCATATCGAGGTGTTCTTCATGCCTGCTTTCCGCATCCATTGTTTATAGCTAGAGCTACCATGGCTCACCTGTGAATTGTCAGCAGAGATTCCAGGCTTTATGTTTGATAATAACCACCTTTGCTCGGATGCAACACACCTGATCCGTGGTCTTGGCCACGTAGAAGCATCCGCACGTGTATAAGATAAATATGCGTCAGAAGATCGCTCTCGATGGGAGCGACCGGTGGCCATCAACATCAGGCCGATATTTATGCCCCAGGCACGAAATCGGCAATCACCACCAAAACGGCACTCAATGCGTGAGACGGTCCTCGCGCATTCCCGTCGCTCGACGCGTATTTCCATCGTGGTGAATAGCAAGGATACTAACCAATAAGCCAGCTAGAATTCCAGATCTTAGGAAGGCATGCCCTTGTTGTCTTTTCCCGTCATATCCTGGATGTATGAGAATCCGATCACTAACCGCCCCAGCTGCTGTTAGCGATCCGAATACTAATAGTGGGTCTAACCATGTTACTGGCCCCAGCATAGCGTTTTATAGTACCGTGGTAGATCGCTCACTCACAATTATCACAACTGTCACCCTATGAATTATTGCATCGAGTTCATACGGAAGACCTCCCCAAGGACAATGGTTGAAACACTTGGTGTTGGGTACTTGGAACCCGATGGACTCCTCGGTGGTCGGATATCGGCCGGTCCCCTGACCATCACTGCTCCTTGCCTGATCTTCTCTATAGAGTACCCACTCTGCGACCGAGAACATAGACGAAGATGCACACAGTATCGGCGGAATCCGGTACTCCGAGATGCTGCACGATTATTCAAGATAGGCAAGGCTCTCTTAATCAGGTACGTGTCAGCGTTTGCTGGTAAAATCTACTATTAGCAGTATGTGAGAAAGTCTTGAATATTCCCCGTAACCACTCGCCTGGGTCTCGCCATTGTAAATCTTCTCTGGCAAGCCGCTTACATCATTGCCCGCAGCTCATATCAGTGCACGTAGCCAGCCTGGTTGGAGCCACAAAGTACTCCCGAGGGTTGGGTAAGTCGATGTAAGGACACAGAAAGCATGTTTGACAGAAAGTGGGACGGAACTCAATTGCGCACAGGCCACGAGGTATGTAAACGGCTGAGGTGGTAGCACTCCCCTGCCAATTTTTGCAATAGGCCCTCGCCCGATCTATAGCCTCGGATATAACCCCTTTCCTATGTTGCTAAGACAATAACCCCGTGCCTCTTGTTTATTCGCCCGGCCAATCAAGTCAATGATTCTCAACGCTTGCCAATTTCTTTGGTGACCGTAACGAGCGATGGGTCATCTTTCCAAGGAATGACTGCGTCCAAACCCACTGCTCTCAGCCTCTCATTCATGGCTGCACTGGCCTGACCTTCCCCTGTCCCTCTAGCCGTCATCGCGTCGGCATGGAGTTAATCGATATTTGTAGTGTCCTGACAGGATCCACTGGCGCTAGGTGGCTTGCGGATGACGACGGACCGCAGTATGCGAACCAAAACATGCGTGGCTCGGGGAGAAACCGGCCCTTGGGATCGAGAGTGGTAGAGGGGGTGAGAGAATTTTCGGGTTCCAAGAAAATGCAGGCCATAGAGGAGAGGGCGCAGGTCGGCTTGAGAGGGGGCATATCCCTGCTAGTGAGTGATAAGGGCCAGCTGCATCAAGCGTAGAGTGGGATGGATGTTGGGAGAGTGGATAGGGATGAGACGGGGGAAAGACGGGGATCAACGGCGAGGGGGTTCAACTTCCTCAGGCAGCCACCATCCAACCGTCTCTTTCCTCTTTCCTCTTCCCTTCTCTCCTCTTCCTCTCTCTCCCACAACATCTTAGTATGCTTCCTCTTACCCCATCATCGTCTATCTCACATCGCTCCTTTCGAGGTACTCCATCATGCACCTTACTCGCGACTCCAGATGTTCTCCGAATCAGCTCCTACTATCTCCGCAGTCGCCAATCTGCCGATCCATTGTGAGTAAGAGATACGTCTACATATTACACCAGTACTATCGATAGAGGCCCCTCAGCATCATCAATCGACATTGCGCTATGGAGCAGCTGCGCCGTCTATCTCATCCCGCTCCTCGAGTACTTATGGTTTCCCAATATAGGCTCCACCAGACCCATTAATCCAAACAGCTGGCACTTGCTTTACTTCGCCATGATTAGCTTAAGAGAATTTGTGGCCCCCATCTGAGTTGGTAGGCGTGTGCCAAATACAGGTCTTTGAGGAGTCAAATCCGTCGGTCAACTCGCATAAAGACGTGTCGAATCCGCCAGCGCTCTAAAGACGTATTTCATTTCACGCGTTCTCTCTCATATTCAAGTCTACTCATTCGCCTTGTTCTTCTATTACAATGATCGCTCCAACGGAGCCCGTTCTCTCTTCCAACTCAGTTACTCCTATCACCCAGTTCCATCCGCAAATTACCCTGGAGGCCGTGGATGAAAAAGTCATTCTTATTGTGGGTACGTGTTCTGTTACATATATCTCCAGCTTCCCTATCCTTGCCCCAGCTTATCTTTGAGCAGGTGGTGCCAATGGTATTGGCGAGAGCCTAGTCGAACTCTGCTGTCAGAATGGCGCTTACGTATGCATTGGTGACATTGACTCAACCCATGGCGCATACCTGAGTTGGAAATGCTGTGAAAACTGGCCCGTTTACTCCGACCCCAATCTCCCTCCTAAACCTCCCCGGTCCACCTTCCAGCTGGTCGACATTACAGACTACCATGCTGTGCTTAGCCTTTTTGACGTTGCCTTCAAGACTTTCAAGCGCATCGATCATGTTGTCGTTACCGCCGGTAGTATGGAGCCGCAAGAAAACTGGTTCGACAGCACCTTGAACCTTCAAGCTATCCGCACGGTAAGCCATTCGTAGAAGTCTTTTTATAAGCATTATCTCTGAATTTTGCAAGCCTCCATCTACAAGGGACCTTGACATCAACCTCACTGGCTCCCTTTACGTCGTCCGTGTAGCAAGCGTCTACCTTCGCCATAACCGTGGCCCAGGAGCAGACCGCTCCATCATCCTCTTCTCTTGCGCCGCAGGCTTTAAGGAAACCCCCGGTGTATCTGTTTACCAGGCGGCCAAGCACGGTGTGCAAGGTCTGATGCGCTCACTGCGCCCCTACTTCTCCTCGCCTTACAAGCACAACCTCCGCATCAATACCATCTGTCCCTGGATGACCCAGACCCACCCGGCAGTCACCAGAAAACTCTGTGATCGCTGGGAGGAAGAGGGTCTCCCTATCAGCTCTGCCCTGGAGGTTGCACAAGTGACTGCTGGTGTTCTGGCGGACGAAACCCTTAACGGCACCTCAATGTACGTCGAGGGAGGTCGTGCCTGGGAAATGGAGGCGAATATTACCCGTCTTGAGCCGCAGTGGTTGGGCGAGGCCCCGTCTAAGACATTGGCTCGGGGACAGAAAGTGTTGAAGGATGTATGGGCTGCGTGAATCGTCAAGACCTCCAAATTTCGCCAAAAAGTTGCATCGTTGCTATTTATACCACAGCGTTGGGAGAAGTACACCTTCTCTACCCAGATTTTGAAGACATTAACAGAGAAACGGGCTGAGAGACAGAAGAAAGGCTGTTGCAAATCGACCTTTGGGCGTGTGACTTACTAGTTATTTGTTCATATCCATATGCTTTACTACAAAAGACCATGAATGTTGGCTAGCCGGTACTGTTTATGACATTCGGCGGATCGGAATGCTCTACAAGGCAACTATGGCGAGCATCACCGGATGGGCGTGCGTTTACGAGTTCTTGGCATCGGCCGGCAGGATATAGCAAGCTTCTTTTGGTTCGGTTCTGGTCTATTCGCTAGCATTATCTCGAATATGTCTTTATAGGGTGAGGTGGGGCCAAACTTTTGAAAAAGAAGTGGCATGGTAGATTTAATTATTAGTTCAATCGGGTATCGTAAGTAAAGAAATAAAAGGAGAAAAAATTAGACATTCGAAAAAGGTCAACGGCGTAGGTTGTGGGAAATTGAAGCGATCGTGGCCCAGTTCAACAGACAGACACGGGTAGGCCTATGGATGGATCGTCCTACGCAATCCCAGTAAAGATATCGCTCAAAATCCGGGAAGCCTCGGGGTGAAGCCCACGATCATCGAAGGCTGGGAATCAGTACACTCCGTGTCACTGGTATTCCTGATAGGCTCTGCAACATGGAATAGTTGCGTCTATCGGTTACCGGTACGGTCAGTGGTCGGTCATTTGTTTAAGGTTGACTCGAGTGACTCACATTGAATTTCAGCAGGATCAGAACAACGACTTTTTTCAGTTCCAGCCACACCACCTGAGCTCCTGGGCAACCGCGTACGCAGTGGTTGAATAGCAATAGCCCGTGCTCCATGCGGAGTCGCTGCTCGGCGTCTGCTGTAAGCCATCGCTCGGGTTGGAATAGGTGGACATCGTCTCCGAAAACATCGCTATCGAAGTGGAGGACTTGTGAGTTGAATGCTATGGTAGTGCCCGCGTGGATTGAGAATCCTGCCATTGTAACACCGTCTGCTGGGGTTAGGATCTCTTCTTCGAAGCTCGTTGCTGATGATAAACGCAGTGACTCCTTGAGTACTGCGTCCAAGTAGGGTAATCTATTTAGTTCCCTCCACAATGGTAGATCTGATAGTGATCCAACACAGAATGCGGTATCTATCTCATCTTTGAGTCTGGGAAGATATCTTTGGTGTTTCAAAAGGAAGTAGAACAGTGACACAAATGCCTTGGTAATACCGTCAGCTCCACGAGCGGCATTACGAGATCCCTCAACAGAGCTTGGATTGCGGGTCTTTGGCTGAGCTGGAGTAGCACCATTTCCTCGACCAGACATAGGAGTCGTAGTCATGGGCAATCCAGAACAGGCCACCAGACGACGTCCGCGATCTCGTTTCAATGCCGTTACTGGGCTTCGTACGAGCATATACTCCACTACCGAAAATGCGCTCAAGAATCGGTTCTTTGTTACCGTCTGGTCATTTAATTGTTCCTCTTTCAACAGTCCATCCGCGGTAAGCTCAGTAAGGAAAGTCGTGGCAAATATCCGCAGGGACGCTGTAAGGTCCAGCACGTGGTATTTTCTAATGGCTCGGACAAGCTGTTTGGCGGATAGGTCGATGGCCCCTTCATACTCTGGTAGTCCATATGCGTATTCCCATACCGGATGCGAGGTTTGAAGATTGTTGGAGCTAGTTATCAGGTCATCCGACGCGAGCATGTGGTTTCCAAATTGTGGGACTGTAACTGACTGTAGGGATTAGCGCACGCAATACGCCTACCGACTCGACGCATACCTGGCCCAGTTGATCCTGATCTATCCGAGAAACAAGCGTGCCATCGGCAATACTGACAAAATTTGGTCCTAAGCGCACCACCCTGCCATATCTTTGGTGAAGGTTTGATAAGCGTTGACCGTAATGAGGAAGATTGCGGACAAATATGCGCCAAAGATCCGACCATCCAGCGAGCGGGGGACCAGGAATGGCACGCAAGCATCTATAATTGCAGAGGGCGCGAATGAGTGCCGAAAGGGCGAGCAGGAATACTGCAATGACGTCTATTCCCATGGTGGAGGCTGGAAGCGCCGTTCATTGTCCTGGTCCAGGTTCATGCGATGGTGTTTTAGCTATATCAACCGATGCGGTCACTCTGTGGGGAGAAACACATCATCGTGTCTCCTTTCCTGCAGCCGCAATGTCCCGAGTTGAGAAAATGAACCGGAGGCGGCCGGGAGTGAATCATGGCCCCCAGGGCAAACTGCGACATACCTGAAGGTCCCCAGGCACCCAAACAAACAAGTTCAGGCCTAAATTTAAAACCTGTGGTGCTTGTTGGTGAATAATGGGTCCGAGTAATTACGCGATAAGAACTCGTGCCCCTCAGGGGGTCCGTTGTCGGTCGGGCCGAGGTGGTGTGGCCAGGCTGCTGCATTGACACCCCGTCAGAATCGTGAATGGTGCAACACAGTGTGGGGTCGCGCAACGCAAGGGGAGATAAGTCTTCTGATCAGACTAGAGTCATCACAACAGTCTCAACATTGTAGGATGTGGATGGAACTGCTTTCCTGAACCCACTCACGCGGCATTGGCTTCCACTCTTCACTTGAGCCGCCTTAGTTTGTTTTGTGCTCCTCTAGGCCGATCGGATGACGATTCAACGGTGTCCTGGACCACGCTTGTTGCAGTTAACCACGAGGGCTCCTTAGTCTAGTGGAGTCAGATCCGGACTCCTGGATATCCTATCACTCGCCTACCCCGTAGGGCCATTTCTTATCCCAGTCACGAACTCCTTGTCGAAGCCTGACCAAGTCAATCCCACATTTTTGATTCCTCACCTCCCCGCGATATTGTGGACGGCGATCGACATCTCAGTTTGTGTCCAGCATTTAGTGCTTGGAACCGAGATTATCTGGGAACTTGCGAACTTCCTTTCACAGTGTGCGCTATGGTGATTGTGCTGTATCAGTAGCAGGGACGTATCTACTGCCAATGGCTCAAAGAAAGGCTCGAACTGGGCTGCAACACCGGGCCGCCGAGGATCAATCCAATTCGAGACGGTCGATGGTCGCGTGCGTGATTGATCAAGGCTTGGTTTCTAGACCGTGGTCAATTAATAAAGCTCTGCAGGTGTAATCGATGCCGCAACCGAAAGACGCGATGTGCTGGCAACCCACCTTATGCGTGTGCGGCGTGTGCGGAGGTGGGCCACGAGTGTGTCTACTCTGAAGCCGAGAAGCGCGTGTCTATTCCGGAAAGGTGAGAGCCTGAGGGATCGATCGCTGCCTGAGCGGCTGACCAACTTCTTCTCCTTTCCCCGCCAGTTACTTTCGTCAGCTACGATCTCAGGCCCAGGCCAACCGTCGAGGTTTGTGGATTCGCCTCCAAGCAGTGATCTCGTTCGTCTGATGAGTTGATTGGAGCAGATGAAGGTCGCTCTGTTTCCTTCCCAAACCCCCCTGCACCCATTCAAAGCAGTCCGTCCAACGTTGAGGTGCCCCTCGAACGAGACGACTGGTGGTACAATGGAACGGAGCATCTGTTCCTGAATCGGTCTGGTGAACATCGTGAGCTTCCCTTGAATCCGGATGTGTTCGGAGACGACCTGACGTGTAGGCAGACTATGTTGGAGCATCTTCTACCACTCACCTGGCTAAACGCCTGAATCCCACGTCAACTAACCTAGCATGGGACGTGCGCCCACTATACGATGATCCTTCATCTTTACGTCGCTCAGCGCCTCGAGCTCTTCCTCAACTACCCCCATTCGAATATGCGAAACGCCTGTACTGGGTACAGTACGTCTATATCGGAACAATTTTCTCCCTGATTCAGCCCCATGATTTTGAAGAGCGACTCCACATAGTCTATAGCCAACCTCCAGACTTGCTAAATCGCGAGTCGTGTCTGGTTTACTGCCAGGTGTTACTTGTCATAGCCTTTGGTCTTATGTATTCGGTGAACCAGTGGTCCGGTGATGACGGCCCCCCTGGGTTCAAGTATTTCAAGCATGCACTACGCTTCTTACCCGACATTCACGAGGAAGGCTCTATATTCTTCGTGGAGATACTTTGCTATGTCGCTTACTACATGCAGAATCTCAATCGGCGCGACGCCGCCTTTCTTTACGTATGTGTAGCTTCCCGTGGTGACTTCCGTTACTAACCCTCGAGACAAATAGATCGGACTTGCTCTTCGCATGGCAATCTCACTGGGTCTCCATCAAGAGGTCCTCGACCCAGGAATTAGTGAGGAGGATCGAAATCGCCGTCGGCGGGCTTGGTGGTCGGTATACAGTCTAGATAGGTACATCTTACGCATCTCGGCCATATGACTCGCTAATACCCAACAGGCTACTCTCCGTTAAGTCAGGCAATCCAATCACAATTCATGATGAGGACATCGGCACCACATGGCCGCAGCCAGTCGTAAGTTTTGAACAATCCGCTGTACATGCGCTTTCTAACATGCAATCAGAGCGCCACCGATATGGTCCCTTGGCCATCGGTTGTCCTCACATACTATACTCAGCTATCCAGAATACTGGGTAGAATCGGGGAAGGTTTGGAGTTCTAGCCTTTTTTACTTCTGACGGGTCTTCTAACTGTTACTAAGAGATCTATCGGAAGAAGCCGCGGTCGGGGTCCAACCTGCTAGCCTCGGTACAAAGCATTACGGATGAGCTTTCCGACTGGCTTCGACGAGTTCCCGATCGATTACGTATAGACTTTTCCAGACTGGGTACACACATTAACCGCGAGTCGGTGTCAATATTCCTACACTTCTATTCGTGCGTCAACATGACCGCACGGCCCTTGGTCTTCTATGTAATCCAGCGTCGGCTCGATGCAGAGGCTGGTGGCTCTGCGACAGATGACTGGAGGGAAGGACTATCGCAGAATACAGTAGCGGTAATTGACAGCTGTGTCGCGGCAGCTCGGGCGACTACCCTTATAATGGATGCTGCAGCGAAACATAATTTAGTTGGTATGTCAATTCGCTCCTTGCGTTACCTAGAGTGACGTCTATCGGATATATGTATGTGACTGATACAATCGTCAGCAACTTACGGCTATCTCGACGGGGAGTACGTCTTTTCTGCCGCGCTCTTGCTTGTGATGGTCAATGCCGCATTCCCGCACAACACGGCCAATGCGCGGGCTATGGAGATATCAATAAGCTTGCTTCGCAGCATGGCCGATCGGGGTAATACAAATCTGGCTGCCCGACACTCGCTACTTCTTGAGCTGCGGTCATCCATCGGACATAATCGCGCGAGGACAGAAGGCGATGCTGTCGAAGTGCCGATAACGCCCAGTAGCACACAACAGACAACACCCTTGAATAATGTAGCCGGTCCGTCAACGAACAGTACGTGGACTCCACAGCAGGATTTGCCGTCAATGCAGGAGATCTCGTTCAACTTTGATATCAACGACGACCCGGGCCTCTGGGAAGAAGTTTTAGGTCAGATTGATATCGATATGGATACTGACTGGATTGAGAACACGCTGAAGAAGTAGAAGGGATGCGCAGGTTCCTATATATACAAGAGCGGGTCTAGGTTTATGCCTCAATGGAGATTTTATATATTCCAAAGTTGCATTTATGAGAGCCGTACAATGTGTGTTTTGCCGTGAAATCATCTATCAAGAGTAGCAACACTGGTGATACACCGCGTCGAGGATGTCACCATTATATATTTGTTAGGGCCCGCGCATAGTACATGCCTAGTTTGGGGCTGATAGCGCTCCTTAGACAAGTTACACTCACTTGATCTCTCAAGCAGGATAGACACGAGCTCAGAAAGTCCCACGACTCTTGCGGTACGGGGTACACGAAAAGACCATGAATAATAGTCACCTTCGCCAGTGAGATCCCTTGATGCCTATCTGGCGGGCTTATCAGCGGTTATCCGGGCTTATCGACTGGTTGATCCGGCGTCATCGGCCCGCGATTGCCGACCATTCTGCCCGTCGGCCCGACACGTGACCATCCACCAATGAAAGGCCTTAACCAGGGCGGGAGAGCAGTGACGACAGCGGATCTCTTATCGCGTTCCCCCCAGACTGTCCAGCTGCGGGTTATTATAACATGGGGAATGCCCCTCCATCATCCACCACAACACTACAACCATTGAGATACCCCCTTCCTTCCCTCTTTCCTCTTCCCTTCTACCTTCCATTATTCCCCTCTCCCCTCCTCGCAATTTACTCTCCAACATGCCCGGGTCAGAGAAAATCACCATTTCCATCGATCGCGGTGGTACCTTCACCGACGTGCATGCAGTGGTGCCCGGTCGCCCGGATATCATCCTGAAGCTACTGTCCGTCGACCCCGGTCACTACCAAGATGCTCCCACCGAGGGTATCCGCCAAATACTCGAGCTCGTTACGGGTGAGCCACACCCACGAGGCCAACCTCTGAAGCTCGACCGTATTGGTAGTCTGCGCATGGGAACGACAGTGGCCACAAATGCACTCCTAGAGCGCAAGGGCGCTCGCTCCGTACTGCTCACAACGAAAGGCTTCCGCGACTTACTCAAGATTGGAGACCAATCCCGACCAAACATCTTCGACCTCTCAATGGCTAGACCCGGCGTGCTGCCCGAGAGAGTAGTGGAGATCAATGAGCGTGTTGTCCCATGCCACCCTCTCGCCGACAAAGACTGCTTTACGAATGCTCGGATTGTGGAGGGAACAACAAGCGAGAAGTTCCGGGTGGTACAGGAGCTGGACATTGAAGAGGTTCGCCCGGTGCTACAGCAATTGAAAGAGCAGGGTTATCAATCGCTTTCGGTTGCACTCGTGCACTCCTTCGCATACCCCGAGCACGAACGCATGATCGGCGAATTGGCCGAGAGCATGGGCTTCTCCGTCACCCTGTCGTCCAAACTGCAGCCCATGATCAAGGTGGTCCCCCGAGGCATGTCTGCCGCGGCAGATGCCTATCTTACGCCCGTCATCAAAACCTACATCGACTCAATTTCGGACAGCTTCGAGGGTGGGCTGGAGAAGCAGCAAGAATGCCGGTTCGAGTTTATGCAGTCAGACGGTGGATTAGTCGACTTTCGCAGATTCAGCGGGCTGAAAGCGATTCTATCTGGTCCAGCCGCTGGTGTGGTTGGCTTCGCTGCTACCAGCTGGGACCCGAAGGAAAAGACTCCCGTGATCGGCTTCGACATGGGCGGTACATCAACTGATGTGTCCCGCTTTGACGGCCATCTGGAGCATGTTTTTGGATCCAAGGTGGCCGGTGTGCTGATCCAATCTCCTCAGCTCGACATCAATACCGTTGCTGCCGGTGGTGGTTCGATCCTGTCGTGGCGCAACGGCCTGTTCTATGTCGGTCCTGAGTCTGCATCCGCTCACCCGGGACCTGCTTGCTACCGGAAAGGCGGTCCTTTGACCGTCACTGATGCCAACCTATTCCTTGGCCGACTCCTGCCTGAATACTTCCCTCATATCTTCGGACCTAACGAAGACCAACCTCTTGACATTGAGGTTACAACGAAGTTGTTCAATGAGTTGACGGGAAAAATCAACACTGAAAGGAAGGAGAAGGGTCAATCGGAGTTTACAGCAGAGGAGGTGGCGCTAGGTTTCTTGAAGGTTGCGGATGAGTCAATGGCTCGTCCTATTCGCAACCTGACGGAGGCTCGTGGCTTCGAAACGGCGTCTCATCATCTGGCATGCTTCGGAGGCGCAGGTGGCCAGCATGCATGCACTGTCGCAGGGTCGTTGGGAATTTCCCGCATCATCATTAACAAGTTCTCATCGGTCCTTTCGGCGTATGGTTTGGCGCTGGCAGAGGTGGTCAAGGAATCGCAGGAGCCAGTCTCCACGGACTACTCGACCTCTCAGTCGACTTTGGAGAAGCGCTTCCACGACATGATTCAGGCGGCTACTGAAGATATGGAAACGCAAGGATTCTCGGATGACCAGGTTCGCCACGAGTTGTATCTCAATTTGCGTTATGAGGGCTCGGACACCAGTTTGATGATCCTGAAACCTGAGGATGAGTCCGATTTCCTGGAGCAATTCCGTGCCAGACACCGCCGAGAGTTTGGCTTCAACTCAGATAGACCAGTTCTGGTTGATGACATCCGCGTCCGCACAATTGCTTGCTCGAAGGTGCGAACGGAAAAGAGCCCTCTGGTGCAACTGAGGGAAGCCACCCTTAAGGACGTCACAGGTGGTCCGGACAATACCTCTCAGGCATACTTTGATGGTCACTCAGAACGAATCGACACACCTGTTTACCAGCTTAACAAGCTAGGCAAAAACACCCGCGTCCATGGACCTGCCATCATCATTGACGAGACGCAAACCGTTGTGGTGGCGCCCAATGCTGTAGCTAGTATTCTGGAGACATGCATTGTTATCGACCTCAAGGAGCTTCCAGGGGATTCTGCTGGCGAGGGAGGGTCGTCAGGAATTGACCCTATTCGACTTACTATCTTCGGCCATCGATTTATGTCCATTGCAGAGCAGATGGGCCGTACGCTACAGAAGACCTCGGTGTCCACTAACATCAAGGAACGCCTGGACTTTTCCTGCGCTCTTTTCTCCCCCGATGGAGGCCTGGTTGCCAATGCTCCGCATGTTCCGGTGCATCTTGGCTCCATGCAGTTCGCAGTTCGCTACCAGCACGAGAAGTGGCTGGGTAACCTGCAGGATGGCGATGTGCTGGTGGCAAACCACCCCAGTTCTGGTGGAACGCATTTGCCTGATATTACCGTAAGTGAATCGGGCGAATTTTGACTTCTTATAGCTAACTGTGGATTAGGTGATCACGCCTGTTTTCGACCGACCGGGTGGCACCGAAATCATGTTCTATGTTGCTTCGCGTGGCCACCACGCTGATATTGGTGGTATTCTGCCTGGATCGATGCCACCGAAGTCCACTGAGCTTTGGCAGGAGGGTGCTGCCATTGAGGGGGACAAAATCGTGAGCAACGGGGTCTTCGATGAGGAACGCATGATGGAGCTTTTGATCCACAAACCTGCCCAGTACGAAGGATGCTCGGGAGCCAGATGCATCAGTGACAACTTATCCGACTTGAAGGCCCAGATTGCTGCAAACACCCGCGGTATATCCCTCATCCAAGCGTTGTTCGCAGAATACGGTGTCGAAACCGTCCAGAAGTACATGTATGCCATCCAAGCCACGGCCGAGACGGCGGTGCGCAATCTTCTGAAAGACCTTCACAAGAAGTTCGGCGGCCAGCCCTTGGAGGCGGTCGACTACATGGACGATGGCACTCCTATCAAGCTGAAGGTCACCATCAATGGCTCGGATGGATCCGCCGTCTTCGACTTCGCCGGTACTGGTCCTGAAGTCTACGGAGGATGGAACGCACCGATCGCTATCACCCATTCGGCCATCATTTACTGCTTGCGATGCATGATCAACGCCGACATGCCTCTGAACCAGGGGTGCCTTGCTCCAATCGACATCCAGGTTCCATCGCCTAGTATTCTGTCGCCCACTAAGTCCGCGGCCGTGGTCGGTGGAAACGTGGTGACCTCCCAGCGTATCACCGACGTTGTGCTGAAAGCCTTCCAAGCTTGTGCTGCGTCGCAAGGGTGCTGCAATAACTTGACGTTCGGCACGAACTCAAAGCGCGACCCTGAGACAGGCGAGGTAATCCCCGGCTTTGGATACTACGAAACGATTGCAGGAGGCAGCGGTGCTGGTCCAACCTGGAACGGAGAGTCAGGTATTCATGTGCACATGACCAACACACGCATCACCGACCCGGAGATCTTGGAGAAGCGTTACCCGACGCTCCTCCGGCAGTTCACCCTGCGGGAGGGATCTGGTGGCAAGGGTCAGCATCCTGGCGGCGACGGTGTTATCCGAGACATTGAATTTCTGTCCCCGATGGAAGTCTCAATCCTGTCAGAGCGACGAGTCTACCGGCCATATGGTCTCGAGGGGGGAGAGGATGCCCAACCTGGGCTGAACCTATGGATCACGAAGGACCTTAATACTGGAAGGGAGCGTCAGGTGAACATTGGCGGAAAGAACACCGTCTCCATGAAGACTCACGATCGCATTATTATTAACACGGCTGGTGGCGGTGGCTGGGGTGCTGCATCTGCATGATCAATGAATGGGTTGAGGAGTCCGGTTGCATTGCATAAGGGATATGGAAAGCGTCTAGTGTTGGATTGTTGAACTGTTGATAGTTAGAAATTCTATTCTTCGTACATGTTCCCCGTATTCCCTACCGGTAACGCCATCTGGCATGTCAGACCCGACGGAATCCAGCTGCAGGATTGGCTGTGCCCACCACGCTATTGGCGTCCTGCAAGCCATGGCGTCTTATCGATTCGTTTCCACCCACGGACCCCCGATAACTCCGCGCGACTCCCTCGCCCGCTCCCCCGGACCAGCACCTCCTCTCCCTCTTTTGCCAACCCCCGACAATTCTCTCTCTCTCCACGACTTATTCATCGCACCCAACAGCAGAACATGGTTCTCCGACAAAACATCAATCCTATAACGCCCGAATTCGACGACCTCGTCGATAAACTGCTCGAAAAATGGAAGATTCCGGGTCTCACCATCTCCATCGTTCACGGCTCCAGCACCTACGCCAAGGTATCTGTCTACCAGCAATCCCCTCCCCAATCCACCCCAGCACTAACAGTCACTGAATCTCAGGCATACGGCTATGCCTCCTTCCCTTCCACCCCGATGACCGTTGACTCCCTCTTCAGCACCTGCAGCACCACTAAAGCCTTCACCGCTGCCGCCCTGTCTCTCGCCATCGACGACAGCAAGTCCACCTCGACCCCCATCTCTTGGTCGACCCCCGTCTCCTCCCTTATCCGCGAAGACTTTGTACTTTCCACTCCCACCGCCACAGCCAACACAACCATCGAAGATATCCTCTCGCACCGATCCGGTCTCTCGGGCCACTTCGGCGTCATGGCCCTCGCCTATCCAGACGAGGACCTCCGCACCGCAGTCCGCAAGCTCCGCCACTTGCCTCTCGCATACCCCCCGCGCACGACATTCAATTATTGTAATCACATGTTCATGGTTGCATCGCATCTCATAGAGAATTTGAATGGGGAGGATATGGGCACAACACTCAGGAAACGGATTTGGGATCCGCTCAATATGACGGATACGTATTTTACTCTTGACGAAGTCAAAAGATTACCCGATGCAGCAGAACGATTGGTGAAGGGATATACATGGAACCCGGAAACAAACACCTACCTCGAGGAACCATATATGAATTACGCCCCGACAACTGGAACAGGTGCCATAGTGAGTAACGTCCTCGATTACGCCAAGTGGCTCCGCGCATTGGTATATCAGACCGGCCCGATCTCGCCCGAGGGTCACACGACGCTACGTTTACCTCGGACGGTAATTGCCCAAGCAGATTGGGACAATATGCTTGCCCCCCCGGGCGCATACCATCTATATACGATGGGTTGGTTCGTAGATTACTACCACGGGGAACAGATATACTGGCACACAGGAAGTTGGTTTGGATTCGGCATTATGGTTGGGTTTTTGCCCGCACGGGGATTCGCGTTTGCGATGATGGGGAATACCCAGAATGCCAGGATCGCACAGTTGGAGTTGTATCTGTATTCGGTTGATGAGTTGATTGGGAAGAGGGGTGGAGCAGCAGCAGCGGAGAGGGAGGCGCATATGGCTAGGTTGGGGAGGCAAATCCAGGAAATGGAACTGGGGTATACAGATAGTGTGGAGCAAGTGATTGAACGGTTGTTCCCCAGGTTGGAGACGAGGCTGCCTCACGCCCTGACTTTGGAAGCGTATACGGGGAGATATGAGCACCGAGCGTATGGGAAGTTGGTCTTGTGTGAGAAGGAAGGGAGATTGGTTGTTGATTTGACGGACCGCGTGTTGAAGAAATGCTTGCGGTTTGAACATGTTAGTGGTGAGTTCTTTGTGGTCAAAAATTATACGCCTGGAGCGGAGGCCGTGGACCCAGAATACATAAAGGCCGAGTTTTATGTTGATGCAAAGGGGGTCGCCATGGAGTTGGGGCTCGATTGGGAGCCGGCCCTGGGGGAGAAGATCTGGTTCAAGCGGGTTTAGTAGGATGGGGATATAGGCAAGGGAGGAGAAGCAGATTAATGACTGCCTCTATCATGGTCTCAATTCTACTCGCACGGACAGTCTCATGTGCAAGCCAGATTCTGGAGTATCCCAACCTTGGTTGTCGGTGACTATAGAATGAAAGGTAGGCTAAGTGATCAACAGTCAAACAACGAGGGAAGATTGCCTCGATGATGTCAGTCTAGGCGACAATGGAAGGGAGTATGTGTTATGCAGATGGGAAAACTCACCAAGGCTGACTGAGGACAGAAGCGAGAGCAGAGCGAAGGAAGTGAATACCATCGAAATTTCTTCTCCCCACAAATCTTCTATTTCATCTTCATCTCACTTTAGTTCCCTCCCTTGAATCCATCGTTTACCTCTTTCCCCATGCCGTGGATCTGTTGACCGCTGGTTTCCTTCATGTCACTCTTATCCCCCCATTCTCGCCTTCATAGATTGACCACCCTCCCAACTCTTAGTAGCTCTTATCGTTGATTTGCCCACGACATGCGACCCCCGGGTCTCACCAAGCGCGTTTTCGAACACGCCGCACTTCCTCCTCAGCTGCCTGGTAGTCATGATGAAACCATCGCCGAGGTGGAGGCCAGCCTCATAGTCCGCATGCTCAACGCAACGGACACCATGAGAGATTTTGAACCTGACTCAAATCTGTGGGACAATCTGAAACGATCTTTAAATGCTTGCAAACATATCCATGTAAATGGCTCTATCGACAAGGCACAGCTCATACAGAGTCTCCAAGAGATCAGCCCAGAAAACATGGTCATATTGCATATCAGGGAGCAGAATGCTGGCTTACTGATAAGGCAGGAACTGAGGTTTGTCGTGCTGCTCTAGAAAGGTCGGTAGAGACTCACTCCTTTAGTAATGACGAACAATCTGTTGTCTTCGAGGCCTTTGAAGCCTCTCCCAGGTCGGAAAATGTGTTAGCCTCTCAGAATGCGTTGTTGTGTGATTTTCCAGACGCCGCAGCCGCTATGCCCCTATCTCGCTTCCAGAAGGATAGCTTCATTGAGAGTCTCGCCTCGTTCCTAGTGCAGGCTAGCGGAGAGTTTATCGAACACTTTGCCCCTCGAGCTAAAAAGGCAGGAGCTTCAGTCGTGGAAACTCGGAACACGGTGGATCCAGCCCTCATACGTGAAATGCTGATTACCTTGGTTGAAGGTGTGGGCGAGCCGTTGTCTCCTCCTATACTGCAAAAGCGTGTCAGGGATGAGGTGAACTGGAAAAGGTCCGAGAAGCCTTGGAGAAGAAGCCCTTTTTGGCTCGTTCTTCGAGTCTGTATTCAGCGACACCTGACTCTAGGTTGTTCGCCATCGGAGGGTCGCATAAGGTACAAGTTGCTCCAGTGCCTGTTCCACGCTCAGTTGCTCCATGACGCAGTGGACGACCTCAGCATTGAAAGCTGCCATTTTATGCGTGCTAAGATCTGTCGACGGCTCGCCAAGCTTGAATCAGAGTTTGAAGGTGTACCTTCCTTCCTTTCTACCAACTACCGCAACCTATTCGACATGGTTGGATGTTTCTGTGAGGAAGAGATCCGGAAGGCATCAAGTCACATGGAACGCACATGGGATACATTCAAGAAATCCACAATACGACAGATACCCGAACTACCGTGTCACGCCAGTGAAGGGGACTTGCGCTTGACTTTACCTAACAGCCTCCCATACCTGCAGAGTGTGCTCAGTAGCCACGCCAAACACATTGCAGGCCAAGGTAATCCGAAGTCTCGGAAGAACCCGTTCTATGACACTATGGCAACAGCGGCGATATCACATGCACAGGTATTCGCACAAAAACATTTCGATTTGGCAGAATGCGAGATGGGGCTTGAGACGCTGGCAAATTCCACCCCCGTTTCATGCGCAGAAAACTGTATACGTCTAGGCAGATCAATTCTTGCGTATATTGACAAGGATCCGCTCTGTGCCTATTTCCATACCATCGAACAAAGAAGCCTGATGGTACTCTCGGTTTTCGAGGCCTGGGTTGGCATGGATATGTCTGCCTTGGCCAGATTTCCCTTACTGAAAGACTATCATTCCGGATTCCGTCCGGAAATTCTCGACGTCCTCCATATTTCTCGGCTTCGAGATATGGAAAGGCTACAAAAGGTGCAGAGATATCTGGACACGCGCCAGAATCAGTGTCGCTTGATTGCGAAGACAATATTTTCTGATCCGTGTAAAGAGTGCTTTGCAGTCCACTTCTTCGATACCGAGGACGGCATACCACTGCAGAAGCTGAAATGTGACATCGAACGGGCTTCAGATATTGCAAAGAAAGCCAAAGAAAGGGAACTGAGGAAATTGAATGCAAGACATGGAGAGGTGGACAAAGAGATGGCTGCTCTCACGTGCTGTTCCAGACCTAGACGTTTGTGCAAGACATGCGATTGCAGATATTGCGTGTTGAAGCGGGAACGGAAGAAGCTGCGGATTACGATCCATGAGGACTATCTCCCTCGAAGTGATTCTGAGTACCATGATGCGCAACAAAAAGCAATTCTCCTCGAGCTTGCCATGCCAGAGAGTTTGGCTGTGTATCGTGATGTTACGTGGAAGATTGCCAGCTTGCTTGGAACCGATCCCAGGAACTCGTCATCGCGGGACTCACCCAAAGCAAAGCTGAAAGATTACCAGCAATTGTGGAGTTATAGAAAGTCTGGGATAAGCATGGCGCTTAGCCTAGCATCAACAACAAAGTCCTTCCGAGTAGCGCATTATAAGAAGGTCAAGATTCCGACCTCTGAGTCGCAAGTCCTCCTGCCACTCGGACTCAACTTCACATACTATGACTGCGGCCAAGAAAGATGGTGTAGGGAGCTTCCGGGAAGATATCGATGGCGCACCTATTTGGACTGGACATCTCCGTGCGGAATCTTCTAGGGGTCGAAAACAGGGCAGAGTTCGGAGCAGATGCTAATGGTCCAACCTCGTATGAGATCTTATCCAGCCAGACACGATGCCCACCACGGTTGACAGTGCATGAATTTATGGCCTATCAAAATTTACTGGCTGGTCATCATAGACGTTGGCCTTCAATTTTGCGTGAGCTCGGCTCATCAAACCTGAATTTCAACTTGGAAGAAACCATGCATATCATGAACTATCTCAGCCTTCACAGCGGCCCAAGAGACACTGAGCTTGATGAGCGTATAAATCATGTTCTACTTCGAGATCCCCATCTCGGTAATCGATTGCTATTACACGTTGAAGAACATCTAGACAGCATCTCGCGCAACTGGCGTGAGACATACCACATGGAACTCCTGGTGACAATCATTCTACGTGTACTCTCGGTGAAAGAGCAGCTCTCAAAGCACACAGCTCGACGGCTTCTGAAAAAGGCTCGATCCATAACACTACATTGGCTTCGAATGATACGTCATGAGATCCACACGTCAACTCCGGATGCATGTGATGAAAAGCTAACGCTATATGCTCTTGTGGGGTCTTTGGCTTGCAAACGAATGTGCTTTCCTGATGACCTCGAGGACACAATTGACCATGGAGAGTCCTTCACTGCCTATATAGAGGCGTCAATTATGCTTCAGGACAACCTCCCGTCAGATAAGTCGAGCCTACCAAGTGTTCTGCAGGGAATGCTAGTCCGTGACCTGAACAGAAGCTTTGGCCTCAGAAAGGTCCTGCGCAGCGCAATCGTGACATCCCCGAGTGGTTTGGAAGCTGCAATTAATAATGTTTGGCCCCAGGATGCGGGTTGCCCGCGCGAGTATGGAGCTTGGACGTCACTAACTCACATACACGATCAATGGATCGTGTCTAGAGTGGCGCCAACCAAACACACGGATGCACAGGTTGTTCACTATAATATCCTCCAGGGATACCTGCTCATTAACAACAAACCTCTCGGTAAGTTACCGAATGAGCTCCAGGATGCGCCAATTGTCCGACAACTTTTTGGAAACCAGAGCTTTTTTGCCTATCCGTCAGCATTGCCCGCAATGACATACAGACTTCGTTCCCTGTACAACGGGCACGAGATACACCTCGGGATGCGAATGAACAAAATCATTATCCGTGCTCGAACTCGGGATGCAGTCCTTGAATTTGTTGATAAAAATGTCTTTGTCAAAGACGGAGCATTCGATGTTCCTGCACCACTGGTTGAAGACTGTGTTCATTGGCTTAATCTGACCACTCAGCAATTGGAATTTCGGGGAAAGCCCCAAATTTGGATTCCTAACAGACCAGGAAACTGGATCTTGGACGTGGCGCAGAGACGTGCAACTCGCCGTACCGTGGCTCTGGTAGACCCCTTTGGTCCGCTCTCTGTGAAGGTTATGAAAATTTTTAGGGATTTCGAAGAGGCAAAGCATATCACTGTCTTCCAGCCAAGCAGTCACAGAATAACTGTGGAGTTGAAGAGGATGAACCTGAGCTTCACTGTGAATCAAAAGGGCCGCCTTTTCTCCAAAGAGTTACGTTGTGAGGTCTCCCTAGATCAAGACGCGGGGACTTGGTATGGGTTAGAGAGCATGCTTATCCTACAAGATGTGCATAACCCATCACTGCGAAGTATCGTGGTTCCTCTTGGGCTGGTCAAATCCCAGCGCAACGGGCCTCACGTGTCTATCCAAGTTGTAGGGCCAGATGGGACTTATGGGCGATTCTTGATTGATGATGTTGTCGGCCGCGTTCAGTGCGCGCCAGAGCCACTTCTGATGTTTACCAAAGCTTTACTGCACGCTTATACCTCTTTTGTATTGCCTGACCCTCTCACTAGGAGAACAGGAACCGAGGAAGCATTAGCACTGCTGTCCTCCGGGACACTTCTACCTTGGGCCGCTCTAAGAGGACCACAACTTGAACTACTCTTGGCTATTGCACATCTCTCACCAGGGCGTGTGTACTATCCCGATCATCTGAAGTGCCAGCAGATGGTACACTGGAACCGTGACTTGACGACCACAATTCAAGATGACAATCTTCAAGACGCGGTTGGAAAAGTTTTCAACAGGCTGAAAAGGTTGGGAATCTTCAATAGTGAGCCATATCAGCCACCCAAGCTTGACGTCATGGATGTTCATTTGCGTGCGAGAGCCTCGATTCGCCGCCAATGTTACGCAAGGCAATTTACCGAGTCAGAACATCGAAGCAATCCGCCAGATGACAAGTACACTTGGAGTCCAGCCCGGGAGGGAAAAGCCACAGAAAATGTCTTCGAGGTCGTCCACTTACTGGACAAGCAGCCCTCGTTCATACACACTACTCCATCAATCGCGTCGCTCCTTGAAGTCCCCATTATTCAGGGGTATAACAAGCCATTCAACCAGACAATGCTCACAGAGCTACTTCGCACGGATGTCGCGCAGGAATGGGGTCCATTGATTCACTCATTCTGCAGACCTCGTGCTCCCTATATGACTATTGACCGCATAACTTTCATGTGTGGAGTAATGGCCTTTGGGTCTGTGGATATGGAAATTCTGCGATCGGTCGTGGCATTGGCCTTGGACGACCATTTCCCGTTATTGCCAGTGCCCGAACACCAATGCTATAGTGACTTCCGCCAACACGAAGAGCCACGCATCGAAGAAGTGGCGACGATCATACGCAATAGTCAGACACCATCCATTGCAAGTCAAATAGGAGGAAGCGCGGAAGAGGTGGACACAGCAATAATCGAGGACCTCGCCAAGCACATCGTGGCTCAGTGGCCATGTACTGACCCGAGCTTGGATGGCCTTGGGAGCCTCCCTGATGCTTTCAGGGCAGTGAAACTAGTTCGATCGGAGTGGAGTCGCTTGGTGAGAAACGGTGATCTCTCCCGGCATCTGGCCTCAGTCCAGACTCTGCTCGATGGAAGATGGGCAAAATCGAACCCCGAGCGGTTATCATCGATTCGAACGGAGAAAAGATGGATAGGAAAACCCAGTGGATTTTACCACGGTCCGTCGCTTTCACAAAACCTTATGAGAAAGGCGGCGACGGGTTTCTCTTTACAGTGCGACCGGAAATACCCCAATCCACTACCTGGCCGCATGGCCAGCAGTAGCCCGGGAAATGAGACCAGGACAATGACAACCCACTTACCTGATCATGAAGAACTCAAGACTATACTCGGACACATGACAGCTTCTCCAAGTGCAATCCGCAGGGAATACGCAGAAGACCTCCTTGGAAGCTTGGAGGCACTGAGAACGCACGAGCAAAACAGGTCGCATAATTTTGTGCCGACTGATGTTCAGCGAAATGTTGACATTGAGAGGGCAAGTGTGGATGAACATTACCACGCAATTTGTGACTTCCTAGCTGCAAACGATACACAATTCAAGTGGCTGCATCTCGGTCAGTTGTGGCCGTGTTTGAGCCCGGCTACCTTACTCCCAAATATAAGATCCACAAGTTCCATCCGCTTTGGACAAGGTATGAGAGAAGCAATTGTTGGATATGGAATTCAGATCACGCATTTGCAACGTCTACTTCGCATGGCAGATGCCCGCAAGAAGGAGGATGCTCGGCGGTTCAAGCAGGAAGAACAAAACCGAGGACACGGTAACTGGAGTCCAGAGAAGCATACCGACTGGTTGCTCTTTGAAATCGACGCGAATATCCTCATCCGAGACGAGCAAATTAGTGTGGCTCAAGTGACAATCTCGCCTGCCTCCCAATCAAATTCCGTTCTGCAGATGAGTATGGGAAAAGGTGAGCATAGCCGAAGAATCATTTCAATAGACTAACAACTTCAGGCAAAACCTCTGTAATCTTGCCTATTGTCGCATGTAGTGTTGCAAATGGAAAGGCGTTAGCAAGGCTCGTTGTCCCTCGAGCACTATTGTTGCAGACAGCTCAAATCCTTCAAGCTCGGTTGGGAGGCTTGGTGGGCCGTGAGATATACCACTTACCTTTCTCTCGGAAAACACGTTTGGATGAGACTACGATACAGACTTACTGGCATCTTCATCGTGACTGTCGAGACCAGAGAAGTATAATAATTACGCAGCCAGACCACATCTTGTCTTTCAAGCTCAGTGGGCAGCAAGCATTGGCAGATAACCAGCTCGAGGCCGCACGTGGCATGATATCTGTGCAATCATGGCTTGACAGGTATTCTCGCAATATCGTCGACGAATGTGATTTTACCCTGGCTGTAAAGACCCAGCTTATCTATCCCAGCGGCACCCAGCTAGCAGTGGATGGTCATCCATATAGATGGAAGGTACCTCAGGCGATACTGGGCTCTCTACAAGCTTACCTCCGAGAATTGCAGGACTCCTTTCCTCAAAGCATTGAGGCTTTCTCCCGGCCATCCGGTGGGTTCCCCTTTGTCTATATCCTGAGACCCGATGCTCAAGATGCTTTGCATGAACGTCTAGTTGCTGAGGTTTGTGACGGTGGGATGAATTTCTTACCCGCTATTCACGGGGAATCAAGGGATGCGGTCAAAGAGTTTCTTCTGCAGGGTGTCGTCAGCAAAGGTACAGCTGACGTCGCGTATCAGGCTTTTCAGAGCCAGCCTTCGTCAATCCATCTTCTTCACATAGTGCGTGGGCTTCTGGTGCACGGAATCCTCTTTCTTTGTTTAAGAAAACGTTGGAATGTGCAATATGGTCTACACCCCACACGAGATCCCATTGCAGTTCCTTACCATGGGAAGGGAATCCCTTCCGATCAAGCCGAATGGGGCCATCCAGACGTTGCGATAGTGCTCACATGTCTAGCATTTTACTACACCGGTCTTACGGTCGACCAGGTCCGGCAAGCGTTGCGCCGTGTGCTTCAATCTGACGATCCATCTAGCGCGTATGCACGCTGGACACACCGATCGACGTCGCTTCCCAAGCCACTCCGTCAGTGGAATCTGATCAATGCCGATGACGACGCCCAGCTACGGCAGATGTGGAGCCACCTACGTTACGAGCTCGTTGTTATCAATGATTATCTCAATGACTTTGTCTTCCCCGTGCACGCGCGACAGTTTCAACATAAACTACAGGCCTCGGGATGGGACATTCCACGGTTGGCGCTGAACCGTTTAGATCCAACGCTTACTACTGGATTCAGTGGAACGAATGATAACAAGAAGATGCTTCCTTTGTCCGTCAAGCAACGGGATCTACCGGAGTTGTCTCATACGAATGCTGAGGTTTTGTCTTATTTACTTCAGGCGCGGAACAGGAGTTACTTTGTGGCGGCTGATTCAAGATTGAAAAGACTCTCCGAAAGAGAATTTCTACAAAGATTGAAGGCCCTGAGGATTCGAATTTTGATCGATGCTGGAGCGCATATATTGGAATTAGACAATGAGGGTCTAGTTCGTCAATGGCTCAGTGTTGACTACGAGGCTCCCGCTGCTGTCTATTTCAATATCGAGAACAGGGCTTCTGTGATATACCGCAACGGCAAGCAAGTACCACTCCTTGCATCGCCATACGCGGAAAACCTATCGGATTGCTTAGTTTATTTCGATGAGGCTCATACCAGAGGGACTGACCTGAAACTCCCGGTGTCAGCACGAGGTGCGCTTACTTTAAGCTTGGCCCAGACGAAGGACCATACAGTCCAAGGTATGTGTCGAACCATTGGAGTACACATCTTTGATGTGGAAGCCTTCGCGCAAGCAGTGGGGACAGTTTCACTAACTGACATACCAGCCGCTATGAGACTGCGACAACTTGGGGACTCACAATCCGTTATATTTGTCGGCTCCCCCGAAGTACATCAAAGTATCCTCGATCACACACAAAAAACAGTGCAGGAGAAGGTAGACTCTAGTGATGTCATCAGCTGGCTTCTGGAGCAGACATGTAAAACAAATGAGGAACTTCAACCATTATACCTCGCTCAGGGCTTTGACTTTTGCAGACGTGAGCAGGCCAGCGTGAGCCACCCTTTGCATCCGACATCAGGAAAGCAAAAAACGGCCTACTTGAAAGCACTACTACAGACTGAGCGACAAACACTGGACCAGCTTTACGGACCAGTCCATGATCAACAATCTACTTCCAATGGGTTTGAAGGAACTGGTTTGCTGCAAGAATTCTGGGAGGAGTTGACGCGGCAGAGACAGGCACAGACAAGACAGGTTTTAAATACCACTTCTGCCTTCGAGGAGGTTGAACAAGAAAGGGAGTTAGCTGTTCAGGTTGAGGAAATACGGCAGCGACAGGAACCAATCGACCTCCCGACGTACACGTTTCCAGGTTTGAATTCGGACCTTTTATTCTTCGCCACGACTGGGTTTTTACGGGGTGATGATTGGTACAAGCCATTACTCAACGCGCTTTGGAACACGGAGGTGGGACGGAGCAATGGCATCAACATACGAGACACCAATGTGTTGCTCTCCAAAGAATTCACCAAAACTGTCCGCGTCGGACCCAGCCCCGATTTCTGGCATCTTGACTTCCTGGTATGTACGGCCTGCGAACATTCGAGATTCGATGGAGATATTAGTGTTCCGAGCTGACTTCGTATCGTGCAGCGCCCCGTACATTGGATCTTGTGGAGTCCACAGGCCGGTAAAGCTGTTGTGATTATTCCGGAAGAAGCGGAAGTCTTGATCCCGATTCTGCGTAATGCCAACCCAGGGATCAGCTACCTGATTGTCTACGCGGCACCAATCACCAAGGAGATGTTGCATTTTGACTCATTTCGCTATTACACAATCCCGAAACTCGAGACTGATATGCCGCCGTCGGTGAGAATGGACCTTGGAATTCTGGCCGGTCGATTGTATTTCAAGTTCGAAGACTATAGCGGTATCCTCGAGTCTGTTCGTCCCCGTCATAAGGTGCCAAGTGAAGAAAGTCAGAGCTCAGGAACTGGACAGCTTGTGAAAGCGCCAATCAAATTCTTAGAGGAATGGTTTGCCTTGACGCGCAAAGGTCAAGACTTTACCTACACCCCGATGGGCTACGTCTGCCAAGGTCGGAAATTGAGCAGTGACCATCCGTTCTTCATGCCTAGCAACACTTTGGGACACGCTCATCATGATGGAATGAGTACTCGTACTCCTCCAGGCTCGGATAGTGTGAGCTACCAGAAGGTCAGTGATCTTAGTGACGATAGTGACATGAGTGAAATCGATGAAGCGATCTCCTGACATGATCTGACTTGTGTCATCATGATAGGCTTTCCGAATGTTATGGCATTTGGTGTGGGCTCTATTTTGGTTTGCTGTTGTTCTGTTCGTTTTGTGAAAGTCAATAGGCTGGCCTTAGTTCTGTAGTCTGTCGCGGACGTCTGGACTTTAATTGGCTATGAAGGACTTGGTGGTTTCTTGGGTCACAATATGGGGAGTAATGTATTTAGTTGAAATGATATCTCCACCTGCTGATCTAGGAAGCAATTGTAGAAAAGGGTCATGCATGCATAAGCAAGATCGCGTAACTGAATTACAACTCAAATCTTCAGATCAACTCCATGAGCATCCCAACCCAGCTCCAGTCATTAACATCATCAAAAACCTCAAATAACCGGCGGCGGAAGCGACTTCATCGGACGATACGGACGAGTATACAACCTCAAGCAACATCGACATTCTACCGTACAATGCCCATACACACCTTGACTGCCCCCTCCTCAGAAATATCATCATCATCATCATAACCCAACCGACTCTCTTCACAACACCCACCCCTATCCGCACATCTCGCATGCTCTATCGTCCACACAAACGGCCGTTCACGAATATCCTTCTTCCCCCGAATACTATTCCAAATCCCCCCATTCATACACTCCGGCTGCTTCGACATCATGTCATCCAACCCCGCTCTTCTCTCCCAGTATAGTTCGAGCAAACGCTGTGCCTCCTTCTTCGCGAGCTGTTCTCGGTCTTTGTCTTCCTGGAATGGTGGGATTCTGTCAATGAGGGATTTATCTGGGCTGTTGGGGTCAAGCTATGTGCCTTTTAGGATTCGGTTTCGTCGTTGGAGCAGCGCGATGGCTTGCTTCTCGGTTTCTTCGTAGAGTAGGGTCCAGGATTTGGTTTCTTGGTTTGTTGGGGAGGTGGAGGATTTTGGTTGCGAGTCCCAGGTGCAGATTGCGCGGAGGAGGGTTCGTTCGGGGTGGGGTTGGGGGAACATGGTGGTTGGATTTGGTGGGATGGATGTGGTTTTGGGAAAGGGGGGCTAGTTGGGGAAGTAGTTTTGTGATGGTCAGAGGTCAGTTGTAGGGGTTGAGATGGGGGTGAGGTTGGAATGAGGATTGTGGGGGAGGGATGGGTCATTAGCGAGGAATGATGGTATTCTTTCGTGTAGGATGACGGGGAGTTTACTATCCTTGCCGGTAGGCAGGCACGGGTCACCTGACACCTATGGTTTTGTTCTTTGGTCTGCTCTGGACTTTCCAGCCCCATAGCTATATGGGAGGACCGGGACCAAGTTTCGATCTAGTGCGGGGTCAGAATGAAGCATGCGTTTAATTCTATCGACGGTGTGTGATTCTACGTGGTGGATGTGGACACACGAATAGCACTCTAAGCAAATTTGCGTACCGCAGAGAAAGTCAAATAGAATGCCAACGCAATGCTGGTTCAGCTTGGGGAGAGAAGCCTTGTGGAGAAATTGTATGCAAACAGAAGGATACCTGCGTCCTCTGTGCATTGGAATTGTATGATACTATACCGTGCTGAAGATATACCATCCATAATCTCACTCCAGGGATTGCAACTGCTCAGCTGACATTGCAGCTGGGTTGAACCAGAAAAACAGAACCCGGTAGCCTTTGGTTCCAATGACCAGAATGTTGTTTTTTTGAGTCCATGCATTCATTTATGGTCGGTGTTCAGGTGGAATCCAGATCCTCTTTTGTTGTCCGAGAATCACCCAGCCATCAGCGATGGAGATCTGACATTGCTGCGAAGGTTGGGCATCGTCATACGGAATTTCATCCTCAACAGTAATCTTCGTCTTGGCCCAGTACATATTCTGCTCTAGAGATTCTAGGGCTTCTTGGAGTTCTTCGCCTGCGAGGCCCTGCAGTGCTGACTTGACCAGATTGCCGGTTTTTGTGTTCCACACTTCGACATCCCAGACTGGCACCGCGGCTAGAAGCCGACTGCTCCGAGAGAAATGGATTTCCCTGATGTGCCGTTCATACTGATAGCTTCCACATCCGTTTCGTGCCACGATCGACTCTCCTGTCTGGATATTTCGCACTGTGACACTTCCGTCATCTGAACCCGACGCTAGCAGCTTGTTTTTCGGTGAGATCTTCACTGTGTTGATGGAATGGCCCATGTTGTCCATAGTGCTTATAAGGTGGCCAGTTTCGGCATCCCAGATTTTGATGGTGGAATCCCTTGCTCCTGTCGCGACCAGAGAGCCATCGGTGGAAAACGCAACGGTTGTGATCAATTCCGAGTGGTGGTTTGGATTATCGGTGAATCCTCCAGGTGCGATGGCCCATAGATGGATTGTTTTATCCGATCCACATGATGCCAGCAACCGGCTGTCTGAAGAGAAGGTTACCTCTTCTATATGCCCTGTATGGTGACCCTTTAGAGTTTGATAGATCACGCCCATGTCTGCTTTCATCACTGTGATTGAATTGTTTCCTGGGGCTGCAATGTAGTTGTTGTCCGGTGAAAGAGAAAATATGGAATACTGATCTGCATTTGGGATAATTTGCTTTAAGCTCCAGTCGTTTATGTCCCAGATTATGACGCCATCTGAGCGAAAGCCTGCAAGCAGGGATTTATTGTCAGTCGAAAACCTGACCGTTGTGAAAGAGTCCAGACGCTGTATGGTGTGGTGCAATGCCCCGGTTTCCATATTCCAAATGATGATATGTCCCCACATGGCCGAACCAAGCAGTAGGCCGTTGCATGAAAACGAAATGCTGGTGATTTCTTCGGATGGATTGAAATTCCATTGTAAATTCCATGTAGTCGAACTCTTCTTCCACACATTGACCGTATGCTCCGATGAGCATGTTAGCATCTGGCTGTCCGGGGAGAAAGCCGTATCTGATATCCGACACGACAAGTCGGCAGGGCGCAGTGTCTGTGTCCGGTGCCATTTCTTTGTATCCCATATATGAATCTGGCCTTCGGACGACCCTGAGACCAAACTCTGCTTGTTCGGAGAAAATTCAACGCGCGTGAGGTGGCCCGAATCATACCCGTGTTCAACTTCTCTGTGTAAGGCCCCAGTTGCTGTCCCATATCTTCACATTCTTACCATCTGTGCCCGCCAGGAGCCGATCGTCTGGTGAGAAAGCTACGGAGTGAACACCGCTTTGATGTTCGAGGATTTGCAACAAACATCCCCAGTTCTCGTCCACTTGTGTAGGTTTGCAAATCCAGGAAGGAAGCGAGCCCGTGCTTCGCACCAGACTGTTCATCGGCGTAAGTATAAGTGCAGAAACGTAGAGCTGCAGGGGAGCCAAAGTCACGACAGGGAGATTCTTGAGGATGAATCGTTTGGCATCAATTAGATAGTCGGCCAATTCGGGATCTGCATGGAACTACATCAATAGTCAGAAGCATGATTTATAAAAATTGCTCATCCAGATCCTTGCCTCACAGCTTCTAATGATTGCAGCACGTCAACAACCTCGACTGTCTCTGGCAGGAGCCCCAGCAAGGCCATGGCCTCAAGCCAGTGAATAAAGTGAGCTCGTAGGAAATCAAGAATATCTCTGGGTAAAGTAATATTGCTTTCCTTAAGATGGTACACCCAGGACTGGCAGCTGTAGCGGATAGATGATAGTGGATTATCTGTTGGAGGCTTCACCTCCTGCGTTAGAAGACCATAATGTGGCAGCATATATATATTCTCTCTCAAAACTTCGTCAAGTCCTTCAAGCGATCTTTGGAGGATAGAGGTGTGAAACCCTTGCAATGATATATTGCGCAGTCGATAGTGATGTTGGATGAGCCAATCTTGAGCTGATTGATGGATCAGATAAACGGTGTCGCTGCGAAGAGTCAAGAATGATTTACAAAGGATAACAGAGTCCTTCCCTGCATTCATACCCGTCTCTAGCCCGGCGAGATGCTCAATCTCCAATAGAGTTAACGGGCGGCGTGCCAGCATAGCCACGGCGAGAACGTCCTTGCATTCTTGGTCTTCTATTCCCTCAAGTAGAAACCCATAGAGTTGGTACAAATGATCGGGGATCTGGGCCAGAATTCTTTTCCATTTGAACTCCGGCGACTCTTCGAGTTTCCGGATAACCAATGAAGCCCAGATGAATGTGTTGCTTGCGCGCTCGCAGAGTTGGTCTTTTATTTCAACTACATGTTCTTTGTTTGTGGCACGCTCTTGAATATCGGACATCTTTCGACTGATGTACGCGTTGATCAAGGGTGAAAGAATGCGATCATCTAGAGTCAGCAAGCGTGGTCTTTCCGATGCCTTGCTTGGCATGCTTGCTGGAAGCTCGTGCATAGGCCGGCTTGAAATCAGCCATTTGACATGGGATAGGTTATCCATGTGCAATATTCCATCCAGGAAGTTCCTCAGATATCTCCTCGATACTTCATCGCACTCATCAATAGCATCAATCACAACAATCACCCGGTCACAGTCGCTCAACATGTCGATCAAGATATCTTGCCAAGTAAAAATCGAATGCCGATCATATATAAATTTGTCCCCTGAGGAAGAGAATTTCTTCTGCAGGTGTTGTAGCAACCCTGGCTGTTGGCAGAGGAGCATCCATACCAGGCTCTAAAGGACTGCTGCTCCATTGTTCAATTTGTCGTCGCTAGATTGACAGAAAAAATAGATGAGCACTGGAGGGTCTCCACTTGCAGTTTTCAGTAAGCAAGAAGTTTGGATCTGCTTGATAGCCCCTATCAGGAGCATCGTCTTTCCTGTTCCAGCTTGCCCGCTGATCCATAGTCGTCTCGGTGCATCCTGTTCCTCCCATCTGGAAAACCGCCTAAACGCATCGGTTCTAAAGGTCCATGCGTACAAATCATCGATCGGCACTTCCTTGCGCTATTGGATGCTCCGAACGATGTTCTCTGGGTCGACGTGACTTATAGCGTGCAGACGGCCGTGGAAACTTTCAATGTCCTTCTGTGTCTTTTGATCCATGCTGATATCCCTCACTTTATCATTCAGGCATTCCAGTTTATAGAGACTCGAGTCTCGAAGAAGGTGGTCTTCTGCATCCTTAACGCCTTGCAAATCCCTACTCCAGTCGTCGAGGTCCAGTATTCCACGGGCCAACACGAATAGCTGTTTTTTATAGTAGAAGCAGACGCTCTTGATCTGATAAAATAGGAGGGACTGGTAAAGGTCTATGATCCTAGCTTCGATGTCCTTGCGGATTGTCGTTAAAGGACCCTCGTCACCGATGCGCTCTTGCCTTAAAAGTTGGTCGGTGAAATTGGAGTACCATTCAATTCTGCTAACGACATAACCCACACTATTGTACAATTCTGCGCCAGCTTTGACTGGCTTGAGCAATATCTGGTAGCGGATATTGTTAGCCTCTACGTGCTTGGAATGTCTAAGGTTTTGAAAACGCACTTACATCCACACTTGAAGATATGATTGCCCAAGGCAATGCAGTGTGCGTGATTTTTGTCATAGGGATATCGAGAATGTTCTTGATAGCTGTGACAACCTCGAGTTTGCTACCCAAAAGCTCACCCGCTGCTTTGTATCTTTCGACTTTCTCCAGACCCAGGGCGACGAGTTCTTTCATTTGCTCTTCTCCGAGACCTTGATTAACTTCGTCCCTGCCGAGAAAGACTGTGGAAAGTAATTCCTCATATTTCTCCATGTATTTTGCTTTCTTCTTGTCGGACTTTAGGTCGCTGTAAGCCTTTTCCCAAAGAGCCTTGTGAATCGAATATGAAGTCGTGGTGGAATGAGGCTCCTCAGAGGTCGTCGCGGTTCCTTCCTCTCCAACTGGCGTCGAAATACTGGATCTAGACAAAGTGGCCCCACTAGGATTGCGTTGACTATTCGCTGATTCGATGTCATCAGTAACAGCCGGCTCAACCGAGGTCGGCTGGCTTGCTCCATCATGAATAGGACTTGCAACGTTGGGTTCTGGAACAGTAGCGTCACGAAGTTCATCCCCAGCACCCGGAGTTCTGGTGCCGTTTGATAATTCTGAACAGCATTTGGGTTTTGCTTCGGTATCTCCCTGAATAGTGTCTTTCTGGGAACTCCGATGGTTTTGAAACCTTTGAAAGAGTCTGGTAAAACAACCTGCTTGCTCATCGGGCGCCATTGTGTGGTTGACCTCCACGTGATATTAGGGGTCATGGAATTGTAGTTCTAAGACCCTCCTCTCCGGAGGTTTTGGAAGGGCAGTGCCCAGTATACCACATCTTCCCTCATTGTGGAATGATAAGTCAGATTAGGAGTTTTCCCGTCACAAGTGAGACACATGTGTCGGGCTCTGACTGGCTATCAGGAACTTATGTGGAACGAACGGCTGCAGGTGTTCTGCAGCCAGCTCCACCAGGCCACCGAATCAACCAATGTATGGAGTAGGCTATCTTTGTATGTCGGACAGTCGGACATGACATGGCCCACGTGTTCGACGCCAGCGCGCTTAGTACAAGTGTCGAAATTTTGCTCAGACCCTCGAAGTATTAGGCCGGGCGAAAAAAAAGCATCTTCTTGATTGTATCCCCGAAAATTGGAACCGGCTGCCAGGGGTCTGAGGTAGGAAATGCTGCCTAGATTAGAGCCTGTATACGCGGGGAAATCGAGGTGATGACCGCTGGATAGTTATTTGGTCCGGTTAAATCGCGAAGCTGCCCCGCGCCAAGAACATAAGGCCTCGCTACAGCCACACGGGCGGATGCGACAACCACACCTTTCTCTTCCTCTATCTTTCTCATTAGACAGCCCGCCGTACAAAAGTCTACAATAAAGTCTTCATAAGTCGATAGGCTATCATATCAACACTCCTACGAGATTATTATATTCCATCCAGGGCCTTACTCACAGTCTCGCGCAGGGCAGGGCATCCGATAGAAATAGAAACTCTCCGACGGATTCAATTCAAGCGGTAAAGATTCTGCTGGTCATAAAAATTAAGCTTCTATAAATAGTGATAGGGTAGGCGGATTTAGGGGGTGTGGCTGTAGCCTAGGTTGCCGGTGTGGCTGTAGCGGCTCCCATAGTCCTCCTATCATCCATCAGTTTGTATTGAACATAAGGCTCGGCTCAATTAATCACGCTCTCCAATTTAAGCCTAGTCTTTCTAACATCCCAGTCCTACTGAGGCAGTCACATCGTACTCCATGAACCTCGGCACACCAAAAGCTGTTAGCATCTGAACTCTGCCCAAGTTCCCCCGCTTATCGTTAGCAACATTTACTCAGCGCCTGCGAGACTTATTACTTGTTGACCACCCCATGCGAGTCTCGCAGGCGCTGAGTCCTTCGCTCCATCCCTCGCTCCATCAGTATTAAGAATGTCCACTCCAGACCGACATAACGGACTACAGTATCTGCCTGCGATACCATTCGAGACTGTCCTCACATATGTGGATCTCGAGTCGATCAAGGCACTGCGTCTAACAAACCGAACGCTCGCCGAGAAGTGCATTGGACCCCGCTTTTTAAAGTCCATCGAACATCCTACTCTGGACTTCTCGCTGCAGAAAATTCGTAACCTTCTTGTCTTAACTCGCGATCATGTCATCAGCCAGAAGGTTCGTTCTCTGGCATTCTTCGCTACAACCATAGATTCTTCAAGATTGGAGAAGAGCATAATATCTGGAAAATACATTGAGCGGGTATCCTTCGGGTTCAGGCAATCGTATGAGAAGACTAAGGAGGTGTATACCCCCGAGGGACTTTCAAACGCCAAATCCGACCTGATCTGGCTTAAAGAACAGGAAGAGGCTAGAGACAAGGAGTCATCAAGCGAGACGATCCAGCTCCTTCAGCTTGTGTTCAAGCGGTTTGAGAATTTGCAGTCTATCCATTTAGACGGCGCGGTCATCTACAGACGTACGGACAGAGGATATCCTTCTAACGGGAAGTGGTATTCGTTTTGGTTACGAGCCTGGCATGTTTTCACGATGGTTATGACGGCGATGGTGCAAACAGGGGTCTCGATGAAGAAACTCAATTTCTATCGCGGGACTCGTCGGTGCTGCATTCCAGCTGGTAAAATCACCGCCTACGCATCAGGTCTGAGCCAAACAGAGCTAGAGGTGCTCTGCAAGGGCCTGCAATCGCTCGAGCTCAGCATTTCGGGGGAGATAAGCGATGCTTTTGGCCTCGCCAAAGCAGATCCACCATGGGAATGGGACGAGGAGGAACCCCCGGTCAGACCATCTGGCTCACCGATGGAACATTTATTCTCAGGAGACGATCCTCGGGCCGCGCTAGCAGATGGGACACCAGGAATTACATCCCTTTTTCTCAAGAATGCGTTTGATCTCCGAGAGCTCAGCTTGACTTTCCGTCGTACCGTGCCACCAGGTTCGAGCTTAATGAACAGCTACGACGGTATTATTCACAGTATCGCCCATGACACTCGGTTTCCGATGCTGGAATCATGTTCCTTCGCTGGATTTCCGGCCAAGATGGATTCGATTCTGCTTTTCCTCAAAAACCATTCCAATCTTCGTTCGTTCACGCTGCATGAGTGTTATCTGACTACTGGGTCATGGACACCGATCTTTGCTCATCTGGACCGATCAATGCCAAGGCTCGAGAATCTCAGCTTCTCCAACTTATTTGGTAAACACATGCAGAATCTGAGATATGCGCAACCACTGAGGAATTTTGGGGAATCGAGTGACAACGAGCAGGAGCAACAGAGCCACCCACTAATTGGCGAGCGGGAGGGTGTTGGCATGGTGGTTTTGCTGCCAATTTGGGACACCGATGAGCCGGAGCACCAGAAAGAGTTCCTAAGAATGAACGGGAGAGCTGTGCACACCAGAACCTTCACCCGCGATGAACTGAAGAAAGGGCTTGTGTTTCGGCCGCTACATCCAGACGGAGGTCGGCCTCTCGGCTCTCCTCACTATACAAACTGGTATCATCGACGTGAGGACCAATATGGGCTTCTGAAATAGTCTATGCCTGTCCTGCTCGGGGATTTCTGTGGAAATATTTCTACCATCGGATATTGATCTTCTTCTTCTCTTTGCAACAACAAGAAAAGCATAACACTCTCATGCCAGAGCACCCCCATACCGAAAAATGGATGTTAATTATTGATATGTCAAGGCCCCGACCGCAAAATGGAGTAAAGCTGGCAACTCATACGTATACATATACAGTAGTTACCAAGGACGAGATTCGGTATACCGAACCCTACCAATGGGTTACCAATGTCCTGATGGGACGGTTTTCTCTAGCCCTCAGTCCAAGACAGATCCAAGCGTAGCTTCTGGTCTTTCTGATGATATGGGCGACGAGCACAGTCACGACGTCCAGACGCGCCGTGCCGTGGCGAGATTGAGCCCTCTGTCGAGGTCGTCAGCGGTAAGTCGCGAGGGCTTCTTAGCCTTTTTGAGATTGCCGTCAATGCATGCATCAAAGAACACCTGGTCCAAAGTGTTTGATGCCATGGTGTAGGTAAGATGGAGATCGTGTGCTATAGGTACGTTGTCGGGTCGAAGAGCAAACCACGCACTACCGAAGAAATCTTAAATTGATGCCTGAGGCCTCAATCAGGCTTCACTGTCAGCATATTGTGACTGGGGCATTAGAGTGTCCCCCATTTTTCTGGAAGACTAGGAAGTCTCTGTGGAATAACCTCAGGTCACTTGCTAGTATCAGGTCACTGGTATGGGCTACTTCGAGGTTATGATGCGCGCAATAGGACACATTACTCCAAACACACCAATTTCGTCTGACTACAACCCGAGAGATGCCATTTACCCGATGGCCGCTATGGCGCGCTCCCTGCCGCGTGAGTCTATGGCCGTAGCCTCCCTGGCTCGCCTAAAGAACTTCCAGGCTGTTGAATTGCTTTTGAATTCAATTAACTCATATTGTAATCATTTTTTCTACCAAACCACAGCTCCCTCAACTCGCAAAACCCTTCACTTGGTCCTCCCGATAAGACCTCGGAAATAACCATCTCCGGCAAGTAGTCGCGTGCGTTTTTTGGCACGTCCGAATCCTTCGCTCCTGCGACTGCGCCTCGGTGTGATGCGTACCAATGGGCTTCGTCGCCGGCTACGTCGAGTCGGACCACATGCCGTAACCTACTTCCTTGGTTGAATGATGGCTGTCAATCTTTCTTCGGCCCTGGTTATCGCCGTCGGGGTTATGCCTTCGTCCGGCAGCTGTTTATTTGGCTCTACGCTCTACAGGCGTCTTTTGTCCCCATCTTCGGCTTATCTTGCATGGTCGGAACGGAGAGTTAGCCGGGAGTTCCTGGTGCTGACACTTGTGGGAGTTTGTGAATGCTATTCCTTTGCCAAGTGCGTATTCTGCGTATCGAGTGCATAACACTAGGTAGTCCGTCCGGGAATATCGGGATAGCATCGTATTTGCCTTCGAGGCCTACTCGTCTATCTGGCATTGATTCTAATTGTGAGGACGAGTTTCTTTGCTACGGTTATTATTTGACCGCACTTACTGCAGTAGACGCCAAAACACTATGACTTCTACTCTCCACTCCTCGGGTTACCGGACCCGGCCTGACACCACCAGTACCCATTGCGACAACCAATCCTCCCAAACCACAACAGAATCTTCCAGACTACTACCTACAACACAAACCATCCCTGCAAACCCATCCGATCATGTGTCCAACCCACCGCATCCCGGTTGGTCGCCCTACTTTAAATAAAATTGCGGTGGGTTTACGGCGCACACAGCAGCCAATCGCCACCCAGCCAGATGAACCTAACCGTCTAGTGTTGATAAGATGTTAATGAGATGGTGAATCATATCAAATCAGAACAGCGAAAGGTGTCACTGCCCGGAGTCCCCGAAATTAGCCTTCCCGGGAAAGCTTAGATTTGCTTATCGGGGCTGCACAGCCCCCGCGATAAAACCCACTTCTATAGAACTCACATGATGTGATGATGAGGCGGATTGAGGGGTAACAGGGATTGATGCGCGGAATATGGATTCATGGGTGGTGATGGGATTCTCTGTGGTGGTGGGTTTGGGGGTATATATTGAGCGATCGGGTCACTGGAGTTTGGGTTAGTTGAGAGACAAGCAGAGTGAATCGGGTTTGTGAGTCAATCATTGGAAGCTTACCACATTTTAACATGGCATACAACACCGGTTCGCAAAATCCCGGCTTGGACTGGAAGTTCCAGTGCATGTCGGTCCTTGATGTCAAACAAGCAACCGCGAAGATCAAGCGGAATGAAGCGAGTTACAAGTTCCAGTCTGGAGAAATCGGTACCGTCTCTCGCATCGACACCAACCAAGTTCCCAGCAACAATCCCATCGAGGACCACATGGCCACGGGTAAGATTGACCTGGGAAAAGGCGGTATCTGGCATTGTTGGGCTATATACGACGGACATGGGTGAGTAGACTTACTAACCCTTTCAAAGTAAGTCCTCACTGATACAATCAGCGGTGAACAAACCGCCATCGTGCTCTCCCACGCCCTAATCCCATACGTGGAACGCGCTCTACGAGCCCATTTCGAGTCCTCCCCTGAAACAACAATTGAGGACAGCATCATCACTGCTTTCAACACTCTCGCCGAGGATATATCCGCAGATGGTCTAGCTGCCCTAGAAAGCGCACATAGCCATGCCGAGGTGCAAGCCCGTCTTGCCCCAAACTACGCTGGCTCTTGTGCTCTTCTCGCGCTATACAACCCATCCGAGTCCATGCTCTACGTGGCTAACACTGGTGACTCACGCGCCGTTCTCGGGACTCCAGCCGAGTCCGGATCCGTCCATGGGACCGTCGTTATGTCAAATGACCACGCAGCGGCCAACGAGGCCGAGGTGGAAAGATTGAAAGCACTTCACCCCGATCAAGATGATATAATCACTAAACGTGACGGCGACTGTGCCCGTTACGTCGGCATTGCCGTCACTCGTGCGTTCGGAGACGCCAGATGGAACTGGCCCAAGGAAGCTATGACCAAGTGGGAAAAGGAGTATTCTGGAAAGCCTGCCCCGGGCAGCGTTACCAACCCGCCCTATCTCGAGGCCACCCCGGAGGTGAAGAGCTACAAGCTGAAGGGTGGGGAATTTCTGATTCTCGCATCAGATGGTCTTTGGAACCACCTGACCAGTGAGGACGCCGTTGAGGCCGTCAGCAAGTGGGTGAAGGTTACTAAGGAGGGCACGCTAGCGGAAGTCGGTTCTGGCACGCCTTTGGCATTTGGGGGTGAAGAGACAAGCCCTGATCACGCAGAGGGAATCTCCTATTGGGACCCTTGGCAAGTCAAGCCGGAATGGTTCGTTTATGAGGATGACAATGCTGCTACACATCTCGTGAAGAATGGCTTGGGTGGAGCGCAACGACAGCTGTTCACGGGAGTTTTGACGGTTGATACGCCTGTCAGTAGGACGATGAGGGATGATGTGACTGTTCAGGTTGTGTTTTTTGATGGTGCTTAGTGGTTGACTTTGGCTGTTTGTTGGGTTTCGGTTTTTGGTTTGCTTTTTTTGCGTCTTTTGTGTGCCGTTCTTCTCCTTGCATTCACAGACCTTTCAGTCCCATGCAGGGGATATATTTCTTCCTTATAGTGGCGGTCACACCATGCCAGACTGCGGCACACATTGTCGATTTGCATTTGAAGCTGCAGGCTTTGATAGTCCTCCGCAGCGGTGCCCAAATGAACATACTTCTCGTCCCTTCAAAGGGCGCCATTGCGCCCTGGACAAGACCTCTCCAACTGAATATTGGACATACCAAACTGGCAGTCACTTTGTAGCTGTAGAGGTTCCACGATCAATATCTTTCGAGTCCTTGATCAAGATTATGAGGGAAGGAATAGCCCCCCGACTTGCAAATCACTATCACGATTGTTCCCCTGAGCAACTAGGATCCCATTGTCGGATTAATGGCCATTGGCCACACCGAATCACCCAATGCGGTCTTGTCAACATGCCGACTTTCTGAGCGACAAAGTGGAAACTGTGATGTTCTCTTACCGATGGCACTCTATTAAACCGACCGTCCTGGAATACCGATCCTTGATCAGGTCACGATCATGGATAGGGGGCCCTGCATCATAATCTCGCACAAGAAGATACTCCAGTTTGCATGAACCTCGGTTTGCTCTTTCCGCTATGCCGCCATTACTAGCGATGGACAAGATGCCAATGATCATACCTTTTTTAGAGACCTCGCCTAAAGTGAAGAGCTTCGATTTAGTCATAGATTTACAGGTACCTAGTCCTCGGAAGATTTATCGGTCAACGGAAGTTAACCGGTTCCAGAACTTTGGTACGCTAAAGCCGAAGGAGTGGGGGATCAGCGTGAAAGGGATCTCAGTTTCCCGAGCAATCCGCAGCGTTGTCGGGAAGTTGAGGTTGTCAGGGGCATTATATATGACTGATTGCGCTATATAGGTACCCTATCTCCGTGACAGACTGGCTCTTTATGTCAAACATGATTTCGCTCATGTTGTGCCGCCGGGGAAGTCCATTTTTACCTTATGAAATCAGTTGAAAAGCTTGTGCAAGCCATTCCTCAACCTACCGAGAAGGGCCCACTTTACCGATTAGCTTGTGAGGCTTGGTCTGGTAGCGTGACGCTGGCCAATGGTACCCACCGGAAGTCCATGGATCTGGAAAAATCTTCCATGGGCTAAGCTTCTTGTAGAAGATCGGAGTCGGGGTCATCTGAAAAGGCGGCTGAGAGGTGGATCTGAGAGAATTTCGATATCTCAGCTTGATGCCTGTCCCCAGGTATACCTATCCCCAGGTCAATTTTGCCATCAGGCTGAAGACTTTCAGGTGGCTGCATCCCAGGGACGTGGCTCTCCACGAATGGCAGGATACGCCAGATCATCCCAGGTCGAAGTATTCGATTTGAATTCCATGAATTGTGCCTATGGCGCTTTCTCTTCAGCTGAACATCCAGCCGCTCCATCGCAGATACAAAGCCAAGAGAATACATCTCCGGTTCTTGTGGGATGGGTCCGATCAGTGCATGCTTCTATACTCGGTCCATCTTCGAAGCATCCTCTGTGTTCTACTTAGCTGATTAGAACAACGGGCCTCCTGCTAGAGTCTTAGTTGGATAATATGGGTCGAACAAACAAGACCCCACTAGGATCGCTGCTCTATCTCCCACCCGGGACAATGCAGAATCCATACAGAACCTAGCCGAACTATGGCCCATAAGACTATCGGCTCAGAGCGACCAAATTGTGGGCCAGAGATCTCGGATATGCTCGCGAACATGTTGTCCGTGAGACAGCGCACCCTCAAAGCTGTAAAGTAGGCTCTGTCTCGGGAGCATACAAACCGCCCAAACACCCTTCTTAGTCTTCCACTCTTCAAGCCATTCTCCAGTCTCATCTCCTCGTCATGAAGTTCGTCACTGCTTTTCTCCCCCTCATCGCCAGTGTCAGCGCCCACTGCATCCGCAGTCCGGTTGAGCATCGTGCTGCCGATGGCCTCGCTGACATCAACTATTTCAACTACACCAACCTTGGTAGTCCCCTGAACTGGTACGGGCTTAAGCCCGAGTCCAACGAGGCTTGTACCAAGGGCAAGCACCAGTCCCCCATCGACATTTCCACCACCGCCATCAACTACACCTCCCGGAGCGCGATCAAGCTCGATCTGCCCACTGCTGATGGTGCCAAGTTCGAAAACCTCGGCTCTGGTTTGGAGGTGGTCTTGACCAATGGATCCCTCACTGCCAACGGCAAGGTCTACCCTCTGGCACAGTTCCACTTCCACACCCCCAGCGAGCTCCGCATCAACGAGGAATACTTCCCCATGGAAGCTCACTTTCTCTTCGAGACGTCCGGTACGTTTAACGTCCGCTTTTCCTAACGTGTATCCATACTGACGGGTTGTCCATATAGCTGGCGAGAGTGCTGTTGTGGCCTTCTTCTTCCAGCTCTCCGAGTTCGGATACTCCGTCCCTCTCTTCGACTCTGTCTTTGCCCACATCGATGACATCAGCGAGGCGGGTACATACACCACGACCGGTGTTCTGGACTTTGCCGGCCTGACGGCTCACTTTGCTCGTCACGGTGTCTACCAGTACACTGGCTCTCTGACTACACCTCCCTGCACTGAGGATGTCGCCTGGTTCTTGAGCACCGAGCCCCTTCCTCTGAACGTGCAGAGCTACAACAAGGTCAAGAAGATCCTCAAGTTTAACGCCCGCAATACTCAGAATGCCTTGGGTCAGGATAACCTGCTTGAAGTTGCGGCGGGTGAGTTGAACTGATCAAAATGGGAAGCTTTGAGTGCCGTTAGGTCCGAAGGGTTGTATTATATCGAGATATACTGTAATGATGATTATGATGGTTGTGATGTCTACTTAGTCAGTAATCAAATTCATCACTGAGCACATTCGGACAGAAAGTGTTCTTTCCATAAACATAGAATTTGAGACGGAGGCTTACGCTAGCTCAAATAAGCGTAAGAAAACAACAACCTCCTCAGCGAGGTAATCACGGGTGCCAGAATATCTCCAAGCCTTTGATGCTGCTCGTCAACAAGCGCATGCCTAGGCAGGATTTCACGCCGGACATGGTTTTGACGTGACATATCTCAAGCGCTTCCATCATTATCGCAAGTTTCTATCTTCTCTTGAATGACGGAGTACTTGGAAAACAGATAGCATATTGCGCTTCCCAGAGGCAATCCGGGTGATCGGCATCACAGAGAGGCGTTCCGACAATCGATCGCGTGTTGTGCTTGGCGCTAAACCCCGTTTGGACTGCGTGTATACTACACAGTACACACACCAAAGGCTGATCTCGACACATAGAGACTAACTCCACGTGAAAGGGATATTTTTCTGCCTGGAGTCGGAATCAACTTCGGTCAGTGCACGACCGAGCACAAGCAATGACATTGTTCTATCTCCGGTCGGGTTATCAATGACGACATTTCCCCGCGATGTGTCTAGCGGGTTGTGCTTATGGCCCGTACGACGCGACCCATCTCTGAGGGGTGTGCTTACCCCGGTCTCGCAAACTATCGTAGGAGACGGACTAGTATCTGATATGGTCATCTCGGCTTGCTGGATTGCAGTTGCGTCGATATTAGGATCGAGCAGTGAGGGGTGGTCGCGCACGAGCGATATGCTAGTCAGGGTAATCACCCGTCAAGTCCGAGATTAAAGACGTGACGCAGCTGATTCTTGCGCATTATGGCTGAGGAGTTAAGCACAAGACCCTAAAGGAGAGTACTAAAAGCCTATGTATTAGTAGCGATATTAGACTACTAGTATTAACGCTCTTGAAATGGGGATCAGAGGGAAGTCATGCCGTCAGCAGTACACAGATATATATCTCGGGCCGTGGCTTAGACTTCCGCACAGTAGACTCACTTGGCCTGGAGAAGATATCGATATTAACAATAGCACTGTGTAAATGATGCCGAAGTTGAAAAAACTTGGGCAATCCTAGAAGCAGGCGTGGAAATTCAATGGTAAGGTGTTAAACACGGTCGGGGCGGGCGACCTCGGAGCCGCAAGCCAAACACTACCAAACAATGGAACTCCTCGGATGTCTCTCCCCATCTCCCCTTCTCGTTTCCCTCTCACACTGGACTACGGTCGCAGCCTATCTCCCCAACTTGCAATCCCTGCTATAACAGATGCCATCCCGACCCACCCGAGCTGAAGGGCAACCCGGGGGAGCCGGGGCAAAATCAGCTCTCCCTTCTGACTGGCCCCCCGGCGCTGCTAAACTGCTTTCACTCACCGGCATCCCCATGGGGAGACCCCGACCTGACCTCTCTTCCCCATGGCATGATGACCACCTCCATTCGACCATTTAACAGTTGCAGCTAACATACCTTCTCGTCTCATCGCCCCATGGTTGTTGTCTCATACTGGGCTAGTGATGGTGACGCTCAAAACACGGAGGATGCGTGAGTCACAAGTGGGCCCGAGATGGCGCCGACCAAAAGCTCCCCTCGGACTTGAATACCTGGATAGGTCGGGACAAGAACCTCGGTGGCCTACCTTCAACAGTCGCCCGGACCCTCGTCTACGCGAAGGATCCCGTGGTGACCACGCAGAGCCCGGAAGTGAACCACGCAGCGTCACACGAACCCCTCCCTGCGACCGGGAAGGTTCAGGCGCTGATCAATTGGGCGTCCTGCGCGAGCCAACAAGACGTGGAAAAAGCAAGGGGCTTTTAGCCATGGGGCCGTAATGGGTAGAGGCATGCAAAGTGTCATTCCACGTGTCGCGGAAGCTAACCCGGCGGCAATTTCACTGGTCAGCAATTGGCAAGCAGTCCCATCGAAAGAGCCCAACGGTCTTCCGATTCTGATGCTCAACCAGTAGATGATGGGTTGACCAACCCCGGCTGAGTGACGGCCTGACTGGGATGCACGGAGAAATCCGGCTAAACTGGTAGCTCCCTGGTTGTGTTCCCCGTCACTGTTCCTTCTCCATACTTGCATTTCTGTCTGGGGGATGTTCCCTCCTCCATGCTTCCCCTCTTTTCTCCCATCCCCGCAAACTTACTGGATCCTTTCATACCCCTCTTGTCTGGCTATCTCAACCATGCGATGTGAACTTCCCACCGTATCATCCGGCTCGGGCTAGCGCTTGCCAAGACACGCGGGCGTGGCCATTCCCAGGCCGTCCGCCACGAAGCTTGTATGCAATCAGCGGATGAAGTCCATCCCGGCCTCCTTGATGCCGAAGCTGGGCCGATGACAAACCGTGCATAATCACGGCCCCCATGTCATCCGACTGGCCCCATGGGGATGAATGACATCCTTGGGGTAAAGGGATTCTGGCACGCCTTACCAGACCCAGCTAGCCGGGGAGCCACCGGCGAAGTCTGGCTAAATGAAGTGACCAATCATCGGCCACTGAGTGCAGCTCGTGGAAATTGCATGACATCGATGTCGTCGACGAGCAACAGTGGTCTAGTATCAAAGCGGGATGGCTTAAGCGGAAAATCAAACAGCTGCTCAGAAGAAAACAAAAAGCTGCAGCTATATGCGACAACTAACAGACGTTGCGTCCTTGGCGAATTGCTTTTATGTCGCGTGTTCCCGTGCGATCGTCTCTGCCAGGTTTATATTTTTTTTTTTCACTCTCACTGAGATACCCTCGTCTTCACTCGTCTCTGCTCTTGATTTGCTTGCTGTTATTAGTATCTTTTAGGAGGATTGATTGCCCATACAGCCATCCAAAATGGGCATGGGTGCAGGCGCTGAGGCCGTCTCCGGCAGGCGTGCTGAGCTCGCCGGTAACCACGTCGGATGGCGTGGACTTATGAGCAGCAAGAAGACCTTTGCGATTGCGCTTTTCGCGTCGCTAGGTGGCTTCGTCTACGGATGTATGTGATTGATGTGATAAGCTTTCTAACATTGGCTGATGACCTTGACAGACAACCAGGGAATGTTCTCGGAGATTCTTACCATGTCGTCCTTCATTAAAGCTGTATGTCTCGTCCCTCCTGCAGCCGACATCTGTCTACCCCATCTAACTTGACAAGACCGACGGATATGCAGCGCGGACCGGTCTCAAGCAGGGTATGCTTACGTCGATTTTGGAGTTGGGTGCTTGGGTTGGTACACTCTTGAACGGTTATCTCGCCGATGCTCTTGGCCGTCGACAAACGGTTGTTGTAGCGGTGTTCATCTTCGCCATTGGTGTGATCGTCCAAGCCTGTACCAAAAACGCCGGCTACATTTTCGCCGGTCGGTTTGTGACTGGTCTGGGAGTTGGTAATTTGAGTATGATTGTGCCTCTGTACAATGCCGAGTTGGTATGTCGGATCTTCATCGATATCTGTGCTACCACTAATGCGTCCAGGCCCCTCCTGAAATTCGTGGCTCCTTGGTCGCTGTGCAGCAGTTGTCCATTACCTTCGGTATCATGGTCAGCTTTTGGGTAAGTTCTATGCTATTATTTATGAGGAATTGAAGCTAATTAGGGTCAGATCGGTTACGGTACCAACTACATTGGAGGTACGGGTGCTGGCCAGTCCAAAGCGGCATGGGAGATTCCTGTGTGCATCCAGATTATCCCCGCACTAATCCTGGCAATTGGAATGGTTTTCTTCATGCCCCAATCTCCGCGTCACCTTATGAATCAAGGCCGAGACGAGGAGTGCCTGCAGACTCTTGCCCGCCTGCGCAATGCATCGACCGACGACATTCTGGTCCGCATTGAATATCTGGAGATCAAATCACTCCGGATGTTTGAGGACGAAACAGCGAAGAAGAAGTACCCCCAGTACCAGGATGGTTCATTCAAGAGCCGCTTCATGATGGGCCTGTACGACTACGCGTCGCTAGTGACCAACAAGTCACTGTTCAAGCGGACCACTGTTGCGGTATGCTAGCACGTCTCTACTCCCGGATGTTCTCACTAACATCTCTACAGTGCCTGGTCATGACATTCCAGCAATGGAATGGAATCAACGCGATCAACTACTACGCGCCACAGATTTTCGAAGGTCTGGATCTTGGCGGCAACACTACCTCGCTGCTGGCGACCGGTGTTGCTGGTATATTCGAGTTTGTGTTTACCATTCCTGCTGTTCTCTGGGTCGACAACATTGGTCGTAAGAAGATTCTGATTGCCGGAGCTATTGGCATGGCGGTCTGCCATTTTATTTGTGCCGGTCTCATTGGCTCGTACCAGGGGACGTTTGGGGAACACAAGAGCGCTGGATGGGCGACGGTGGCCTTTGTATGGATTTTCATCATCAACTTTGCCTACTCCTGGGGTATGTGGCCCGCCACGATGGCGCTTCTTCATGCTAATAAATCCTAGGTCCGTGCGCTTGGATTGTGGTGTCGGAGGTCTTCCCGCTGAGCATGCGTGCCAAAGGTGTCAGTATCGGTGGTAGCAGCAACTGGGTAAGTGACTCTAGCTTCGCAGGCTACGAACTACATTTCTAACGAATTCAGCTGAACAACTTTGGCGTTGGTCTGGCCACGTCCCCCTTCATCGCGGCATCTGCTTACGGCACCTTCATCTTCTTCGGCTGTGTCACAGTAGTCGGCGTACTTTACGTGTGGTTCTTTGTGCCCGAGACCAAGGGACGTACGCTGGAGGAGATGGACGAGCTGTTCGGCTCTGAGGGCATGGCAGCCGAGGACGAGGCGCTGCGGCAACGGATCGACCGCGAGATCGGGCTGACAGCTCTCCTCCACGGGGAGATCATCGAAACTACCGATAAAGTTCCCGAAAAGGCGGTCCATGAGGACAATGTGGTTGTGAATCCTCCCTCGGCATAAGCCGATCCGAATGACCGCACAAACAGAGGCTAAAATGGCGGGCGGACAAGGCAGACAGACCCCGGCCCCCGAGCCCCAAGCAGACCACTGCACGGGCATCACTTTGCCCTCCCTTTAGCCGTAATCCAATAGCTAATAACCAAGCCTAATAATATTCTCACCTCCAAATACCCACTTAGGCTATATTCCCCTCTGCAGCTGAACGCGAGGCTTCGTCACCCTGCCCAACCACTCCTCCGCGCCCAGAACCCCAATTCCGTAGTCCATCCCACCATTGGTCTATTCCTCCGCGTTCGGCCCAGCCCGCCCCATGCGGAGGACCAATCAGGATCACCCTCCCCGCGCACATCGGGACACTTTGTCCGGAGAAAAGCCGGGGACAAAATTGAAGTGAACGTGGTTCGGGGGAATGTTGACACGATGGGTCGGTCATGTGGTCTAGCACGGGGGTCAAATAGGTAGTAGATCAGCTGACACTGACACTGACACTGAGAAGGGGGAAAAGTGAAGCCGTAATGTTTTTTTCACCCTGGTCGATGATCCAAGAACCAAAACTAAGAAAAATAGATGCAAAGAAAATAGAAGGCTACCGGAACAGTAGTGATTAGCAGGATTAGATGTTACTGTACCTAACCAAGTTCAGCTAAGGAAAATAACCCGGAAGTTGTTGTTCATCTGGCTAGGGATAATAATTTTGCAAGGTGGGAGACTAATATCCTTGGTGGTATTCCGGTTGTGTTTGGTTAGATGAAGGGAAAGAATCATATCAGGTAACAGTAATTAATGGGGTTCCTGAAGGTAAGTACGCAAAATCGAGTTCGAGGACGGGGATTGTGTCATTGAGAAGATTTGGACCATGTAGCCCGACAGGACGGACATACCACCTAGATAAAGTATACTTAAACCAAATTAATAGTAGCTTCAACGCTGAGCTCCGCATCAGATATACACTCAGCGCTATCACTATCCGGCTTGACATCTTTGACAGGATTAAAAAGGATGGATGGCAATTAGACGCGTCCGTGTTGGGATCCGTATTACAAGTATCATTATCAGCCTTGACCACATCATACTCAGTCATGGTGACTCAAAGACTTACCGATACGTCCCCAATTCCATCCCTATCCCATCCCAAAAATGTCCAATATAGCCGACTGGGCAGATTCGCTCGACATGACCACGAAACATCTCGAAAACGAATCTCCCGACCCGCCGAGAACGGACTATCCGCAGTGCTTCCACTCCGACCATTGACCCCGGAATTGAACCAGCGATCTACAGTTCTAGCCGGCAGATCTATGTCCGAATAGATAGGATGTGGGACCGACACTGCCTTAAGTCCATGAAGTAGAGCCGTTGATGCGGGGAATAGTTCCGAGCCCATGTGCCGTCCGGCAAGGTTTTCCTCATGCATGGCTAAAAGCAAGGCACGGGAAAGGCGATAGTGGGTGATTAGTGAGGCCCTTCGGGGAGTATTCGTTGGATACCCCCATACTTCGTTGCGAGTGACCCATTTGGTGCCGATTGGGTGGAAAATGGGGAGGAAGGTGATGAGGTCGGCATCTTCCCCGACTTCCCAGTCGTAATTGTCTTCGTGTGCATGCTGCGTTAGTGGAGCTGAACCGAATGGTTGGAATGGCTCTCGGAGATCAAAGGGTGCGGGGCCCCATACTGCTTCGTCTTCGTGGTCTTGAACGTAGGCTTGGAAGGATATTGCGTGGTCGCCATGGACTTCTGGGATGTAGAAGCGGGCATTTCGTTCCCAGAGGCCGCGTCGTGGCTGTTGGCGTGCGAACTGGGCTGTCCGGTCGATGAGTTCGTAGTGATGTCCGGAGAATCGTGTGTCGATCTCCCAGTTCCAGATGAAGTCGAACTCGGGATGATTGAGGGCAAATCTCTGGACGGAAAGCCATTGGGAGTGGTGAACACTAGATTTATCAGCAATGCCCTGGTGTTCATTGGAAAACCGAGACACACTCGGTAACACTCCTGTCAAGATCAGGACAGTAGGAGGCCGCTTGTGGGGAACTTCAGAGCACGGTCATGTCCCAGAATTCTTTGGGAACATTTTCCCGCAGGACCTGTTGATACACGTCCTGTTGTTCAATAGGTATGTTCGAATTCCTGACATGCAAGAACAGAATGACTTTGTACTCTCCTCCTGATTGGAGAGATAACTCTGTGACGATGGATCGAATGACATGGACATCATTTTTAGTATAGTTTCTCCCCGTATAGGTCCGAATAAGAACCGCAGTATGGGGCTCAGAGTCACTATCGAAAGCAGCCTTCCAGACTTGACTGAACCGGCCGGCGTTGCGTTCATAATATCGGTCCTGTAATTGTCCCCAGTTGACCTGATCCCAGTCCACTGTTGTTGGCTTCATCCAGTTTGTGTCCGATGTCTCGTTTTCTCCAAAGCCGTAGGCGCCGTATCTAGTGTAACGATCAAAGGATAGTGCGCCATCGAGTCCAACAGCGTCGTAGGAGCCGAGCATAGCTGCTGGATGATCTGCAGCAAATTAGCTGCCTTTTTCTCCGGGTGCTCGCGGGTACTGAGAGGCTGACTGTCGTACCTTGTCGAATCCCCACGTAAGCCCCAACTTGGTCATCCAGACTCTCATTCAGCAGACTCCCTCGAGGGCCTTCGAATGGGCTAAACGGCACCGAGTGTAACTCATTCCATTCTTTGCAGTTGTAGACGGGGTAAGGCCGGTATATCCTGGGTATAGCTGGGGCATTCTCTCGGAATCGAGGGTCCTTGGAGATGCCGGGGTTTCTGTAGTTTTCTGGTGCAGGTATTCGGTTCGAGGTAGATTGGAACGTTTTGAGAACACTACAATGACGCAGCAGTCAGAGTTAGTGAGAAGTCTGGAGAGGCTTTTGGTGAGGGAGAAGACATGCCGTGGATACCATGATTGCTTTCCCTCGTATTTCTGCCAGTATGTCCTGATTGTTCGCTGCTGAGATACTCGATGAGCTACAAAACACACTGCGACTTGTGGAAACAATAGTGTTACTCATACCACGAGGGGAGAAAAGTGAGGTCTTCTTGCGAATATCGTGACTAGCAACAATAACAGAAGAGCTCGGAGAAATGCATGCCGGGTAACTCTGCGATTCTATATGGTCGACGTACTGTTAGCGATCAATAATACATGGTATGCGTTAACAGCATGGCGAGGAAAGGAGACGCGGTCAGAGGTAGGATCCTACTTGTATCCTCGATGGGAAAAGGTGCATTCTGCCAACATTTTCCGCAAGTCAAGCTATTGGTGGTCCAAGCTGTGTTTCTCAGCTGAGAGACAGATTCACTGCAAAGAGTCAAGGGCGGAAAATGCCAACCAAAAAGGCTATCACTACGTCCCTAGTAACGGAGTCAAAACTTTCATTGATGACAGTCGCGCCCCTCGGCCTCTCCGTATCCTGCTTTGTTTTGAGCCATCAGGGTCACTGACCGTAAAATTTACCCTCAATCCAACCGTGGAGACCATTTCTGATTACCGTTCGTAGCTTGATATTTGTCCCTCCATTAGATTGGCCATATTTCTTTGTCGTGGATGGATTCGGCTTTTTGGCGTGAACCCGGAATGGAACGGATACCATTGTCTTTCAGATTTGTCGAAGGCAAACCACGGTTCGTATTCGCAAATCACACGCTCAAAGGCCGGATTTTACTTTTCATTAATGCAGCTTGCCTGGGTTTATTCCCTGTATCAGCTTTCTGTCATGTGTGAGAATAAGACCACTTCAAGGGCTTCATGCCCAGTAAGCTCCAACAAGGATTGTAATTTTGAAGTCGGGGATTCACGGTAACATGATATAGACTATTTTGTGAGCCTGTAGAACGCAACCTATCTTACCAAAAGTAAACAGAAACCTCAAGAAGAAGTCTTCTTCCATATCATTATGCATACTTAGGCTATCACTACAATAGAATAAGTACATACGACCATAGGGTGTGGAGAACAGGGCTTCCCGTCCGCTCAGCCGTACTTAAGCCACACGCCGGGAGGTTAGTAGTTGGGTGGGTGACCACCAGCGAATCCCTTCTGTTGTATGTTTTTCTTTTTTGCCAAGTCTTTTCAAATGGGTCATGTTGTTGCTGTGATTGTGTACCAGTGCCCGGAGCGGCACTGCGGGAGATGATCCATTCATTTTTGTGGTCATACGGATGGAATTTCTCTAGAGTGACGGAAATCATCTCGGGGAGAGAATTAAGATCAATTGATGGGATTATGTTCATCATACATGAAATTCACAGTACGTGGTAGAGAACTACATCACCAGTGACCTGATGAATAGATGCTGCAGCCGGCTTACACAAAACCCTGGATGAGCTTTTCCAGCTGAACCAACCCATTGAGCTTCTCGTTTTCCGCCTGGTGTTCCAAGCATCGCGTCTTGTACGCCTTGTTGGTAAGAACGTCATCGATTCCCTTCTGAATCGCCTCCTGGCTCGGGGTTGCCGATCGTAGATTGACACCCACTCCGGCATACTCGCCTCGCATCGCCACCTCGGCTTTGTCCTCTATGTGAAGTAAGTAATTGTAACATGGCTGATGACCAGTGGTAGAATAACTTACGACCCTCTCCAGCCAGAACCATAGGCACACCATGCATGAGACTAGTTAGGAACCCTCCAAATCCCGCATTGCACACGAACACATCAGCATGCGGAAGAATGAGTTCGTAGGGAAGATAGTCGATAATCCTGGTATTTGCGGGAACCGTCACTCCATCCAACTTGGCTCCTTTCTGGCCTAAAACTCCAACCACCAGACAGTCATCTCTGGCTGCGAGGGCTTCAATGCTCGGAATGAGGAGCATGCGGTAATCGAGAATGAAGGTACCCTGAGAAACGAAGATGACTTTCTTGGGGTTTGCTCCCTGCTTGGCCTCGAGAACCTCCCCCCACCATTCAGGCACCGGGATCGAAGGATTGAGCGGTTTGCGCGGAGTCGCGCCAATGAATCGGACCTTCGGGGACAGGTCACTTCGGGGATACTCCAAGGTTTGATTATAGGGCACGGCTAAAAGGTCCGCACCCACGAGACAATTGTTGAAGAAAGGTTCAGTAATTTGCTCGGTTGCCCCAAGATTTGCGACCACCGCGTTGATGTAATTATTGATTTCGAGGTCCAACGTATCGGCGGCGCCTTTGTACATGGCGATGTTGCGGGCCCGTCCCTCTTCGCTGGAATCCGGCGGCAGGCCTGGTCCGAATGGGGCGGTGTCGATGCTTGAGACTGTTAGGGGAACTGTAGTGAATGAGATCACCGGAGGAAGCTTGTCGAAGCCTTTGGGTAGCGGCGCGCCCAGGACGAAAGGCATTGTCCCCATGGATACCCACTCCTGGACAATGACGATCTCCCGGCCTGGCTGCTCCTCGCGAAGCTTCTCCAGAACAGCTTTAAGTGACTTGCTGGATTCTGGAATCAAATCCAGAAAGGTTACCTTCATAGCATGAATCAAGCGGTCCGGGCCTTCAGGGATGGCGCGGATTTGTTCCAGCTTCTCATCGGTGATCACCGTCTGAACGGGATGGAAATTTGCCCCGGTTTGTGTGATTGCGTCCTGCAGAGCGCTGCCGGCAATGAAATGCACCTCATAGCCCTGTTGGCTTAGGTGAGTGGCATGGGGAAGGAGGGGGAGTGTGTGTCCATGCTCTGGGGGACAGGCGATGATCACAAGAGGAAGGGGCTTGGGGGCCATGGTGAATGTGCAGCAGTCTGAAGCGAGCTTGGAAATGAAAATTAGTGGGACATTCTGACATTTCTGTCATCGGGATCCTTGTCTTTATAAGGATTCCCTGGTCCCTTCCACGTGTTGTTGCGGTGTTGTTGCGGCTGAGATTCTCACGCTCGGAACCACCCCGCCTGTCGTTATCTGACTGGTCTGACGGTAAGCCAGAGCAGACCACGCCAGATTATTACGGCACTGTCATTAGCCGGCAGTCTGACTCAGATTTTAGAGATATCGCAAGCACCAATTGATTGACTACTATAGCCTGGGTATTTCTTTGAAGGATCAACCGTCCGACAGGGCTTGTGTGTCTGTGCAATGAGCCATGCGATAAGAGAAGGCTGAGTTGCCACGTGATCTATCTTCATCACCACGTCTTCGCCCCTGAGGCGTGGCCTCTACTTCATGGCCACGTATCTCATTCCGATAAGCAAGCGATGCAGCTGGGGTACCATTCGATTCAAGCAGCTACCATACATAAAGAGGTAACCCTAGCAGTGACTATATTCAATATTATCGCACGCAAAATTAGAAGCATAACGATTATCTTCCACCTATCTAGGCTTGTCAGACGCTACAACCCAGCATATAGATCATCATCAAGCCTTTATCTCAGAAATAACCTCCAAATCTCAGTTCTCATGTAATAAACCCCGAAGCTCTATAAAGGAAAGAGGGATATCCACGCTGTCCAACAGCAAGAAGTTCAGAATTTTCCGTCAAGTAAATAGTTTTAACAATGTTGTGTAGCTCAACGTCAGTTTGATTTCCATCACATACATCTCGTGGGACACGTGAAGTGAAGTTCATACCACACTAGCTGCAAGACCAGTGCTAACTCATACGATGTTAATAGGGCTGGCCACCCTCATTCAAAAGAAATCTCTTCCTTCCGTCGTCTAATGTTGATCTTGATCTTTGGGCTTGGTAGCATGTTATGCCCACGCAGCTCAATCACCCCTTCCTCCGGTAATAACACATTGAAGTCGTACTTCATTATGATATGGCATAAGATGATTTTACCAAAGGTGGCAGCATAGTGCCTTCCAGGACACGCCTGTCTCCCGTGTCCGAAGCCCAAATGATCTGGACTTGTCGTAGTAAATTGATAGCGACTTGACAAGGAGTCGTTTGCCTCTTTGCGTAAGTTAAAGAATCGATAGCCGTCGTATTTATCCCCATCCGCCCACACTGTCGAGTCCATCATATGCAAGGTTGAGACCATTACCGGTGTTGCCTTCGGGATGATCAGTCCGTCGGGTAAAACTACTTTCTCTTTTGCACGTCGCAGCATGCCGACTAATATACCACAAAAGTCAATAAAAGGGGCTCGTTCATGGAATTCGCCTTTTCAAATCACGTACCTAAGCCCAGTGGCCTGATTCTTTGACTTTCCTTCATTACACTATCCAAGAGAAATAGTCTTTGTAGGGATGATCGAGTCATTTTCTCTTTTCCCAGCACCTCAATGATCTCCCTTCGGAGATCATCCACCAGGTTTGGATGTTCAGATAGGTCACACATAACCTTTGAAAGCAGGTCCGTGGATGTATCAAGTGCAGCAAGAGACAGCGTAAATAGCAATGAAGTCATGTTTTCTGCGCTGCCTTTGCTCGCATCTTCTAGCCAGTCAAGCGCTGTGGTAAGCGAACCATCCTTTTCAAGAGATCCTCCCTTGACAGAAGCAGAGCCATTCTTTCTATCCAGCAGGGGCTGTATGTATTTGGTGGCTTCTTGCAACAGTACCATCGCCTTTCGATAGCTTGGAATGAGCCAGCGAGCCAGACGTCTCAAGGGCGTGGGCCACAGGCGCAAAATATGAGCCGCGATGAATGACTCTTCCAAAAGATCAAATGCAAGATCTAACCAGGCTGAGTCTCGACAGAGGTCTTCGTCACCGAGAAATCCTCGAGATGAGAGCTGGCCCACAAAATTACTGATGGACCGTTTCAGTTTGGCTTGGTGCCACTCTGCTTTCAAGTTAGTGATGTCCTGCCGGGTGGTCAAAGAAATTCATCGATGGGAGAGTTCCATACCGGTTTCTTCTCCCCAGTTATTATGCAAGGCTATAGAGGCTTCCTTGGAAAGCGGAGTGACGAGATTCGCTTATTTTGTTAGCTGAAATGTAGCCTCGAAATCTTGCATCGGATAGAATAAACTTACCAGTCTGGCGTGCCAATTTCGTTTTGACAGTAGTCTGTATAATCTTCGAGCTCAAGGCTATGTTTGAAAATGGCTCAAATCCCGGGATTCCTAAATGGAAGTCCTACAAATATATACGTCAATATCACCCCCGCTGTACGAAAGAAACACTCACGTCAGCCAGGAACTCGCCCAAATCAAGTCTGTCGTCGTTTCGAATCATGTCTGCATATTTCGGGCTCAGAATCAAGCAGAAATTGGCGTCTGTGTATAGATAAAACGCGTCCCCGCCCTATGGTCCGAATGTTAGTCTCCAAGCCAGTGATTACATCGACAAAGCTATTTCTCACATGTTTAAGCCCATGTCGTATCAATCCCTCTGGATCAGCAACGTATCGATTTTTGGCGTTGCCATAACCAAACTCGAACCATTTTCGGTCATTGAAAACAGGCATTTTGGATGGATTCCATAGTCTTTCTCTAATGCGTAGTACCAAAAACGTTATAACGATGATTCCCAAGATAACGCCTCCGACATTACCGTCGGAGTAGAACCGGTGGCTGGTATCCATTTTTTCCTTCGTGCCACTTTGTGTTCGTAAGGATTGTCGAGGTAGGTGAGGGAGCATGAAAATGACAAGTTTGTGCAGAGCCCAAGCTTATATTTTAGGCTCACCAATATGCATCCTGCCCCTTGACTTTCGCAATACTCCGCAAGTTTTTTTTCCTAAAATGGAAAATTCGTATCGTAGGTATTACCAATTACAGGCATGCTTTTTCTTCATAGGGCTGAAAAGTTTGTGTGGTGGGACAATCGCCCATGTGTACGTAACCTACTCAGTTGCCGATAACCATTTGAGGGCTAGCCATTTGAGCTTGTGATATTCCCAAATTAGTGTATAATAAACTTTGCAAGAAATGCTAGAGAAAACTAATAAGCTACCGATCTCTGCAAGATCTCTGCGATGTTCCTTGGCGCTGTGGGTCTAGAGTGATAGGCATCGTTCCGTTTACTTGGCATCCGGCGTGATCGTGAAGATCGCTTGGACAGTTAAACCACATTTCCGAAGGCTCAGCTACGCCATGTGCAGATCGGAAGTCCCCTACAGCGGGCGTTTTGAAATGCCCTTTCGCCGCGTATCAACATGATTTCCATGGAAATTGGCGGACGAAGCACAGAGACACGGGACGATCATGTAGGTCTGGTAGGGGTTGGAAATCCACTATTCTGTATGATAGATACGAGGTTGACTAGACACCTGCCCGGTAGAGTAAAGCAACGGGCGTTCCATTTCCTTCAGTGGAGCTGCAAGACCTCGGCTCTGGAGTGCGGGATTTGACTCTTTTTCTGGGCTTTGTTCTAGTCAGCTTTGTTGGGTTCTATCTTGACCTGATCATTTCATGGTATTCTAATCTAACATTTTTTGATTGCCAGGTTCGATTTCAATACATGTATTTCGCCTTCATCTGGAGTCTCAATCCGTACTTATCCAACCTGAATACACTTGTCCTTATAAATTCGGTAGAACTGCCTGCGCATCTAGGGTGTATTGATAACAATCTCTGTTTACTACCCCCTCCACTGGATTCGGTTCCTCAAATTACTCAATATGACTTCCAATGAAGGACAAGACCAGTCAGAGGAAAGACTGTCCCAGATAATGTTGGAAGCGACGTCTCTGTTGACTCAACTTCTCACAACCAATCATCCAGCCCCGTCAGACCCCATTGTCCGAAAACTCGATCCCCATGAGATACAAAGCATGCAAGATCAGGTTATGCCTGATGAGAATCCCGGAGATCTTGTCTCCGTCTTTCAACAAGCCATGACAGTCTTTGATTACCGCATGCGCCTCAACCATCCACATTGCTTAGCCTATATACCAGCTTCTCCAAATATCTTCGCCCGTCTGGGTGATCTTCTCACTTCTGTCTGGAATGTAAATGCTGTGAGTTGGGATGTGAGCTCCGGGCCGAGTGCGGTTGAAAAGGCCATGATAGCCTGGCTGGGTGCCCAACTCGGACTACCAGATTCTGTTGGAGGGTGTTTTGTCTCCGGGGGTTCGATGGCGAATATGACGGCCATAGTTGCAGCCCGAGATGAGAGACTCGATCCAATGCAGCGAGCAAACGCTGTCATCTACATCTCCGACCAAACACACATCTCTATCATGAAGGCGCTACATATAGCCGGCTTCATGGATTACCAGGTCCAAAAAATCCCTACCGACGACGAATTCCGCATAGATACGGATATCTTACGACACACCATCACAACAGACCGCCAATCCGGGCGTGTTCCTTTCCTCCTGGTCGCTAATTGTGGGAGCACCAACACAGGCAGCATCGACCCTATCCACGCATTAGCTGATATTGCACGAGATGAAGGGATCTGGCTACATGTGGACGGTGCATATGGTGCATCGATTGCGCTTTCCAACAAGCATGCCTCCCTTATTGATGGCATCGGTCGCGCAGACAGTGTTTCTTGGGATGGCCACAAGTGGCTTTTCCAGACATACGGTTGTGGGATTGTATTGACCCGGCACGTTGATTCTCTCCGGCGCAGCTTCGCCGTCGACGCCGAGTACATCAGCAGTACCTTGGCACCACAGGGCACCACGAATTTCTACAACCTTGGTCCAGAGCTCAGTCGCCCGGCGCGTGCCATTCCGCTTTGGCTCACGCTCAAGGGTCTAGGTCGGCGTCGTGTCGGTGAAATGATCGACCAAGGGTTTCTTCTTGCCCGTACCGCAGATACCAGTATCAGGCAGTGCAGGAACTGGATTATTCCGGCGCCAACCGTTACTAGCATTGTAGTTTTTCGATATGCACCTGGTGGATTGAACAAGACAGAATTAGATTCATTGAACACTGCTATTTCCAAACGACTCATGGCGGAGAATATCGCTGCTATACTCACTACCAAAATTCGCGGGCGAACTGCACTTCGAATTTGTGCTATGAATCCGGCGGTGCAGCCGAAAACTATCAATGATGTTATACGCCAGGTGGACAAGGTCGCCCAATCGGAGGTGGCCAAGTTTCAAAGGCCATATACAACGACTGTCAAGACTGTGTATGCTCATCTGCAAGAATTTCCTAGTGTCGATATTCTGGAAGACTTTCATTGATACACTAAGCGACATGGGGACGGTTGATTGTACCAGAGCCATCGGCTTGAAAGTTTGGTATAGCCTTCACAATTGTCTCTTAGAATATGTAAAATGATACTAAATAGAATCTTGAAGATTTGCTACCTATACTCTGGCGATGCTTTGTTATTCGAACTTCATGAGGCTTATTCAAAACTGTGTAGACAAGGCTTCGAGTCGAAACTGACCTCAGGACCAACTAGGTTCCCACAACTTGATACTAAAGCGCGTACAGTACTCAAAATGCTCCAATTCAAAACACCTTCATTCAATACCATACTTAGCAAAGCCTAATACTTCGTAATAAACCATGTACGCTTCTCTTCAGATGTCATCTGTCGTACAACCTTCATCTCGCATGTCTTGACATCAAGATACGTCGACACTAGGGCGTCACCCAGAATACTCTTCAGTCCTTCATCTGCCTCCAAATATTTAAGACTCTCAGCCAACTCACCAGGCATCTTCGCCTTAATCCCCAAGGCCTCTCGTTCCTGACCCGACATCTTGTATGGTTCAACAGTACACGGACCTGCCGTCAAAACCGACCCTCGACGCAACCCATCCAGCCCCGCTGCAAACACCGCACAAACCCCTAAATAAGGATTCGCTAGCCCATCCATCATCTTAACTTCAAATCGCTCCCTAGAAACCCGCCGCAAGATCGTCTCCTTATTCTCCCATCCCCAGCACACATAATCCCCCCCGCTCCCAATGCCCCCAACAACCCGATCATAACTGATTTCCTGTGGAAGCGTAAAAGCAGAAATGGCCGTGAAATGGTCCAAGATCCCAGCGAAAAACGATTCCACCATCGATAAGTCCGAGTCCGCTGTCTCCGAATTAAGCGATATATGAACATGAGCTCCGGTTCCGGCCTGCCCGGGCGACAATCGCGGGTGAAGAGTCGCTCGATATCCGTGCTTATTTGCAACTTTCATGAGAATCTGTCGCGCAAGGAGGAGTGTATCGACGGCTTTGAGTGGTGAGATTGGGGGGAGAACAAATTCCCATTGTCCTGGACCTAGTTCTGCGTGGAATTGTTGAACCATGATTCCGGATTGTTGTAGAGCGAGGGTGGCTTCTTCTAGGAGGGTGAGTAGAAGCTCGTCGTCACGGGTCATGCTGCACCATGAGTGATCGCGGTTGATTGTTTCGTATTGCATGAGTCCGTCGGGTAGGGTTCGTTGACGGAGGAGAGTGAATTCTAGCTCGAATCCGATTAGGAGGGAGCATTGTGATTTCTCTTCAATTGAGTGTGTCAATGACTCCAGCTTAGAGCGTGGGCATTCGTTCAAAGGTTGTCCTTGGTGGTTGGTCCATGAGGCCATCACAGTGGCTTTGTTGGAATTCATGAAGGGTGAAAACGATCGCAGATCGGGTTGGAGAAAGAGTGACCCGGTGAGAGTCCCGCCGTCTGCCACATTATCATATGGGAGAATATGGAGAATGACTCTTGGAACAGAGATTCCTTGGTTCCTTTCCACTAGTCGATGGAACGCTGGCATAGGAACTATGCGGACCAGGTTGGTGCCAATGTATGTGGTGAATGACACCCAAACGAAATCTATGCCCTGGTGATTGGCGTAGAGCTGCTGCCACTCACTGAGAGCTGTTGATTCCATCATGTTGATAGATAGGTACACTTAATCTGGAAGGTTTGTTCAAAACTCGGCCGTGCTGTGGACAAGTCTTTCTTTTAAATATAAAACACGTATTGTCATGTATTTGTAGTTGGAATTATTTCATAAGACTGAATTCAGCATTGGACAGCTCTGTATTTGCTAAGCTCTACGGATTTGTTCTCCCGAAGGAGGGCATGTTAAGCGTGCATGAGATTGCATTTTCACTGTAGGGTCTATCTACTAGGAGTGTCGATCCTGTACCCCATGCTTTGAACGCGCGGGCCACATTGTCGCGAGCTGAATCACACCGACATTTTATCTTTGTCTGCAGAGTACGGAGTGGGGTATATCTACTCTTTGCATATGATCGGTTTGATCATGCATAGCTTCCTGCTGATCTGCTCCATGTGCTCCATCCCGTCTGGCCAAGATCTACATGACGATCTGTCTCTCGCTGCCGCCCCAAGATCTATTTTCCATTGCCCCACTATATTTACAAACCCACATCATCATTGATTAGCAGTTCTTATCCCGATCAAGCTGGTACTCACTTTACGTAACGCCGAAAAATGGAGGGGGGATGTAATTGGGAAAAAGGATAGCATAGATTTAACTTCAATAGCCTCAAAGCATCAATAGGTGGCTACCGTTGAAGTATCAGGTAATTCTAATACAGGCTATATACTAGTGCAAATTGTCGGAGATGTCTGTTTTCGGGAAAAGTCACAGATCTGCGACCGGAGAATGTAAGTGATCTAGACCTCCCCTCCACAATCAACGCCGTATTTTCGTACAATTATTGCCTGTTGGTGATAGCCAGCCGACTTACTTTAATGTGTTTTCGTGAATACTTGCAAAATACGTAATGAAGGAACAGAGCTCTCTTTTTAGCCACTACTTCTTTCCCCTATGCGTTTGTTGGCCCCAGAGATTGCTCTCTCGCTCACTGAAATCTTCCTTTGACTTCATATCATTCCCAAGCATTTATCCAGTATATGATCAGTTCCCACTGATTCACTTTACACTTCTTTAACATATGTCAGATTGCCCAAGCTATACCCAACACAGGGTACCACCTATCAACGACACCATGGCAGTCCAGCAAGCAAACACTCTCCAATTCGACCTCCTCAACAGATTCCTCAGCTGCCCCGACGACAGCCAAAGAAACTGGTGGCAAAGAACCGGCCCTTTACTAGCCAGTTTGATGAGATCAGCAGGATACGACGACCCAACCCAATGCCAATACCTCATGTTCCTTTACACATGTATCGTCCCATATCTAGGACCATACCCTCAGACCTTCCCCAGCGCCATGACCCACAACGAACTTCCACTAGAACTCAGCATCAACTTCCAGCAGCTAGGCGGAGCGAACCCCGTTATTCGGATCGCGTTGGAACCTGTAACCTCTATTTCGGGGACAAAGAACGACCCATACAATCTGAGCCCGATCCATGATTTTCTCCATCGTTTGGAAAATCTCAACCTTACAGGATACGATAATCGTCTTTTCGAGCACTTCTATCCCAAACATATCTTGAACGAAACCGAGGCCAAGCAGCTACAAGCTAAGAACGAGACAGTGCGTGAATTGTCCCAGGTGTCTTGGGGGTTTGATCTCAAGCCGGGGACCATCTCCGTGAAGGGATACACGTTTCCGTTATTGAAATGCCATGCCACGGGGCAGGATATGTACTCGGCTATTATTGGATCCGTGCAAGAGTACCTCGGGGATTCAGACACCCATGATACTCTGGGCTTGATGAAGGAATATATCGAAACGACGGATACAAGGGAAACCTTCGGATTTGTCTACTCGAATGACTGCATTGTTCCCGAACAATCCCGTCATAAACTGTATGGTCGTACCAAAGACATGTCCTGGGAAAAGGTTCGGGAAATCTGGACTCTGGACAGGCGCGTTGACACGCCCGAGTCTACCAGGGGCCTTGAGTACCTTCACCGGATGTGGGAGATGTTGCAAATTGGTGATCGTCCCCATCCACTTGGTCTTCATTTGGTGTGGAATTACGAAATCAAAGCTGGTCTTACGCTTCCGGCTACCAAGATTTATTTCCCGCTTTATGGCCTCAATGATCGGGAGAATGTTCGTGCCATTGCCGAATATCTTACGGAAATCGGACTGGATGCGTATGGGAATGCCTACGAACAGGCTGTACGAGACAGTTTGTAAGTTTTCTCTGTTGACCCTTGGCGAAGAGTTACCATGCTGATTGAATGAGTCCACGCCTGGATATAAATGAAACAGATCGCCTGCTTTGCTGGGTGTCATTCGCGTATACGGAGAAGACGGGTGTGTATCTTAGCGTTTATTATCATTCTTCGCTCGAGTATCCTTGGCTTGAGAAGAAGACTTCAACTTGAGTAGTTTAGAGATATCTCAATCCCTAGGTTTATTTGTACATATTCAATTTCTGTATATCTTAGAGCCCAGGTCAAACTCCATCTGGACATATGACTGATACGTAGTGGTGGCAGAGTGTCTACGAGATTGTTGTAGGCGTTCCGCTTATACCTGAGGCAGTGGCCACGGCCAATTCAGGAACAAAACAACGGAAGTCAAAGAGCAGTTTGAAAGCATTTACAATCAAACCTGTTCCATTTGAATCATACACTAAGATCCCTCACTCATTACAAGTCCTAAACACTACAACGACAAATCCCCTCCACTCACTCAACCCTAAACCTAGCATCCACCCTTAACCTACCCCCAAACCTCCTAAACAACACCACCGTCGGCATAAAACCCACCACAATCAGCCCCAACAGGGTAAACCCCCACCCATACCCCAAACCCTCATAAAGCCTCGGAGCCAAAAGCGGCAAAACCGCACCCAGCACAGAACGAACAATCGCATTCGCCGCACGAGCACTAGCCGAGAGCAACTCAAACGAGTCCGCAATATACGCCAGAATAGAAGTAAACACACAGAACACGCCCAGATTGATGATTATGGTGCTGGCCAGGGGAACCGCCCAGTGGGTATGTGCTTGGGCGGACCACTCAAACCAGAACAGGCCTGTAGCGATGAAGACGTTGCCGGGTAAGAGAAGCGTAAGTCGATCTTCTGGAAGGCTGTATCCTCGAATACGGGTCTGTTTCGTGTGGTACCAGTCGAGGAATGGGCCGAAGATGAATTGCCCGAGCACGAGCCCGATGCTAGGCGCCAGGTAGGTGAGTCCGACTTCGCCTTCGTTGAAGCGGTATCGCGCACTGAAGAATGTGGGGAAGATGGTGATTAGGAAGTACATGTAGACGTATGCGGTGGAGGTGTAGAAGGCTGAGAGGAGGATGGTGGGTGATCGGGTGAGCAATTTTAGGGGTCGGGCGATTGCGATTTTTAATAGTTGGGTGTTGGTTTGGAATTGGGTTGGGTTGTTCTGGTGTCGTGTCTTGTGAAGGATCACGGGGGCGTAGGTTTCTTTTAGGATGAATATGGTCGCGATTGCTGTCAATCCGGACTGCAACATATCAGCTAGTCAGGAATGTACCTCGGATGTTCCGACTGGACTGTCCTCGCCAACTCACCACAATAACCTCCAGCCAAAATGTCCATCTCCATCCTGCCTTCTGGGCCAAATATCCACCGGCAATCGGACCTTCATGTATTCTCAATTAGGCAGGAAGAAATGTATCGCCCAGGCAATTCTTACCTATCACGGATCCCTGCAAAAGATTAGCTCTATCCACAACCACACACTTTCATATAACCAAGGGACCTTACAAACGTCGATCCACAAGCCCACACACTCAATGTCCTCCCTCGCCGTTCAGGGGGCATCAAATAAGCAATATATCAACCCCCCAGAACCGCTGGCACGCAGCCCGCCAACCCCATCAGAATGTGCGCGAAGATGAGCATCCCGACATTTGTGCTAACCGCACACAAAACCGAGGACAGGATGAAGAGCATATTTGAGGCGTGCATCATAGGGCTTCGTCCATATACCTCGCTCACCGGACAGAGCAAGGGGCCGACGGCGAAGCCTATGACATGGACTGAGATGAGAAAGGAGGAGAGGGAGGCGCTGTGAATGTGGAATTCCTGAAGGATTTGAGGAACTGCGGGGCTGAATATTGTTGAAGCGAGAGAACTTCATTTTCCGAAAAATTATATCTTGTTAGAGAGAATTTGGAGATAGGGAAAAGAGCTTACTCGTTCAACGTTGCAAAATTCACTAAAAATGTAATGGATAGTTTGCGCGCCGTCGACCAGTTTCTGGGGTTTCGGGGATCATCGTCCCCATCCCATGTATTGAGGCTTGTTGTGTTGTTTTCTTCATTGTTGATAATTGTTACTTCTGATTCTGGGGACATTGTTATGGTTGATTGGGAAAATATAAATCAGTCACATGTCCAGAACCATGTACGAGAGTGATATATGAAGTCTTTTGCGATGATCACTTGGATTCCAGCCATTTTCCCCCTTGCAGAAGTCATGGACGGAAGTTTGAGTTTGAATAAGGAAATAGAAACAACAGACTTTATCCCTTGCAGTGAGGAATATCCCGTATTCAGAAAATTGTAGATAATCGGAGTTTAATGAGCGGGATCGATAGAAACACACTTGCTCCAGTAGACCGCTTTGCCTCATCCTACTAATACGCACTGCACTTTATGATATGATGTCGGCTCACCTGCAGGGCTCTGGGACTGTAGGCGATGATCATGGGCCGGAGTAGTGGTAATCATGAATTATGGCAGCTTGTGGAGGCAATATTATTGTAAAGTATTTACTAGCACCTGTACCTGTATTTACAGTTTGGATCTTCAGCACCGTCTTCTACCCAATAGCAATCAACCGTTTGAGTAACTCCGATCCGATCTTCAATGATGATCCTTTCCGCAAACATTACCTCATAACTTACTGCAGCACGCAGACTTATCACGAAGATCAGATCAACTCGGCATCGGATGGTTTCCGAGCTGACTCGCCCTCGAGCTTATTGCCCTCGTGCATGATATCTCGCATCTTGATTTGAAATCAAGATCCAGAGGGTACAATTTAGCTCCCTCCTGGCCTGCATATGACATCATATTCATGGATTGAGTGACCACTTCGGGACTAAACAGGCTGGATTTTGTGACAAACAAATGGCACAGTCCTCTAGTGCTGCTACTGTTGTGGCTCAGCTGTTGGGGCTGAGCTGTTAAAGCTGGACGTTTCCTACCAACTTATTTTATCTTTCTCTTCATCTTGATATCTGTGATCTTACATCTTTTCATCGTAAAGCTTCTTCTACAGTGATCACCATAGACTCCTCGGTCAAGACAACCTTGATGACCGCCGTGACAGCTTCGGAGGCAACGCCTCCAGCTTCAGCGGATATAGATGCGAGATCTGTTTCTGTGGTATTGATTTTTATTCCGGCACAGGTGGCTTTGGATTCGGGGGGTAACAGCTGACCAAGGCCTCTTTTCCCAGAAAGTTCTTCCCTATCCTCCGTAGGAAGACATCTAACTGTCAGTGCATTTTACCACATATTCAATGATCAAAGTATTGAATTGATATTGTTTTCCTCTTCGCGGTCATCACGGACGCTTACGCGGTCTAGTGGCCAATAAGGGACCAAAAATGTCGTCCATCTTTACTTCTACGACCTAGTCGGCCTGAAGAGCATGTACTGTGTCAAATTGAGACCGTTCTGGCGATGCTTTTCTCGCGATGTGTGCAATGTAATTTACCGCATAATGGTTCTTTGCTGTATTTGAAATGTCAATCATTTGAATAATTAGTCTGTAAGTGCTGTATTAGATTGCTGTAATAGAAGTCTTCGTTGATATACTAGTTCAAAGATTCTCCGGGTCCCTGTGACCGTGGAAATATATGTGAGGCTTATTTATAATTCTGATATAATTTGCAACTGCCCGCAAAGTCGTATTATACAGTAAGAGCGATATAAAAGAACCCTGTTACATGCATGAGCGGCATCCACCCGCCGGGAGGTTACCACCAATTAATTCCTTCTGTTGTTTGTTCTCCTTTTTTACACACTACTACTTATGGGTGTGTGGTCGTGTGCCAAACCCTCAACACTGCCTAAGGGTTGACTGGGCAACACCGGATAAGGACAATATTTATAACATGTAAGTAAGTATAAGGCTCGAGCATAAGGATATTGTTTCAGATGTTGTGTTTGCGATCTCCTACATTTTGAGACACTCATGCATATATTACTAACAGCGACATGCCTTAGGCTACGAGCTATATTATCCTGACCATGACTTGTGCATGTGGGAAACCATTAAGATGCGCACTGGGGTATCCAGCGAATTTTGTTCCTCATCATATCTCACTGAAATAAGGCAGCGCAGATTCATGTCGTATCGTGGGAATAGGCTGAAAGGACTACTATCTTCAAGTTCTACCACCACAGCTATTTTCCTTTATCCATGCATCTAAGCCTCCGGATAGGCAAGATTGTACTTTTTCAGGAGGTTTCTCTTTCTTCGTTAATCCCTCCTTAGGTGGTATTCTTTCACTGTGGTGAGCAAGCCTCAAAAAAATGGTGACGGGGGGATGTCTGAGGGAAAATATATTACCGTGGAGGCAGAATCTCCACGTTTTTACGTTGGTCACTATTCGAACCTTTTATATGTTTGTTGCGCTGGAGACATGGAAAACGATTTTATCTACAGTGTTGAGCTTAGGCTTTTGCTCATTTCTAGGTGAAGTTTGTGGAAGCATTGATAGAAGCCATATGTCATGTGATCGCGTTCTGGCTTCACCTCGTGGTGGCCTCGGTGCTTCTTCCCAGTCCCCACCTACGTGTTGGGCCAGCCAAAGATAGAAGCATTTCCTTCTCAACTCTATCAACAGATCAAGAACAATCGAAGGGCAAAAGCGCATGGACTATATAACACATAGGGCTGAGGACTTCTCCATAATACTGCAAATCCACGACCGATCGCTTGATTACTATTCAGATACAAGAGCTCTAGCATGCTTGGCTCTGGGCCTGACAGACGATCATGTCGACGATGGTGTCTTCCTCTCAAACACTGCACCAGGCATGGGTTCGTGAAAATTGTGAAATTCTCCAGTCAAGTGGATCGGCGGGTGGGGCGCGAAACCCGCGGTCTGGATCTGCAGCCATGATGAAATGAGACTAATTTCTACCCTGAAGTGTCCATTGGAGACTGCGACACGCCGACACCAGCCGGTGGAGATTCCACGCGTCGACGAATCCAGTCCCCGCCGAGGTTGACGGATGAAACAAGCCCGGGCCCTGCAGGCCACAGGGGCATATATACGATATCGCCGTCATGACTCCCTCGGCACGCCCTCCAACCCTCTCCCAAATGTAACCCTCTTCATCTTTGCTGGACTACTTTTCGGTCCTTTCTTTGCACGGCCAGTCGGTCTCGCCATGGAAGAGATCTGGGAGAGAGACCTCACGCCCGAGCGAATAGCCTATTTGGCGGAGTCTCGGATTCCCGAGATCATCGCCTGTAATACGATACTGATCGTATTTGCGACCGGTGGGCTGCTGGTGCGTCTTTTCGTCCGGATGCGATATCTCACGGGTATCAATATCGATGATCTACTATGTTTGACCAGCTGGGTATGCGTATGATTCCGGGTCGTCTTGTTTCCATCTACTAATACTTAGATGCTAATTAGATCTTCACATTCGTTCTTTGTTTTACCTGCATGTTGAGTCAGTACTTGCGACAGATCAGCGACAGATCGCGACAATTTTGTGCTAACCGTTTCTCAGTGACCAAATATGGCTTCGGTAGACATATTGGAGTGATCGATATGCCCGATCGAGCGATGTTCTTAAAGGTATGGGTTATCTTACAGTGAGTCTGTACACGGCTGTTCGCTGATTATGAACGATTCTCGCAGCTGAACTGGGTTACCATGCTCGCCTATGTCATTGCTCTCGGTGCCATCAAGACCTCCTTCTGTGTCCTCTATCTCAGTATCTTTCCCGGGAAGAAATTTCGGATTGGCTGTTGGTGTGTGCTGGCTATCATTGTCGCCGAGACGGTTTCGGAAATTCTCGTTGTGATATTCCAGTGCTGGCCGGTCCACAAAGCATGGGATGCCACGGGGCTTGTGGAGGGACATTGCGTGAATATGACGGCCTTTTACTACGCCAATTTCGGAATAAAATTGGCTAGCGATCTGGCTCTTTTTCTGATGCCGATGCCGAAGCTCATCAGGCTGAAAATGACAGTGGGAAAGCGAGTCGGCTTGGTTATGATGTTTAGTCTGGGTCTTCTGTAGGTGACCCCGTGCAAAAGTGACAGCAAACGCTAACCATACGATCTAGTGTCTGTGTGACGAGTATTATTCGAGTTTCTTACATGAACCCGTTCTCCGTGGACCATACTTGTGCGTTACCATCAATCTTTCCCCTCCATTTAATGCCGTTACTAACACTGCTACAGGGTCATTGGTCAACACGATGAACTGGTCTTGTGTCGAAGTCGGGGTCGCCGTGTTCATCGCTTGCATTCCTTCATTCAAGTCACTCATCACCGCTCGCTTCCCAGGACTGCAACGTCTGCTCGGCTTCTCCACCCCAGGCGAGTCCAATGGCCCGTCGAAGATGTACGGTACTGCAACCCGTCGGACAAACAATGGATTGTCTATTGGAGGACACAACAGCATCAGACTGAAACCAGTCACAGGACTCAGCAGCGCAGAAGTCGAAACGACAAACGATTCGCAGGAACGCATCGTGTGTCCAGGCATCCAAGTCACTACATATGTTTCCGTGAATGAGACCGTCTGATGGCGATGAATGTTGAATGCTATGTTTTTTGCTACTTGTTATGAATCTGATCATTATAAATAATTCCCAGTTGGCACTGCTACCTTCACAGTGATCTATCGCTTCGATAGATGCCGCTTCAACAGTGGGTCTCAGACTACTCTAATTGCCACTTCCCCATCAATTTAGCTCAGGGGAATCAGTTGACATCGCAACGCCGACGCCAAGAATTTAACTCAAGGCAGTGGATCTTTGGATCCTGAGGGATTGGACGAAAATTTGGGAACTGACTCGGTGAAACCTCAGATAATCCGTTAATCTATGCCTGTCACGCTACTGCCGCACCAGCGGAGTCTAAACCAAGTAAGAGCGCGAGTACATCTTATCATTGGTCGAGATCTCCCGAGACCCACTACCTAAATCTCCTCGTTGACGGCCAAATGCCTGAAGGAATCTATTTCCCCGAAACCTTATCACGGTGTCCAATTTACACCCTACACCCGTTGAGTCTGAGCCGTCTGTCACCACAAAAATAAAAATAGCCTGGGTCACACGTGTGATGTATCATATGCCCCCTCAATTGACAATTGCCACCTCGTGTCGCGTGTCGACTAACACAAGCATTTAGTAATTCTTCGTGAACCAGGGTACAACCCTCACCTGATACTATCCCTGCCAAGAGGAGGCTTGGACCCGCCGTTTTGCCTTAAAACACTGGCTACTACACCATCCGTGGTTCAATGACACAGTTTCCAGCTGTAAACTTGGAATCTGACTCGTATTCTAGGATCTATCTATCGCCATAAAGCTCAGGCACTCAACATGGGTGCCTTGCGTCACGGAGGTAGTTGGCTTAATATAATGTAATATACCTCCAACGGGATTCATAATTAATTTGTGCATCTTATATTGAGATATGGCATGATGCGACCGTCACCTTTATGCGAGATACTAATGAGTAGCCAATCACTTGAAATTTCGAGTACTTTATATTTCTAAACATATATGTTGCTGTACAATGCCTCAGCTGGGCAGTGGTCATCAACGTTTAGGGACACGCTTCACAAAGCTTTTTATAACCATGATGAGTCGAGGATGGAATTTATCAGTCATCAGATTCAAAATATAATAATAGCCTAACTCTTCCATATACCTCCTGATAGTGTCTCATTTGACTGTAATATATAATCTAACTATTAGTTTGAGAAAAGATATAGTGTAAAGTTAAAGTACAACGGGTTTTACTTTATACAAAAATTACTAAGATCTTGCTATTCGCATGAAGAAATAACCAATCCTCGGTATGAGATTAACTGACCCTCATTGCACTATGCGTATAGAAATTATATGATCTGGTAATCATCATCCTACTGACTTAGCCCTTGCACTGTCTAGAAACCATTCCTCGATCCAAGAAGACATATCTTTGGACCTTAGCGCCATAGTGCATATAGTTACCATCTGCCAAGATACCTACAAGTTGAGCTTATGAGTCAAGGTGGATTGGTTGTCTCTAAACTTTGTTCTTTTTTTATCAATCAGATTATGAAGCTAACATATGATATACTATCGTAATCCTCTAAAATCTTTGAAGTGTTTATATACCCCATGTGTTACAGTTTAACACATTGATCAGAATACATTGTACTCTAGGGGTATATTTTGATCCCCTACCTTCACTCCAACTCCCCACATAAAAGGAGAAGCAAAGCAAGAACACTGGTATTATGAAATCCCCACCCAATAGGCAAACAAATTAACCCAGCTCCATCTAATCTCCCATCCCACTATCGAACCTTCCATCACGCTTCTCTAAAAACAGCACACCACATGTGGGCCAGGAGACTTACGAGATGAACATCTAGTTCATGGTTGTGGATATACGGATGAATGTATATCCACAATAGAAGTAACCGGGATTGAACATCCTAGCCAAGCTTTGTGAGCTGTTTGAAGCATGGGCCACCACGTGTGATTTGTTTCAGGAGTCGATTATCATACATTGTAGGTCTATGATGGATTGAAATCAACCGGATATGGTACGCTCTGCTCAGGGGTATATAACGTGTCTGTTTTAGCTTCTACTACTGGTAGGAATGTCACCTGACTAGGGATTGGGTTGCCTGTTTGGGTTTATATGACTTAACTTCTTCGTTTACTTAGACCCTGGGCTTCCTGCTACAACTCTATGTCTTGACGTGGTATAAGTTGGATTATTGGCCTACGGTATCCATTACACTGCATAGTCAACAGAATTTGTGTGATGTCACGCGATCTAGTCATCTCCACAAAAATGTTATGTCTGATTTTCATACTGCTCTAATTCCTTCATGCAGATCTACATGTGAACTATTTTAAAAGGTGCTTACTAGCTATCATTATCCTGTAGCCCAACTCAAGTCGCCTACACCCACCTCCAACCTTGCATCTCACTCATCAATTATCAAGCAAAAAAGCATATTACTCCCGGATAAAACTTTCTACAATAAACCCAGATAAAGATCCAACATCCGAAACCTTCAATCCTAACTCACCTCACCAGATCACCCGATATTCCCCTCCCCCAATACTATAATTATCTTCCCTACCTACCCCCAAACCCAGCAATTACCATCTCCAAAATCCTACAACGGCTCATATTCACCATACACCTGACCACCTCCAACTCCAAAACCCACCAACCAAGATACAATGCATCTCATCTCGTCCAAACTCTCCCAACGTGACCAGATCACTCGCCCATCCACACGGCCCAAAAGCCCCGAACCACACATACAAAGATACAAAGACCGTAACACACCCCCTCAACCACGTCACACCAACCCGTGAAGAACCTCTCGGGCAGTTTATCTCCCCGCGTCAGGGTAGCACACGGCTCGCTGCATGACATAACCTTATTTCCCGACGTTGACTGTTTTTCGGAATGAGGCATGAATTGGGATGTTTTCTCCGATGATGGGGGGGATTTTGTCGGGTGGTAGCCGGGGAGATTCCGATGATGGAAGTGTGGAGGAAGGGGAGGGAAAGTGATATATATATTCTTGTGATGACAGCTGGTTGTATAGAGTTAAGAAAGATGAGCAATCAAGTTGGATACTTGTAATCTAGCCAACATGTTCTGGAAACCCCTCATCATCTTCACTGCCCTCCTGGGCACCATCACAGGCATCCCAACCTCCAACATCACCAACGACGACATCAACCCGACCCCCTCATCCGGGGACCGCTACGTCTTTGCTCATTTCATGGTCCGCACCTCCCCTTTCCCCACATCCCCCACCCCCAATCCAATCCATGTAACAAGAAAGAAAACAGGTCGGCATCGTCGAAAACTACCGCCTATCCGACTGGATCCTCGACATGACAACCGCCCAATCCATCGGCATCGACGCCTTCGCACTCAACTGCGCCAGCATCGACAAATACACACCCACGCAACTAGCCCTCGCCTACGAAGCCGCCCAAGCCACCAACTTCAAAGTCTTCATTTCCTTCGACTTCGCCTACTGGAGTAACGGCGACACGGCCAAAATTACCGCCTACATGCAACAGTACGCGAACCATCCGGCCCAGATGCAATACAAGGGTGGCGCGTTGGTGAGTACCTTTGTGGGGGATAGTTTTGACTGGAGGCCCGTGAAGCAGGGCACGGCGCATGCTATTCACGCGGTCCCGAATTTGCAGGATCCGGCGGCTGCGGGGAGTAATGCGCAACGGGGTGCCGATGGGGCGTTTTCTTGGTATGCGTGGCCGACGGATGGGGGGAATAGTATTGTGAATCGGCCGATGGATACGGTTTGGGATGAGAGGTATGTTAGGGGGGTGGGGAGTGGGACTTATATGGCTCGTTAGTATTCTTCTGCTCTATTGTTGGATGGTTCGGGTGGAAGTGGATGCTGATGATGGTAGCTGTTTCTCCATGGTTCGCTACGCACTTCAACAGTAAGAATTGGGTGTTTATTTGTGAGAATCTGCCCACTCTGCGATGGGAGCAGATGCTTTCTATGAAGCCTAACTTGATTGAGATTATCTCCTGGAATGGTATGTATCCTTTACATTTTTCTCTCCGTCAAAGTGGTCAAGGCTGATAAATATACAGACTACGGCGAATCGCACTACATCGGCCCCTACTCAGCCAACCACAGCGACGACGGATCCTCCCAATGGGCCAAGGGCATGCCGCACGATGCCTGGCGCGATCTCTACAAGCCCTACATCGCCGCGTACAAAGCCGGAGCTAGTAAGCCCACTATTGAAAAAGACGGTCTCGTGTACTGGTACCGTCCCACGCCCAAGGGCGTCACCTGCCCGGAGGATCCCATGCCAGCACCAAACGGTTTCAACATGCTCGGGGATAGTATTTTTGTTGCAACCATGTTGACTAGTCCTGCTACGTTGGTTGTGAAAAGTGGTTCGAATGCACCGGTGCGGATTGATGTGCAGGCTGGGATTGTGACGTCCACTGCGCCGATGGGCCTAGGCGCGCAGGTCTTTGAGGTGGTGAGGGATGGGAAGACGATTTTGAGTGGGCGCGGTGCGTTGGACGTTAAGGAAAGGACCAAGTATTATAACTTTAATGTGTTTGTTGGGGGTGTGTAGAGGTTGGTGATGATGGGGAGAGGGTCTGTTCAGCCGTGTGGTTGTACCACGTGGGTTGGTCAAGCAACAAGAGGGTATGACAACAACGGTTGCAACGGAGCCGGTGGAAGGTGTCATTTGTCATGCAGGTTGCTGTTGGTAGTATGTGTTTTAGTATGTGTTTTAGTGTCACACGAATGTAGGAGTGGCAGGCACAATATCTGAAGCAATGTCATTGTTCTTGGGTAGTATGGTTGCATGCTTCGCTCCACGTCGGTTGCACGTTGACGCCGGAAAGTGGACTCGGAAGTCTGGATCGGACACTCTTATACCTCTTCATCTAAGGGCGGCACAAATATTGACCTCACAGTTGCCCAAACAGATTTACTTGATGGCTTAAAAAGGCGCTTCACGCATTGCGCACAACTTTTGAGATACTTGAAGTTCTTAAAAAAGGTGTATAGAGACAGAATCAGCCTGTCAAAGTCTTTTGTTTGGCTTTATATAATCCTTTGTTCTTCTTTGCTAAATTCTGTAAATGTCTGGCCACTAAGGACCAGCCTACATGTCATCTTAGTATTGGTCTGGGATTTTCCTGGTGCCAGTAACTGCAAGGAGTCAACAGTATCCAGATCAATCTTTTTTATTGAAACAGAATCTGAAGTAATTAAGGAGGACTAGAAGTCTGACATGGTTAAGATAGTTTAGAATCTTTTACAGAGCAGTGAGAACTTGATTAGCGGGGTGGAAGGTGGGATTAGAGACTTACTTTAATATAATCTGTAGTAATTAATTAGTGGAGTATACTGATCCTCATCCTATGTGGCCAGAGCCCGGGAATTGGTAGTAACTGATTGAAGGCCTGCTGAATATGATAGTTTTTTTTATTGTCTAACTAATCCAAGTGATCTTGATTGCTGGATGATAGCCGGACAAACCACCGCTCCCGGAAAGCTTTGTTATCCTTATCCTTGTACTGCCGGATTTTACGATATATTTCTCTGTTGGTTGGTTTTTTTTTGATTTGTATATTCCTCTACTAGAGAGGTTCTTAGTTCTTTATCAATATCTATAATAACAGTCAGCCCTTTAGAGAATGGAAAAATAAAATGTATAATACATACTATTCTTATAGAGGTTAACCGTCCACCAATGATTGGTAGGAGGAAGCACGTTAGCTCTGGCTTGTACATGATGACGGCCATGGAGGGCCTGTAATTGCCCTATCCCCAACCCCAGTTGGGGACATGGTTGTGGGTTATTAGTCAGCAGACTTGGCTAGTTACAGAATATTTGTCTTCTGTAATGTGTTAGTGAGGTCTTGCTGAGATATGATTACCAGAATGTGATTATCAATATTTAGGTGGTGATATTGGTTTTTGTGGAAGATTTTATAGAATTGATCTATATTTTTAGGGTTGAGCTCTCTGGGTAACGGAGGATTGAAATGGATTTGATAGATGTTAACCTTGGTTGTTTTTAGGTATTTCGAGTGCTGCTCTGTTGCTAGCCGGACCTCTTCCTCTGTAAATAGAGCCTGCTGTATTGCAGAGGTAGAAATGAAACAGGTATCAAGAGTGATAGCAGAGAAGTTGGTATTATGACAGAATGTATATATTTCTCATGCGCTGTCCACTGCGGTAATACTCCAGTAACACTGCGGTAATACTTCAGTAGCACTACGGTGCTACCACAGTTACTTTAACCTGAATGTAAGCTCCCTGCAGTGTCCTCAAACTCCAGCAGCAACCCTAGCCCAGGCTAATTTAAATTGCGCCCCTTGGTCGTGTTCATTGTTTTCATTTTTATAAATTTCACTATTCAGACTTAATAACTTCAAAGACTACTATGGGCCCCGTTGATGACAAGCGGGCCACCCAGTTTATTGCGGATAAGATTCCTCTGCTTGAACAACCTCCCCCTGATACTGTAACTACAATGCCCTTACTACCTGTACCCAGACATAAGCCCAAAGAGACCATACCATCCAGCGTGCGTCTGGCCAAAAGGTCTATTGTTTCCTCGCCTGCGGAGCCAAGTTATAAGATCATCCAAGGCCAACCACAAGGCTTGGCTCTTCCAGAGGCCACTAGGTTATCAGGGAATAATGTGGGTTCCAATCTAGTTATACAGGACGAACCTCCATAGGACACTTTCAAGAAATTTTATAAATGTGACTTAGCAGGCACTGTTACTATATATGTCCGATGCTTTGGTTGCCGTGTAGTCTGGGCGATTCACCAGTATTCCTATAAAGATACTAACAAAATCCTTAAAACCCTCCAGTCCACGCGGCATGGAAATGTGGACTCTGTTTAACAGTGCTTCCGCACCCCTGATTCCCTATATACTGTTAGTAAGTTCCATCCGCTTATGCTTGATCATGTCATTACCTGCAAAGCCTTTCCAAACCAGCAGTAGCTGACTGCTATTCTATCTCAGGTCATATCCAGTCTCATGTTAATATATGTGACTGCTAACTGTTCCCAGTTTATTAATAAGCTGTCATATCTTGTCTCCCATACGTCACTGGATTGTTCCAGCATACTAATGAGCCTCGAAGGGGAGATTCAAATTGGTAATTCCATTGCTAGATCCCACCACAAAAACAATTATAACCAAAGACCTTGACACGGATTGATTATTAGACTGTTCAACCACCAGAAAGAGTCTAAGCAGTTGATTTAGCATCTATAGCGCGAGTAATAATACAGCTTATACAGAAATATACCAAGAATGACGGGACAGTTGGGATTAACAATCTTGATCACTGGCGGAAGTTCCCAGCTGCTATTGAATTCCTCTCGGCGACAACGTCAGCTGGCTCGTTTGAAGAATTGAAAAAGGTTTGTTATACCCTTATGGATTTTGAAAGCTGCTCATTGCTTTCAAGCAGCATCTTCTGTCGGAAGTCCGTTGGTCTCCTAGTGACCTAATTGGTATTGCATGGTTTGCCTTGATATCTGCACGCACCTTTTACTCGTACACACCTCTTTCGGATGCGGAAACATAGAGCGCATATATGGCTAGAGATGCTCCTGTACCTAAGAGAGGGTAAATACTTTCTACAGGGTGTGTGTGTGTGTGTATTCATACTCTGACCCCTCGCAAATTAAAGCGATATGCAGGATCTCCCTATCTACCTCTCCCTATATATTCTGTTGGAGTGGCTACTAAGGCGATTCAACCGTGTAGAATTAGATGGATGATGATGTAGCTAGGGGCCTCGTAGGCCATCTATATGGACTAACTAGCGGTGTAGGGAGGAGTGTCACGTGACCCTACGTTGCCTACCGGCGTGGGATCCCCGATGGGCTCCCAACATATTCTAAGCCTGACAGGTTTTATTATAATTCTGATTTAAAGATCTGGAAATATATATAATCAAAACTTTTTATTTACTTTAATAATTTCTATATAATATTTTATTGTTTCTGATTATAATATTGTAAGTAGAAACTCATAAGATATAAACATAATATATAGATAATAATTATTAATATTTATTATAAAAAATCTAAATCATTCTTCTAATCTACTATTTTATTAGATTTATGGAGATAGTAGTATAAGATATCTGGTTTATTATAAGAAATCTATAATAAAATCAATATAAATCTATTAATCAGATATGAGTACTTGAGCCCTTTCTAGATTATGATATAATATTTCTAGACTATAGCCAAGCTAGTTAATTATGCTGCATTATATCTTAGTTTCTTGGATACCTTTATAAAAATACAGTCCAGTTCAATTATCTTATTCTAGAACTATATTAATCATAATCCCGCTTGAAGATTCTTAATAGATAGCTTATAGAGCAGCTTATACTTAACTGTTATTGAAATCATAATATGATTACTATTAACATGATGGATATAATACTGGTCTAGTCAGAAATATAGGAAACTTAGCGGGTTAATCTGTTAGGACTTATTAAGGGTATTTATATATTTGTTAAACCGGACTTTATTATTTAAGCAAAGTTCTTCTTAAATAGCTGGGATCTTGTAAAGCTCTATAATGATATGCTCAACATGACTCTCTATCTTAAATCTTTTATAGCTTTATAGATCCTGTTTATTACTTATAGTTCTTTTTTAAAACTCCTTTTAAAGCTCTCCAGAACAATATATGATGGAAATAATTATATAATAAGCTGCCTGGGATAAGCTAAATAGATATAAACAGAATAATAAATCTCTTATTATATGGTTGTATCGTTAGTCTAAGATAGAAGCTGTAATAGACAGTATTTTCTAGTAAGTGGTAGTATCTTTCCTGTTATAGAATAAGATGGACTTTTAGTTCTTAAAGATTAGAAAAAATAGTTATAATAATATTAAATAAGCTCTGTAAAGATTATTTATCATGTTTATTCTTTTTCCTGATCTCTTTCTCTCTGTGCCTGGCGCTGGAATTTCTTTGTCTGTTGTTGGCATTTCTCTACCTGTTATTGGCATTCCTTTACTTATTGTCTTAGAGCTGCTTGTCAAACCCTAGGATTGCTTTCCTGTTCCTGTTAGCTTAGCTTCACTGATATACATACTGTTGAACTAAATTAAGGAGATATCAGGCTAATAACTATCTAGGAATAACTGGTCTTGAATAAGAGAAGAGAAGTAAGGCCGAATAGTGCTGCACAGCTATCTGTAAGTAAGTATAGATGAGTATTATTATTAAGCTTCTAAAATTATAAGTATTTAAAGAGAGTATTATTAAGCATAAAGAATAGAACTAGCTAAATATATAAAAGAATATCCTTATATATCCTATTCTTTATATACCATATTATATACTATCCAAGATAGATTAATAATTAATCTAATTATAATCCAGGATCTCAATATATCTTGCATATATTTTTAATAATAGACTTAATAATAGATAATTATATAATATAAAGTCCTCCGGGTGTTACTCAGACCAGGATTTTACTTAATAAGAGTTGCTGGTTGTCCGGGACTTGTCTTGTTGACACTTTCTGCCTGATAAGTCTGCTTTACTAATAATCTGATTAGTAGAAATCTGTAATATCACTTTTCCTTCTTTAAGGTTTCTTATTTTTAAGAAATATAAAGATATATATTTTCTTATATATATTAACCAGGTTCTTCAGTTTTCTCTTTTTCTCTTAAAATGGGTCAATATATCTTGCTATCATACTAATCATGACTGAGTAAAAAAGCACATTTGTTAATCTGACAAGACTTTTAAGAATAATCATATTATTAAGAATTTCTGTAAGTATTGTTTTCTGAAAGATATTTCTTATATTATAGATTTGAAAAAATGAAATTATACTGTTTATACTTATCGCGGTCAGAAATATAAAAAATAATTTTATAATGATAAGGAGTGGGATAAGTTAAAGTAAAATTAATTAAAGATATAAAGTAAACTTGCTAAAGTTCTGGCTAAACAGGCTTATATCTCTGCCAAAGTGGCTTGCTGTCAAACCCTAGGATCGCTTCCCTGTTCCTGTTAGCTTAGCTTCACTGGTATACGTACCTTTGAACTGAATCGAGGTAGTGTCAGACTGATGACTATCTAAGGGCAACTGGTCTTGAACAAGAGAAGAGAAGTAAGGCCAGATAGTGCCGTGCAGCTATCCGTAAGTAAGTACGGACGAGTGTTGTCGCTAAGCTTTATCAAAACGTATGGTTACTTAAAGACAGTTGTATTGAGCATGAAGAACAGAACTAACTAACTACAGAAATGAGTGTCCTTATATATCCTATCCTCCGTATACCATCTTATATACCATCAGGTCTACTGTATATCTATACAGTAGTTATAGACCATGATGGTATGCTATATACTACATGCTTGTCTGTATACCGTGGTCATGTGATGACTCAGATCGGAACTTTATCTGATAAGAGTTACTGTCCGTCCGGACGTAGCCTTCTGCCTGACATGCCTGCCTTACTAGTTATTCAGCTAGCAGGGGTCCGTAACACCACCCCCCTTTCTTCGAGGTTCTTGTCCTCAAGAACATAAAGGTGCGTGTTCCCCGTGTGTGTTGGCTGGGTTCTTCCAGTTTCTTTCTTTCTCAGGATGGGTCATCATGTCTTTGTGTAATCGCTATAAGAAATATTATTACCAGGCTGACTGAATTATTCGTAACGGTGTCCAGGTTAACTTCTCTTGCATCTGGTGTGATTCCTACAGTCTTTCTTGTTTCATGGATTCTAAAAACTGAAATTGTGCAGCCTGTACTTGTCGTGGCTACAAGTACAAGAAACATTTTTACAGTGATTCTGAGTAGAATAAACTTTAACATGATGAAGAAAAGATAGCTCAAGAGATTAAAGAGACTGAAGAGCAGATTGAGCAGTTATTCGCGAAAATGAAGTATTTGCGAAAATATTGAAAATTTCTTAAGAATTATAGTGGCCGGATGTTAGATCACGACTTAACTGTGTTGGATCTGTTAGATAATGAGGATCCTCTAAGCGCTGAGGATCTTCAGGAGCTGGGGTGCCTGGCTGACAAGCATGACACTACTCAACTTGCTGCTGCGTCAGACAACCCTAGTCTGACTTAGTTAATTGGTTCCCCTTCCTTCTGGGCAAACTTCGACTTGTTTATTAGTAGTACTGCTCCACAAGCTGGTAACAGTCTGTTAAATTCTTGATAGATTTCCACATGTTTTCTAAGATATTATATTCTTTCTATTTTATCAGATATTGTAATCTGCTGCTAATCTTTCTGTAGTCTAGAATTCTTTTAACTTTATATTCTTTTTTTATGTTATTATCAATCTCCATATTTTTTATGATTCTAGTATTCTTTAGTACAGGTTCCAATAATAAGATATAAAACACTGGATAAATTTTGCTTATTGATTTTAACAATCTCAATCTGTAGTTAACCGGTCTCTTCTTATCTTTGATAATAAATAATCCTAGCTTGTAATAGTCAAGCTTCTGATTTAGTTATTTTATCTTAATATTTTTATAGAATAGAAACATTTTCTTCTCTCTTTTTAAGTCAGGTTTCTTTCTATATCTGTGATTATAGTATATCTTGCTATACAAGTTCATAAACTTAATATCTTGGAATAACTATATATATATATTTCTTATAAATGCAACAATGTTCTCAGCTATATCAGTAACTGGTTACTTTTCTAATAATATCTCTAGAAATCTGGGATAGTGACTGTAATTAGTATAGAATAGTAAGATTCTAATAATTAAGTAACTGGTATTGTTGTATAAGAACTGTGCTATCAGTAACAGATTTGCTTAATCATCTTACTAGTAGTTTATATAGTGTCTCAGATATTACTTAATTATTTGATTAATTCTTTTTATTTGTCCATTCATTTGCGGGTAGTAAGCTGTTATTATTTATTCTTTAATTTTTATAAGATCTATAAGTGATCTTTAGAACTTTAAGATAAATAATTTATCTTAATCTGATATAATGTACTTTGATATTCTATAGTATATAATAATATATTTAAGAAATAATTTTACTATCTATATTACTGTTATTATTATCTTGCTTAGTACAAGATAGATGTATTTAGTAAGATGATTAGTAATGACTGTGATAGTATTAAATCTTTCTGATTCAGATAGTAAATTAATAAAGTTAATTATTATTTATTTTTATAATTACTATGGTACTTTCTGCACTTGTATCTGTCTATAAGATTAATATCTTGTAGACTTATTCTTAATATATATCTTATATTATCTAATATAATTATATACTTTCTGTCTAAGATTCGGAATGTAGTAGTTTCTTATAATTAGTTTAATAGTCTTTTCCACTTCTAAGTAATCCTTGAGTAGTTTATCATAATATCTAGCCATAATCTCTGTTCTTATTATGATTGGTATAAAGATTAATCTATAAAAGTAGACTAGTCTATCTTTGTTAATGATAATCTTGTCTAGTAAATCTTGACTTATTTCCTGAAATGTTTTATCTTCTTTTATAATATCAGTTAATTATCTAGTTAGATTACTACTTATTTTTAACATTACTGTAAGATTA